CCATGACAACGCGACTCTGAAGTGCTCCTGCGGGCGCCCAAAGACCCCCTTGCACATCGCACTATGCCGGAAACCACAACAGCGAACGTCTTCCAGCGCTGGCCAAGACGGCCACCAGCACCGCCTAGGACACCTAGCGAAGCAATCAAGTACCTCCAGACGCTCTGGGAAGAGCCAGAGGACTTTGCCGCCTTCCTAGAAATCACAGGTTTCTATAACACAATATATAGGCCTCACTAGAGCCTACACTTGTAAGACTTTTCCTGTCTTCCTATTTTCTTTCTTTCTCTTCTCTCTTTCTCTTCTCTCTCTTCTCTCTCCTTCTCTTCTCTTTCCTATGTCCTCTATACTACACACTCCTTAGTAAGCATCAGCTACGACAACTAAAGGCGGATACACACCTACTGCACAATCATTTCAGTGGCGATCAACAGGCGGAACGACCACTACTAGACCACTACAATCATGTAAATAAGAATAGGCATCCTAGGCATAGTACGGCAAGCCATAGGCATAGCCCGTCTACATGCCCCAAGGGAGGCTTTATATATAGACGTTAAATACAACTCACTCACTCACTCCGCGCGGACGTCAAGATCGGCTGTGGGTCCTAAGCAGCATTGTGCAGCAGTAGCGTGCTGAGATGTATGCAACTCTTGCTGCGCGCTGTGGCTGAGCTCTGGGCACCTGGCCCAAGTAGCTCTTCTTCCCGGCCGTGCGGGCTAGCTCTTTGACATGAATATTGCGACAGGACTGAGACGACAGTTCTCGTAAGTCTACTTCGCTCGGTGACACTTTGCTTGTATATACACTTTATCAAGCATGAGGTCGTAAGGCAGGCACTGCCCCATTGCAAATTGTGAGGCTTAGCAGTGCTAGGCGCCTGACACGTCGTGTAGCCAGTACCCTCAGCCTTGTGGCATGCACTGCCTCGCCAAGCTACTGTCACACCAGTCCAGCCTAAGCTTCCTCTGCCCCATCACGAGCATGTAGTTCTATACTCAACATGACTAAGTCTATCTTTCTTCCCTCTCCTCAACAGGACCCAGGCTAGACATCATGCGGCTTCTTCACTTTGACGCGTTAGGCAGGCTTGTCCTGACAGACTTCCGCGGCAAACACATTCCGCCCTACGCCATCCTATCGCATAGATGGAGCGACTCGGAGATCCTCATGGAAGATATAACAAGCGAGATCTATAAGGAGAAAGAGGAAGGCTACAAGAAGCTTATGTTTTGCGCCGAGCAGGCGGTGCGGGACAAGCTGCATTACTTCTGGATCGACACATGCTGCATCGACAGATGGAACAACAACGAGCGCTCAAGGGCTATCAATTCGATGTTCCAGTGGTACAGGAATGCGATGCGATGCTACGTCTTTCTGTCAGACGTATCGGTATCCACTATAACAGAGCCGGTTCAACGCAGCGACTGGGAGGCGTCGTTCTGTGCAAGCGCGTGGTTCACCCGTGGGTGGACGCTCCAAGAGCTGATTGCGCCAGTATCGGTGGATTTCTTCTCGCGCGAAGGACGGCGCCTAGGCGACAAAACGTCGCTTGATCAATTGCTGCACAGCATTACCGGTATTCCGTTTACAGCGCTGCGCAATTGTCCCCTCAACCAGTTTAGCACATCTGAGCGCATGCGATGGACTGAGCGCCGCGTGACAACTGAGGGAGAGGATATGGTATACTGCCTACTTGGACTTCTTGGGATCTCTATGCCTGCAACGTACGGCGAAGGACAGGAGAGCGCATTAGAAAGACTGCAGGCTGAGATACAGGGACTTAGTAGCGCGCCGTCGATCATTCCGTTCTCGCGTAACAAGTCTTTTGTAGGTCGCGAACCGCAGCTCGCGGAGCTAGAGGCGAAACTCTTTAGCAACAAACAAAACACTACTATCCTAGCAATTGCTGGGCCTGGTGGAACGGGCAAGTCGCAGCTTGCACTCGAGGTTGCATACCGCACAAGGCAGAACAATACGGACTGCGCGGTGGTTTGGATAGATGTGAGCGACAAGGATAGCCTCTACCAGTCCTATGCAAGCGTTGCGCGGAAGCTCGGTATCCCTAAGTGGAATAGTGGTGATCTGGCAGATATGAAGCAGGTCGTAAAGCACTGTGTGGCAGAGCTGAGTAAGCGGCAATGTTTGCTGGTGTTGGACAATCTAGATGACATCACTCTGCTGTCTGGCGGCTTGTCAACGGTAGATGCGGCAGGCTTAGCTGACTACCTACCACAGTCTACACTATGTTCTGTCATCACCACAACAACAAGCACCGAGATAGCTGAGATGCTTACTCCACAAAATGTCATAGCGCTACATAAGCTAACAGCAGACACAGCGTTAAGAATGCTGCAAAACTGTTTATCGAGACCATTATCACCCACCGAGGAACAACAGTCAGTCATCTTACTCAGAGAGTTATCATACCTGCCTATAGCAATCGTGCAGGCAGCCGCGTGTATAAGCGCTAGTGAGATGACAGTGCAGGAGTACGCAACCCAACTAGACAAGCACAAAAGCGTAGTTCACGAGTATAACGACAACTTGCTTAAGCACAAACTGCAAGACTCGAGTCCAGAGAACCCTATTACTGCTATATTGTCTCTATCCACTAGTCACGTTCGCTACAGAAACGTGATTGCTGCAGACTATCTTTCCCTTGCTACATGCGTGGATCGGAAAGACATCGCGCTCGACCTTCTTGAGGCACCGTCGCCACAGGCCCGGGAAGATGCCATCAAAACGCTTGACAAGTATGCACTCATCACTAGGCGCCCTGCCGAGTTAGCACTGGATGTTCATCGGCTGGTACATGATGCTCTACGTGATATATTACAAGCTCAGGGACAGCTCCAACAATGGAGACATCGCGCCATCACACGGGTGATCCAGGTGTTTCCGGACGATGATCACAGTAATAGAAGCAAGTGGAGGCGCTTGCTTCCGCATGCCCAGCATGTTCTGTCGCATAGTCTTGTGGATAGTAATAACGAAGAGATGCTGGATTTTGCGTTAATGTGTGCTAAAACTCTTTATAGTGACGGACGTTATAAGGAGGCCGAAGAGCTAGGGGTACAAGTAATGCAGACTTGGAAGAGAGTGCTTGGCAATGAGCATCCTGACACGCTGATAAGCATGCATAACCTTGCGTTCACGTACGACAAACAAGGGCGATGGAAAGAGGCTGAAGAGCTAAGGGTACAAGTAATGCAGAATCGGAAGAAAGAGCTTGGCAACGAGCATTTTCGCACGCTGATTAGTATGGCCAATCTAGCATTGACGTATAGGAACCAAGGGCGATGGAAAGAGGCTGAAGAGCTGCAAGTACAAGTAATGCAGAAGATGAAGAGAGAGCTTGGCGACGAGCATCCTCATACGCTAACTAGCATGAATTACCTGGCGTCGACGTACAATAAACAAGGGCGATGGAAAGAAGCTGAAGAGCTAGAGGTACAAGTGATGCAGACTCAGAAGAGAGAGCTTGGCGACGAGCATCCTGACACGCTGATAAGCACGCATAACCTCGCGTTAACGTACAGCGACCAAGGGCGATGGGGCGAGGCCGAAGAGCTACAGGTGCAAGTGATGCAGACTCAAAAGAGAGTGCTTGGCGACGACCATCCTGACACGCTGGCTAGCATGGCCAGCCTGGCGTCGATATATAGGAACCAAGGACGATGGGGCGAGGCCGGAGAGCTAGGGGTGCAAGTGATGCAGACGAGGAAGAGGGTACTTGGCGACGAGCATCCATACACGCTGGCCAGTATGCACAATCATGCTTACACGCTGCAGTCACAAGCTCGTCAACAGGAGGCTCTTGAACTGATGGAAAGATGCTTGAAGTCGCGCCAGCACATCCTTGGCAAGCAGCACCCTGCTACGCGGTCGTCACTTGACGCGTTGAGCAGTTGGCAAGCAGAGTAGCTTGAGGGGCTTATGATACGCTCTCTGTGTATGTTATCAGGTCGCAAAATCACATACATTCAAGCTCTTTCATCGAGTATAACTTTATATGATGTTTAATACAATGTATCTACTAACTATCTAAGATCTATCTAAGTTGGTAGTTACTTGACGAGGGTGGTTATTGACATAATTCCAAAGGAGTAGCTTCTTGTAACCCATGCGTGCACGACTAACGGAACGACTGCTCGCATAGGCGGGAACAAGAGTAATCTGAGGCATCATTTTCAGAGCCGGGATTCTCAGCCACAGCGCGCAGCAAGGGCCGCAGACATCTCAGCACGCTACTGCATGCTAAGTGCTGCTAACAGCGCACGCTCTGCAAGACGCGTTTTGATAATCTTGCCGTCTACGCGGAGAAACTGCCGGAAAGCATATTTCTTATCTTAAAGCAGCCCTTAGAGCCTGCGACCTTAGTCTTTAAGATCTAGGCTCTCTTGCTAGGCTTCCGAATGGTGAGCAGAGATCGGTCGTTGCAAGTTGATAGGGGGGTTACTAGAAGAGGCCGATTAATGGTAGTGATGGATTAGGCTGCACTACATCCAACACTATGCTCTTCTTCGCTGGAGGCACACATTGTGGTAGAGCAGCAGCTGCGGAACCGATGCGCGCTGAGCTTGACCTTGTGCAGTGGTGCTGTGCTGAGGCCGAAGGTCAAGACGAAAAAGCGTCCCGCCACACAGGGTGTCCCGCGACGCTAGGACGGACGTTACCTCAGACGAAGATTTATGCTCACATGAAACCCTTTGATTTCGTGTCTAGAAAAAAAATAACCAGATTCATGCAATGGATGTCCCAAGACTATCGCTAACCACGTCTCCAACACACCTCACTCAATCATCCATCAACTCATCGATTCTGCCCTGATCTTCCTTCTCCTCGCCTACTTCTCTTTCACTCTCTTTCACCTCAGCTTCTTGCCCCTCGCCCTCATCCTCTTCTCCACTTCGGTCAACCTCACTCTCCTTTTCATCATCCGTCTCGCTCCCAGCATCACCAGCTGACTCTTCGTCTTCTCCATCCTCGTCCTCGTCCTCCTCATCCACATCCAACTCCTCATCACTAAATGTCCCATCCCACGCATCATCCTCCTCCTCCGAAACAAACAACCTCCTCCTCTTCTCTACCTCATCCGCCTCCCTATCCCGTTCCAGCCCCATCCTACGCCTCGCCCTCTCTTCCTCCTCTTCCACCTGCTCAGTCGCAGCAGCCCCGTCGCTCAACTCACCTGGCGCGACTTCGACGCCACCACCGAGGTTAAATCGGACTTTCATGTGGAGTTTCTTGGGCTGGGACGGATCTCTTAATGCGGGAGTCGTGGGTTGCTCATCGTTGCCAGCATCGTCGCTGACGGGAGAGTTGACACGGGTTTCCCCTTCTCGGTCGCCGACCACTGAGTCTACCTCGTCGCCAATTACGGAGTCTACCTCGTCGCCAATTACGGAGTCTACCTCGTCGCCAGTTACGGAAACGTCGTTGGCGATTCTGGCAATGTCCTTGACATGCGCGATCTATGCGGCTTCGGCTTCTTTCGCGGCTTCCTCTACTTGTTCGGCTGACACGACGTCTATGATGGCCTGGAGTTCGGCGTTTGAGTCTTCTTCTTCATCGACGCCTACTACTTCTTGTACGAGAGGCGGTGGGCATCGTTCTCTTGTCGGTACGCCGCGATGAGGGTAGTCGGAAGGAATGGCTTCGTGCCCGTAGTGTTGGATTTGGAGACGGCGTCGCATTTGGAGGTATTGCTGGTAGGGTGTATCTTGGACGCCGGCGCGGGAGACGACGTTTCCCGCTGCATCGAGCCATATAGGTAGGCCAGCGTGCGAGAGGCCTTTTCGCGTTTCGGGTTTGCTTTTCTTTGTGGTACCTGGCTTATTCGCCGGTGCAGTATATGCGTCTCCAATCGGTGGCGAGTCTTGATCGATTTCCCCAATTACCTCCTCTACTCTTATTTTAATGCCAGCACATTCAAACTCCTCGGTTCGTCTATCTTCAGTAGCGATTTGCCTCTGAGCGTGCTGTATCTTGATCCTGAGTGCCGTGATCAAGTTGACGTTCGCTTGCGGTCCCAGAGCCCGTCTTTTTGCAGCATCACTCAATCCCACTGATACATGCTGTACGGGCCTATCCTGAATAAATGCGATCAAAGCATCACTGTGATCTTTTTTAAGGCCTCCAGCACTCGGAGCGGGTCGATCTTCATCCAAATATGATAGAGCCAGTTCCAGATCCCAGTGGGCTGAGGATAAACACTCCTCAGCTCGATAATATGGTGCACCGGTCAAATCAGCAAGGTCACGGATGATTCTGATTTCGTCTTCCGTGTATTGCGCTGCGAAGCTTTCTGTTAGGTCCAAAATCCTCGGCTCTTCAAGAGCAATCGTTTCCGGAGAAGAAGAGCTTGATATTTCGATGTTTTCGCGCATGATTATAGGTTGATCAAGCTGTTCCAGGACTTGCTTAATAATCTCGTCTCTTTGAGATGTCAAATATGCTTCGTCCTCAGCATCAACCATTTGAACGCTTCCATGTTCGAAGTCGCTGTCCCCACCATAGAGCAAGTTGAAATTACCGGCGTTGCTTCTGAGTCTCTCCACAATATCATGTTGCTCTTCTGTGATGTCGTCCTCTCCCTGGCGTTCACTTCGAGCATATAGCTCCGCCACGAGATATTTGAAAATCCTACGGTGATGGTTCTCCTTCGTCTTGAGTAACTCCACATTCTGTCGAATGGTAGCTCTCTGCGCGTCGAAGTTCCCTTTTCCCGCACTAACAGGTTCGAGTGGTAGCGGGCGTGCCTTGGGAGCCATGATCTTGATGTTAGTAAGGCTGTGATGTTGTATTAAACGATGGTATGACTGTGATTCAATTGAAGATGACGATGATGCAGGCACAGAGTGTATTGTGAGTGGTTATCAGAAGTTGTTTGCAGATGGAAAGGACCAGAGAGAAGGCGTAGTGTCGTCACATACGTGGCCGTCAACACGAACTTTCTAAGAGAGGCAAGAGAGCCTCGATAGTGATTCTCCCATAGAAAACAAAAGAATCAGTGACATTATGTAAATTAATGCTCCTGCATAATTTTCTCATCGCCAATCCTCTGGGTAAAGGTCACCGTCCTGTTCGTGATTCTCCAAATTCCGCTCGCACCACGTACACCTAGAATCGCAGGTGTTGATAAGCCCATGCTTCATACTGTTTTTTGGAAGAACTGCTTACCCTCGTAATTATCGTTTTCTGCCTTCAGCAGCATCACGTTGTCGATATACTTACCGTATGCGCACAGCATCTTGCCCTCATGTGGGCCCTGTCCAAACTACGTACACGGAATTGTAAGTGAAAGGCGTTTCGGAAGCAGCAGATCGGCCTTATGAGAGATCATCTCAATCGTCGCTTACATGCACTCCCTGGAAGTATGTCTCTACCTGCGCCGTGCGCACGTCAGGCCTGAAAGTGATGGTTTGCGTTGTAAGGCTATGGTGTGTGCGGACCGGTCCGAGACTAAGACGGTTAGATTCTGACATAATACACAACCACTAACTAAGAGGGTCGAAGTAATACCGGCTCTTGATAGCGTCTTTCACTTCGCTCAAGCTCTTCATGCTGTTGTTGAAGGGATAGTTCGCTTCAACATCTGGAACGAACACCTCGCCTAACATATCGAAGTCTTTCGAATCCAGCGCTTGGCAGTAACGTGATACCACGTTCTTTATGGCCAGCACATCAAGCGGATTGATTTCAGTCATGGCGGATAGTTTTGAAGACAAAATAGGCCTCTGCGGGGTAAAAGGCTTATATGCCTGATCACCCGGAACCCCACTTTTCGGAGCCGAAACTATAGATGTCAAGGTGAGAGAGAGGTGAGCTTTTCTAATCTAGTGTACACTACTTCCCAATAGGCTTCATAGTGATACGGCTGGTTTGGATTTAGCTAACAGGTTTCACTTATCTAACAAAAGAACAATAAGCCACCAAGCTAGCCATTATAGCCTCAAGATAATCGACTTTGTGGTCAAAATGGTGATTGGAATGAAATTAACATACTCGAACCGCGCGGCCCTGGCGTTGAGATTCAACGGAGGTACCACTTCCGAAGCAGGCACCACTCTTTATATTACTTGTGTCGCAGCTGATACCACTTGTGGGAAACTGAACTCCCAACTTCTTTCACCATACTATTTACTCTCTGACAACCTGCCTCCAAATACTATTCGCAATTTCTATACGTTCATTCAAAAGGTCTTGCAGAACTTCAGTCCAATTAGGATGTTTGCTTCATATATCATATATGACTAGCATGGATCATTGGAGGTCACATTAATTTCCCCATGTAGAGCTTATTTAAACACAAATATGTCGTGGTAGCCCGACCGAGATAGAAGAAACCGTTTCGGGCAAAATGGGCCAAAGTGGTTGTAGTGTGTAAGTCAAGCATCTTGCAAATGAGAACAACCCGTCGCTATTCCACTTTTTTAGGAAGTCCGCCACTTTGCAGCATCGCAATTGTGAAAGTGACATTCAAAAAGAAAGCTTTCCACAACAGGAGCAGACATATTCTTGATAGCCCATTTCATTTGTAAATCTCACGGGCGCATCCAAGCATATGAATTATGCTGAATGAATTTAATTGGTAGTTGACTACGTGGAGCAGTTGCGAAGGCTGCTGGAAGTGTTTGTAACGCGTACGAGCTTAAGCCAATAACAACCGAGCACATTCCTAGCCGAAAGCCAGGCAAGTACGCTGGCTGTTGTTATCAAAAACCCACGTTAGACATGACGCAACACCCACTTCGGCTCGGCTTCAAAGACCGATAGGCTCCAAAGTTCGGGACGCCTCCCGAGAATGACAGAGCTGAACGAGACTTGGCGAACGATTCATCGCAACACATGATACCAAGTCATGTCCCAATCAGTCGTTCACATGGCGATATAACCAATCAAAAGACAAAACGTCAGCCTTGAGATCCTTCAGCAAGATGGTGGCTTCACATGTTTTCTGCTAAGACAAATTACTACACCCTCTTCATTCGTTCATTTGTCGTCATCCTATACCCGTACACCAGGATTGACAACATACATATGCATGTATGTTCGGCGTGGCTATCTAAGCGCTCTCTAACCAGAGAACCAAGCCTTGGATACATCTCAACGCTACGGGCCAGTCCGGCGTGATGCGCACCTTTGGAATCCTCCCACATGTCTTGCATATAATCCCTGCATGGGTGTCGGCAAATCAGCGACGGTATACGCAGAGCTAAACATGCTAACTGATGTGGCTAAACAGAAGTGGACCTCGATAGCATGATATGTCCTATTTGGAAAGTCTCCGTCCCCAAGTTTGGCAAGTTGCTGTATGCCAGGCCACATGTACGACGTGAGCCGGCCTATCAGCTGGACGTCTACATCTGTGTAGCGGGCCTTGAAACTCAAGAACATAGCTGAATCAGCACTGTGGGGAAAAGATATCCATCGCCACAAATCACAATATGCAGGTGAAGTAGTAGGTGCGCTTTTTAAGTGAGGAGTAACCCAGCTTATAAGTTCATGCTGCGTTTGATTCTTGGTTTTATCCAGAAAACCCAGGAACACCGAACTAGTACCTGAAGGCACTTCTGAACTCTAAATATCCACATCTCAACAAACATGGCGATGTTAGCGTTGACGGAGTTCGCTGGAAAACCGCTCAACCTTGGGCTTTTATCGCTTGGGATACTCTTTACATCGATACTATGGCGCATCTTTTACATGCAAAAGCTCCATCCCCTTGCGAAGTTCCACGGGCCATGGTACGCGACTTCGTTCTCTTTCGTGGGTGCCATGATCTCGATTTTTCGCAAGGAACCTGAGTGGATTGCGCATCTTGAAAAAGTGTACGGAAGTAAGGCGACTCCCAGATCCCACATGGTAACAAAGGTCTAACATACCACAGCGGAGCACCCTATTCGCATATCTCCTTATGTGCTTCTCTTCTGTAGGACATCTTCGATGAAAGACATCTACCGAGACAACCAGATGAATGTTAAGGGTGGAGTCTATCAATCCGGAGCTCTAGGTTAGTGTAAGTATGAACCATACACAGTACACATATTTACTTTGTGTATCAAAGGCCCCCCGAACCTGGTCTCGATTGTAGACGGCGAGGAACATCGCGCGTTGCGAAAAGCTTTGTCGAATGGTCCGTGGATTATTGGTCCGCTGAAGAACGCATGGGAGTCGCGCTTCGACGAACTCATTACACTCTTCATCAGCAAGCTTCATGAACATGCCGAAGCCAAACGCATCATATGTCTATCCGACAAGATGACCGAGTTTGCAGCTGACATTCTCGGCATGATATCGTTCTCGGAGCCCTTTGGTAGCATCAAAAACCAGCGCGATGAGAGGGGATTGATTGGAAACTTTCGCAAGGGGCTTCCCATCTTCGGCTTCACGGGAAGATTCAAGTTCCTCCGAGACAAACTACTGCCTCTTCCTATTATGGCGAAACTGCTTCTTCCATCTGCCGCTGATGAGGCAGGAATGGGCTGGCTTATGGGCGAAGCAGAAAGGCAAATAGCTGCTCGTGAGAAGCTGATTGCCGAGGAGAAATTTCAGGGGAAGCCCGACTTCTTGCAACAGTAAGTCATCTGTGAAGATTGCGTATAGAACAATTGACTAAGCATAATCAGCTGCCTAGAAGCTCGCTTCTCGGATGGCTCTTCATTGAGCCCATTACAGAAGCTTAGTCATGTCACACTTCTTATTCTAGCTGGGGCTGATACAACGGGTACAGCAATGGGTATGACGCTCCAATTCATGCTCACGAACCCTTCAGTCCTAGAACGAGCACAAGCAGAGATTGAAGCAGCTGATTCAAAAGGCCTTCTTTCCACGCCAATCCGTTACGATGAGATGAAGCAACATCTCCCGTACTTTGGGGCATGTATCAAGGAGAGCCTTCGTCTTGCGCCTCCAGCCGTAAACCTGTTTGCCAGAGAAGTTCCAAAGGGGGGGAAAGTCATCGACGGCCACTTTGTGCCAGGCGGCACCGACGTTACAAACTTTGCGTACACGATTCAGCGAAACAAAGAATTCTACGGAGAAGACGCCAACGAATATAAACCGGAGAGGTGGCTAGAAAGCCAGCAAAGGAGTTTTGACATGGAGGCGGTCCAGTTCACATTCGGCATTGGACCACGGGTTTGCCTGGGTAAAGACGTGGCAATACTTGAATCGCATAAATTGCTGCCGGAGGTACGTTGCAAGGCAAATGACGCCTCACATATACGAATACTAACTGAAGAAGATTATCCGCCGGTTCGACTTTGATATCAAACAGCTCGGTAAATACACGGTTACTGGCGGTGTAGCCAGTCTTCAAGGCCTGATGGTGAGCCCAAAACCCAAGGCGTAAAAGCTAGCAGGGTTACAAACAAGCCTTTCGCTGTTGTTTCCATAGCGGTTCCTTGCAGACGTACGGCTATGGTGTTGGGCTAGATAGCAGCGGGTAAAGAGGTTAAAAGCCAGGGCTAAAGCTTTGCCCTTTCCCCGCACTATGAGTTGGATACCAAGCCCATCGGTTGTTTTTCAAACGCATCTTTTAATATCTCCGAAAGACCCATGTGACGCCTTCTCTGATGCATAACACACTACCCCATATATTCACACCTACACCACGACTGCAATCATATTTGCCCAACCAATAATAGATAGGTGTCAAACGTCCTCTACGCCAACCAGATTGCGTCCCTGGGTTTAGCACAGCTATTCTTTGGGTCTGCATTATAGTTGGCAATCTTAAGAGTTGTAGACAATGTTTACAGTTGGCTCAATGTTTCTCCTTACTCAGGGGATTTATGGGTCTAAATCATGCTGACTGGCTGGGCAAAACACAATTGCAGACATGGTGTATCCACGTATCCACACCTAGTCTAAGCGCTGTGATCGCCGTTATGCAAAACAGTCATATGGGGAACTCCACTCTCGTATTCATGACAAGACGGTTATTCAGCTCGAGTCAGGTAACGTGCAGATGAAAGAGGTAGAAACCGAGATTTTCCCACCATCGTGTGTGATGAATATAGTTGTATAAATAGGAAAACAATCCCATAGAGTGAAAGGACAGAACTTCACCGAGTTAGTCAACGATGCATTTCTCAATTCTTACCACTGCCCTGGCGCTCGCCAGCGTTGCTTCTAGCACGCCTCTTTCAGTCAGACAAACAGCCAACGCTCTCGATGCTGCTTTCCGTGCTCGAGGCCGTTCTTACATTGGCACCTCGCTGACCATCCGCAACGACAACACGGAGCAAAACATCATCCGCAGTTCGGAGTTCGGCTCCATCACGCCTGAGAATGCCATGAAGTGGGATGCCACTGAGCCCAACCGTAACCAGTTCAACTGGGGCAACGCCGACGCCATTGCAAACTTCGCCACGCAGAATGGCAAGCAAATGCGATGCCACACGCTGGTCTGGTACAGCCAGCTACCAAACTGGGTCAACCAGATCAACAACAACGCCACACTGATGAGCGTGATGGAGAACCACATCAAGCAGGTAATGGGCCGATACCGTGGCAAGTGCACGCACTGGGATGTAGTCAACGAAGGTACGTCTGATCGTTTTCTCCTCCCAAAAACACCCATCACATGAGAACCCCCAATAGCACTGAAATAAACGAACAAAATCTCACACAAACATACACAGCCCTCAACGAAGACGGCACAAACAGAAACAACGTCTTCCTCCGCCTCATCGGCGAACAATACATGCCCATCGCCTTCCGGATGGCCGCTGCCGCCGACCCATCCGCAAAGCTCTACTACAACGACTACAACCTCGAGTACGGTACCGCCAAGCACGCCGGTGCCCTCCGCATCGTCAAGCTGATCCAGTCCTGGGGCGTCCGCATCGACGGCGTCGGTCTGCAGGGCCACTTGGTGTCTGAGCCCACCAACACGGCTAGCGATGTCACACCCAGCGTCCAGGTCCTGACGAAGGTGCTACAGGATTATGCTGATTTGAACGTCGATGTTGCATACACGGAGCTGGATATCCGATCGAGGAATCCAAGCAACAGTCAGAAACTTGCGGATGCGGCGGCGGCTTGGGCGAGGGTGGCGCAGAGTTGCATTAACGTGAGGAGGTGTATTGGTATGACTATTTGGGTACGTCTGATTTCTTTTCCTCCTCCCTTTCAATTCTGTTTTACGGTATTTACCTTTCTCTGGGCGCGGTGAAAGAGAACAAGGGCTTGGTGAAATCAAAGGCTGACGAAGATTTGTAGGGAATTGCCGACAAGTACTCCTGGGTCCCTGGGACTTTCAACGGCGAGGGCTCGGCTTTGCTGTGGAACGACAACTTCCAGAAAAAACCTGCTTACACAGCATTCTTGGACGTGCTCAACGGCAAGAACGTTACCACTGTGTAGATTTCCGTTGCGTTGCGAAATGGCGGAATTTGGCAACAGTGGTGTTGTTGGAAAAAAAGACGGGGCTTGTGATCCAGAAACGAGTGATACAACAAAGCGCAATGTCTCTTCTACCTTACCTTGTAAATATTCAGAATCGCAATGTTTCCCACATGTACATCCCTTTTCCAAAGTAATACACCAAAAAAAAGCCACTGAACGAACGAATCATTGCGACTCATCGTTCTTTACTCACCAACATCTCGCTCCACCTTCTTCCCACCACACCCATATTTCCCCATCAAGCAATTTTCCACACTTCCCATCGATCGCTGTGAGCCTCAAGGCATCATCCATGAACAGCCCCGTATTCCTCTTGGCCTCGCCTCTCTCCTGCACCCACCCTCGGCGTTGTCACACAACCATTGGCCCGTACGGCGAAGTCCCTCCGCCAGCAAGGTAGATATGCAATGCGCACATCGGACCCTTGACCCGTGTGGGTATCGCGTAGCCAGGGCGTGTCCGTTGGGGGGATGTTCCCTGTTTTGAAGGGGGCTTGGGGAGCGGCATGACTTGTGTTTAAAGTGAATTGTGTGCAGGAGGCTAATGGGGCGGGCTCGCCGTTGGTGGGGGGCGCAGACTGCCGGTTGTGGGTGATGGCGGCATTGGATTAGCACGTGCCGGCGCGCGCAGGTCGGGCAAATAGCTTTCCGCGGGCTGGGGCTGGCGGAGGCGGCCGGCGTAGAGGTTGCATGCATTTGCATTTGTATCTGCCGGGTATGTGTGGGTTTGGCCCGTAGTGTTGCCGTCCGTAGAATCTTGCTTTGCCGTAGGGGGGGTGCCTTTGTTATGCCCATCATGTGTGGGATGTGATGGTACTTGTGCAGATGTACTCACAGTAAAGTCTTGTTGGATGGATGTAAACCTTCCGTTTTATTACTAGGATACATGTTGACCTGTAGGAGATAGATGGAGCAGTTGGCTTTGGTAAGGGAAAAAAGGAAAAAAACATAACGTCATTTATTAATGCCTTCGAAAAAGGTTGCACACACACACACATGGTGACTGCATAAATCGGCGTAGCTCCGCCTCAACTACTCTCTTTTCGTACATGCATGTAAGAAGCAAAACCTTCACCTGTAAAGACCAACACCAGAACAAACTTTCCCACACATCCCCAACAACACTACCTTCTTACGCCAAAAATTGCCATCCAAACCCAGTCCCACCCGAACCTCCACACACGCAAGCGGTTAGCACCGCACCCCTCTCCTTGCGCCAGACCCACGACCTGCACTTCCAAGGATCGTATTTTTTTCCTCTATCAATCTCTGGTTAGCACCACACACTTACTTACGCACCACCAACCCCCTTCCAAGCCGGCCGCATAGACGGTGGCCCGCCGCCCCCGTTCCACAGCAGCCGACCGGTCCCCTCCCCCCTAGCCCAGCAAACCAATGACGTTGTACTATTTCCCCCCTCCCGCCCGCTTGGGGAGCTGGCTAGCTAGGCTTGCATGCCCTTTTGCGGCCCTTAGTATGGTGTTTGCAGCCGTTCCAGGAATCAATGGTTCTTGTGCTGCATTTACCGCATGAGGAAATTGGACGTGTTGGGTTGGAGACTTGGTAGTAGTGTGTGCGTGTGCATGTGCATAGATTGGACCGATCACTTACTACTGGGATGTGGGTTGTTTGGGGGTTTCTGGTACTACCGCTACTGCTATTGGTTGCGCTGGGATCTGGTTTTCTTTCTCAGTAATCGGTAGTATTGAGACGTTGTGGCTCTTAGGACTGTTGTGTAACTTTTTGCTTCAGCAAGCTACTGGTGAGTGCACATGACTCGTGGACTTGAGTGGTTTTTTGGTTGTTGCGCTTGTGCGATAACAATTTCCTGATCCAGAGGATTGTATTCTATTGACTGGCTCGAGATTTGCCTTGGGATATGAATCCCAAAGTCTAATTCGAATAGCTCTTGAATTACGTCCTTTGGCTTCGAGGGTATTGTGGCAAGTAGTTCGTTGGACGGCTTTCTCTACATACTAGTCAATATCTCATCTAAGATTTGCTCCATTTTACCTTATGCCTTGTTCTTGTGGAGAAAAGATGATACGCTTTAGAACCAGAACGGCTGTGAGTTCAGCGCTGCGTTCCATCGGAACACCCCGTGTTGGTGCATTGCATATCCCGTTTTGATCACAACATAAACCAAAATTGGCATACAGGACTTCTCGCGTTAAAGGCACCTCTCTATCATATGATATTCCACTTGTTGTTTACAAATAAAGACAACTAGTCGCTGAACTTCAGAGTTGAATTTCTCTACTCACCAATGAAGACCCCTCAATCCAATTATTCATAAGCTTCGACTACAACGCCGGCAGCATCCCTGCTGGCTATCATCCGAAAAGTTTCTTGCGCCACAGAAATGTTATATGAGGCAGCCACTCCCTAGCGCCGGCAGTATGCTGATCCCTCAATGCCGCCCGCAGCAACACATGCCATTAATCGAAAGCATAACGAAAATACTAAAGAAAGTCCTAACATTCATGTCTAAGATCCAATCAAATACATCATTTTGAATCGACCGCGTTGTCAATCCCTCCTCAAAGCATCCAAACTGCTCATTCAGCTTCGTATGCATGTGCAAACCCCAAGAACCTCGGTAGTACTTCTCTAGTTTCTTTCCGGCATTATTACAAACCCCCCTCAAACAATCTCACCACCCACCCGTCAATTTTAGTCCGTAACATAATATCGCCGTCAACATCCGCACACGTAAATCAAACCAAAAGCTCCTCTCCACCCAATTTCTCTTCCCATTCCCAATTCAAACCGTAAACACCACAACCAACAACAGCGCCAAGCCTTTTCCTTCGTCACCTAGCAATCACCAACAAACCCCATCACACCATCGCCCAAAAGAATTCTACCAAAAGGAACCAAAAACACAACCATGCCCCCCAAATCCCTAAACAACACTTACATCTTCCCACCCTCCCCCCAACGAAACAAAATCATCCTAGTCGGCGTAATAATGGCTCTCGCCGCCCTTCCCACACCCGCCTTCCTTCTCCCTTCCTCAACCGTCCTTCCGCCAAGAGTCGCGCGGTACCTGCGTTACTGGCATAATTTCACTTATTATTTCATATACCTTATACACGCAGCCGAAACCGCGTGGTTTACAACTCAACTATCCAAGTTCGGGGTTCGCTTTGGGAGCGGCGCGTGGTGGAAGTGGATAGGGACGAGTTTTGTCGGGGGCATGTTTTGTTTTGAGTATTTTGGGAAGGCGGTTGGGGAGAAGATTTGGTGAGGTGCGGGAGAGGAGGAAAGCAGATGGGGGAGGGTTACGTCGGGCGAGATGAGGTAGTTGGGTTTGCAGAAAGATTGCTGCTGCGAGGGAGGGGTTGGGGCTTCTGTGTAAGAGGTCTCGAGGAGGCTGAATAGATTGCGAGGACGCAGTTTATTTGGAGGGCGGTGGAGGTGTGGAAGGCGCGGTTTTCGTGGCTGGTTGATAGGGTGCGGAAGGAAGGGAGTTCTGAAGCGTCGAAGTAGGGGCGCATGGCGTGGTTTTGATCTTGGTTGTTTTAGAGCGCTTTGATACTGGCGTAAGTGTATTATGTTTCATAAAAGAGAAGATTATATGTTCAATCCGAGTACTTGAATATGAGAGAAAGGCCAATCACTTTAAAAGTCGAAATGATGGTGTGGCGAGGTACGGACGGGAGAACAATAGTAAGATGAAGAGGGGTGTTTGAGCAAGTGATGGAACAATGTGAAATCCTACGGGGAGATTGCATTGCGCGTCGCACATGAGCAGCATTACACTTGGAATTATCGATCTCCCACTGACTCTGCATTTTCTTTAGTCGTCGAACTTCTCACATAAAATTTGAGGCTATTATCTGCGACATGTAATTCTGTTTCCTTCCTCTTCAAATTTCTAAAATCGCCTTAGATCAAGGGCTGTTTCTGCTGCTGTACCTGGCTTCTTGGGAAAGTTCATTCGGAGTTTACTGCAAGCTAGTGTTGATACTCTAGCGCTACATACGTAGATAAGAAGGGATTCATACTACATCACATCTTGGCGTAGATCTGACGAATGGAAGCAAAGATCCTTGAAGTTAATCAGAAAACGTCTTTGCTTGCATAAGACACCACTTGAACTTCTCACATATGTCTGTGAGTGCTGTGGTAGTGGTGGGCAAGGGACGGGGTAACACTCTGAATATATACGTCGTGCCAACGTATTATTAGAGGAAGAAAATCATTATTCAACCGCCTCAACAAATACGAATCATTTCACTTATTCAAAACATAAATACAAACGACGACTTCCCTTCTCCTCACCCCTCAATACCCAATATCACAAGCCGTAACATCCTCCACGAAATGCTTCTCGCGATACCCCCTCGTCCACCAAAGATACCACGGCACAACATTCATCTTAATCTTGTGCCCCAACCACGGCGTATCCTGCACTGTCTTGACCACACTCTGACTCTCATCAAACGCCGTATCGATCCTCGCACGCCTCAGCCTCTCATACGCATCAAACGCTTCCTTAACCGGCGCACCCTCCTCCCGTCTTGTCTGCATCCACTTAGCCAAACACCTCGAGAGCAACACACCATCCTCAAAAACAATTCCCGTCGCTTCTCCCTGCGGCGGCATCGCATGTGCAGAGTCGCCAATAAGCATAACACGATCCGTCGCCCATCTCCCTCCCTTGGAAAGTGTAAACACAGGCCAAAGATATAACCCCTCCGCATCCTCAATCCAATGCGCAATCTGCGGATTCGCAGCCCCCGAGTAGCGTTCAAGCATCTCATCCCGTGTTTTCTGAGCATCGGCACCCGCAGCTTTCCAGCCGTTGCGGTCTGCAATCTCAGGAACTTGCATGAGAGCGCCGACGTAGATGCTTTCTTGGGTGCGGTCGTGGAATGAGGTTAGGAGCATGCCGCGACGCCCAAAGTTCATGCCGCTGATGCTGAAATGCGTGGGCTCGAAATTGCCGGTGCTGGGGTCTTTGCGGCGGGGAGCAAAGCCAAAGGCGTTGCAGATGCCACTGTACATGGCTTTGCGCTCCGGCTCGACGTGCTTGAGGCGTGTGACGCTGTGGATACCGTCGCAGCCGATTAGAATATCGGCTCGTGCGCTTCCTCCATCTTCGAATTCGATGCTTATGCCGGTGGAGTCTTCGTCGATCTTGGTGGTCTTTTTCCCGCAGATGAGCTGGATGTTTGAGTGCTTTTCAATGGCGGCAAGCACGCCTTTTAAGGCTTCGCCTCTTGTTATTCTCAGTGCTGTAAAGGGTGGGTCTCCCAGGCCTTTCCCTTCGGGGCCTTTGAAAGATGATTCGGCAATCTTCACGTTGGTATATAGGTCGAAGACTTCTACGGCAAGACACTCTGCGCCATAGTCCTGGGCACGGATTTCGTCCAGTGCTCCCAGGTGTGAAAGAAGACGGAGAGCATTTGGTGTCAGGTTTACAGCGCCACCGATGGTTGCGGGTTCAGGTCGGATCTCGTAGATGGTGATGTTGGGTGTCTGAGAGGCTGGGGCGAACTTGGTGAGAGAAAGAGCAGTGGTTAGGCCAGCTATACCACCTCCCAGAATGATGATATCCATAGGTTTCGCTGAAGCTATAATGAGGTGCCTAATTACGATCTATTAATTAATGAGTGCTGGGAAGACTAAGAGAATAGGTGTGTGCAAAAAGATATCGAGTTATAGTCAACGTAGTGATGCCCAAGTTACCATCCAAATCACAATTTAAGCAAAACTAAAGTGCACCCCACTAGGCGGGACAACACTTATACATCAATGTCATACATAGGGTTGTTTTCCTCGAACTAGTGCTCACCGTCATTGTGAGTGGTGCGGATAGGATGAAGTCTCGGCAAAGTTGGGGAACCGACTAGACATGATGCTTAGCTCAGTTCCCGAACGACCCGACTTTGTGCATGTCGTACGGCTCCAAGAAGTAAGTGTGGTAGCAATGAAAACACGATGCGCAATTTTATCCGACGGTGTACACGTCTCAGGTGTCTGTAAGGTTGCAACCAATCCAACGGGTAAAGCAAAAAATAGTTATGTCAAGTTTGGTATTTCCCTACTAATCCAAAATCCATACAAACGCCGGCGGCCCATGCTTACTAACGCACAAATCGTACAAGATACACTGACAAGTTCGCTCCAGAGTCTGACACTGTCTACTGTTTCTTCTGGGCATTGGGGCCCATCTCCTTGCTAAAGGCAAAGTACGAAACTTCGAGACTGGTAAGGGCTCGGATTCCGACAAGCAGGATCAGGAAGAGCGGGATTATGGCAGCAAAGCCCATGAAGATACCCGGTGTGAAGTACTGATACCTCTCAAACAGGCCGCTGTTGGTCGAGTTGGCGCGCTTAGCGTGGGAGGAGAGGTCGCGCTTGAGCTCCATCTGAACAGCGTCTGGGAATGGCATGTCCATCTCGTATTGCTGCTGGATAGACTCCTTTGCTTGCGACTCGGTCTGAGGTGTGGTGATGTAAATGACGGTGTAGTCGTCAGCCTTGGCGTCGTTGACGATGAATTGCTCTAGTGTCGCATCTACACAGGTCAGCTTTGGCACCGCATCTCAGCCATATGGAAACAAACCATCAGATTGAAGCTGCTCGATGCGAAGCGCCTTGGACGTAGGCGGCACTGCGAATGTCTTCCTCTCGAACCACACGTCGTCATCGTTGTAGCCCTTTCCGCACTTGGCCACAAGATGCTCCGTGATGGCTTTCGTGTCGATGCTGCCAGCAATGTCGGGGATAGCGACAGTCGATTTGACCTCGGCATGCTTGCCGGCCATGTATCTGCTCAGCTGGGGTGCAGCGCGGCCATCAGCGTAGTCAGCAGCGGCGACGCCCCTCTGCTCAACGACGAGGTAAGATTTGGTGGGGCAGTGCTCGAGAGCTTTGAGGACGTCGGCAGTGACGTCTGAAGATGCGGCGATGGCGGCGTCATTGTTTGGGACCAGCAAGCTGCATGGTGGTTAGCTGCGAGACGTGAGGATGCACGGGAAGCTGGTAGGCGTACTCGGCCGTGGAGAAGAGGAAGAATGGCGACGTGTTGCGGAATGCGAGGGCGGAGGGTAAGGCCGCGAGGGCGAGGGCGCCGGCGAGAGTCTTGACCATGATGATATCGGGGGATGGCGGGTTGATGGGGTCTGGTTGCTTGTCCGCGATGTTCACTGAAGCTCAAACGCGATGCGGCAGCCATGCATCGGCACCAGCCACAACTGTCAGCCACAGCCACTAGCCACAGTGGCGGCCAGGCCCTATGACGCGCTCGCTCCCCATGCATGCAACAAATGACAATGGAAATTCGGCGGCGCCATAAACTATTCACCATGCAGCCAACTGCCCATCCACAAAAGGCTACACGCATCCACACTCACCACGCCACCCGATTGATAATACTGTAGAGTCGCGCTGCCGCTGCTGCTGTTGTGCCTGGCTGCCTGGCCTGGCCGAGGAATGAGTGCGACTTGACTCATCTCGGTGGCTGCATCTTCTCGAAACGGCCATCCTAGCGTACCTGCGCCCGCCGTTTCTGCAATATAAACTGCTCGCCACTGCAAACTTCCCCGGCATTACCCCAAAAGCTGTCTTTTTCTCTTGTTTGTTTCCTTTCCCAGTTCAGCAGGCCGTACAAATACTAGAGCTTGCTATTGTACTCAATTTTCTTTCTTTTCCGGCCCGAGGCCTTTGTATGATCGCTATTCCCTCAGCCACCAGCGCAATCACTTCTGAGCCACAAAATATGTCGACTCCCACAGTCGCCTCCCAGCCGCCGGCGTCAGCCCCAGAAAATGCCCCAAGAGCACCACAAAGGCGAAGAGGTGGACGAAATCGAAACACGAATGCGAATGCCAGCACAGACACACCCGCACAACCAGAGCAGCAACAGCAACCACAACCAGGACAGCAGTCACAAAGAGGCGGCGGTCGAGGCGGCAGGGGTCGAGGTCGAGGAGGTCGCAATGGTCCAGCAGCCCATGTGCAGCCCAGTGCTGCACTCGAGCTAGTACCTGCCTCTGTACAGGAAGTGGCACACCGGGGTGGAAGAGGTGGACGTGGAGGACGAGGCAGTGGTCGAGGAAGAGGTGGCTCAGAGCGTCCTCCCCAGCGGATAGCTGCTGGTGGCCGTCATTTTGGTGGACAATTGACTGTTGAGGATGACACTGCATCCGTGTCCTCAGAGATGTCCCAAGGGCTACAAGCAGACGCACCTGCCTTTCAGCCAGGCAAACCGATTCCTATCCGCAAGCCACGACCGCCAAAACAAAAGCAGCCACAAGCCCCAAAGTCGACGGCGCCCGATATTGCCACTAGAACACACGAGGACATTGACAACGGCCATTACGAGTGCGCCATCTGTACAGAGGACATTACGAGACGAACGCGGGGCGTCTGGTCGTGTAGGACATGTTGGACAGTATTCCACCTGGGATGCATCAAGAAATGGTCAACCAACGAGGGCTCAGCAGCGGCGCGACAACAAGCCCAAGACGGAGAGACGCCCCCACCGAGGCAATGGCGTTGTCCAGGATGCAATTTGCCAAAGGACGTTTTGCCAAAGAATTTCCACTGCTGGTGTGAGAAGGAGTTGGACCCTCGTTCCACACCTGGTATACCCCCGTTTTCATGTGGACAGTCTTGTTCGCGACCACGGGTCCTTCCCAAGCCTTGTCCACACCCCTGTGGTTCGACGTGCCATGCTGGGCCCTGTCCGCCCTGTAGCTTGATGGGACCTACGCAGCACTGCTTTTGTGGCAAGAAGTCAGTGACACGTCGCTGCGTCGATACCGATTACGAGCACGGGTGGAGCTGCGGTAGCGTCTGCGGAGAACTCATGTCTTGCGGACAGCATCGCTGTGAACGACCGTGTCATGAGGGTCCCTGTGGTGCCTGTGAAGAGCGGGTGCCAGCGCGTTGCTACTGTGGTCAGGTTCAGAAGGACATTCTGTGTCATGACCGAGAAATCGAAAAGGATAGCAGCCAACTGCACGTCGCTGCAGACGGCAGTAGTACGACAGAGAACTGGGTCGGCTCATTCCAATGCCCTAACAAATGCGGTCGTTCCTTCGATTGTGGAAAGCACACCTGCGAACAGGCGTGCCATCCACAGAATCTGGAAGCACCTCACTGCCTACGATCTCCAGATGTAGTCACCCATTGTCCTTGCGGCAAGACTGTACTGCGCGACATGTCAAGTGAATCTCGGACGGCCTGCGAAGACCCGATACCTAACTGCGATAAACCTTGTGGGCAGATGTTGGCATGCGGACATACATGCAGACAGCATTGTCATCAGGGCAAGTGTCGACCATGTTTGGAAAAGGTCAGCATTTCGTGCAGGTGTGGCCGTACATCGTCCCAGACGATATGCCACCAAGGTTCCGAAGAGCCTCCTCAGTGCATGCGCGTCTGCCGTGTCTCATTGAACTGTGGACGACACGAGTGTGGCGAACGCTGCTGTGCTGGCGAGAAAAAGGCTGCCGAGCGGCAATCCAACCGTCGCAAGCCGAGACCACTGGACTCAGCTCCTCGCCGGCCTCTCGAAAACTTTGAATCAGAGCATATATGTACCCGCAGCTGTGGTCGCCAGCTGAAATGCGGCAATCCTGAGCACCGTTGCCAGGAACTTTGTCACAAAGGTCCTTGCGGAACATGTCGCGATGCCATCTTCGACGAGCTCAGCTGCAATTGTGGACGCACTGTTTTGCAGCCTCCTCTACCCTGCGGTACCAAACCACCCCCTTGCCGATTCAAGTGCGAACGGCCCAAGGAATGCGGTCATCCTCAGTTGGACCACAGTTGCCATCAGGACGACCAGGCTTGCCCCAAATGCGCTTTCTTGACTACGAAACCATGTCTGTGCGGCAAAAGTGTTCTTAAGAATCAGCCATGCTGGCTAAGCGAAGTTCGCTGTGGCCAGGTGTGTGGTCGTACTCTCAAGTGCGGTACACACAAGTGCCAGAAGCAATGCCACAGACCTGGAGAGTGTGAAGAGCCTTGCACACAGGCCTGCGGAAAGGAGCTCAGCACCTGTGGTCATCCTTGCTTGGCTTCATGCCATTTCCCTCATCCATGTACAGAGGAGAAGCCTTGCCCGCACAAGATCTTCGTTACCTGCGATTGCCAGAGAATCAAGCAAGAGGCCAAATGCAATGCTTCAAAGAATAGCGACGGCAATCTGAAGAAGAACCTCAAGTGTGACGAGGAATGCGCACGTTTAGAGCGAAACCGAGTTCTAGCACTTGCTCTCAACGTCGATCCAGCCCACCAAAACGACCATATCCCCTATTCTGATGCCACGTTGAACATGTATCAACAAAACTCTACTTGGGCAGCCACACAAGAGAAGCAATTGCGGCTTTTCGCAGCTGATCCAGAGGAGAAACGCCTCCGCTTCAAGCCCATGCCTCGCAACCAGCGTGCCTTCATACACTCACTTGCAGAGGACTTTGGCATGGATTCTGAGAGTATGGACCCAGAGCCTCATCGCCATGTGGCCATTTTCAAAACTCCAAAGTTTGTCATGGCACCAATGCGAACACTTGCAGAGTGTGCACGCACTCGTCAAGTCCAACAGCGTATTGCTCCTGCACCGGCTCCAGCTGCCTCTTCTTCTGCAACACTACGTTCCAAGGCAAGCACTATGAATGCAGATCCATACAACGCGTTCCTCATCCTCAATCCTCGCTTCGCACTCACCATAGAGGAACTTGCTCCTATCATCAAGAGTGTACTGGCAACTACATCATTCCGCTGCGAACTGGAAATCACCTTTCTCTCAGACGAGTCAGTCGCATTGAAGCCGCCTCTAGCAGCACGTCTCAGCATCCCAGAACCCGACATGCAAGCCATGCTTGAATCCATTCGAGCACCGCTATCCCAAGCTCTCAATGCGCAAAGCGTTGGCAAGATCCAGCTCGCGCGACTCGACTCGACTCTGACGGTTCTCCGCAAAGAATCCGATGTCGGACCTGGATCTGGTTGGAGCCAAGTCGCAGCATCAAAGGGCATCCCTACACGACAGGTGCAGAAGAGCACACCATTTGGCAACAAGGGCGGCTTTGCAGTCTTGAGTCTGAGCAGCAAGAAAAAGAAGAAGGAGACGCCTGTTGAGGTAGCTGAAGATTGGGAGGCAGCCGAGGAAGAGGAAGAGCAGAAGGAGAAGACTAGTAGTATTAGTAGTGAGATTGTAAGGGATGACGAGGGTGCTGCGCCAACGGACGTGCCCGAAGCTTCGGAGTCTGTGGCTGTTGGTGAAGAGGATAAGGCAGCGGCTTCGGAACAGGAGGTGCCTCTGGCGACTAGACCTACGTCGGGTCGGTGGTCTGATCTTGAGGACGGGGAGTAGATGAGTTCTTCGCCATCTTCTTCGCCTGTTTCCGGAATAGGGTACCTGGAGACTATGGTAAAAAGTAGATGTCAGGTATAACAAGATAAATTGTACGAATGAACATGCCACAACAATATGGTCGTGACATGCAATTACACTTGTAAACAAATCATTTATCTTTTATTCTTCTAAATACTTAATGGCTTCCCAATATTAACAAGCAACACTCACCCCCTTTTCTCACCCACAAGTCTCCATCTCACAGCAATTACATCCCAAAATTAATGTAGTAAGCTCAACGATACGCGCAAATTGATATTTCATTCTTCGATAAATTCGTATTGCCCTGCAGTCAATCCCCCCAAAAAACGCCATAATCATGAACCGCAGCATCCACCTTCATAAGAAAACGCCTTTACATGCACCCCCCATTTCCCCCTCTCCCTTCCCTTCCCTTCCCTTCCACCATCTCCCTTAAAAATTATTCTGCTCCCTCATCGCCCTCTCCGCCTCGCCCTCACTGACAATCCTCTTGCCAATCCACTCCGTCTGAAAACTATCATTCAACTTGCTCAAATCCGCAATAACCTCCCTGCACGTCTTCATGACCGCTTCTTTGGGAGTGATAGATCCGTCGGTCTGGACGCGCAGCTCGAAGGTGGCGAAGAGCGGGTGCGGCACTTTGTAGGCGGCGAACATGACGGCGGGGTTTTTGAGGAGGCGCTGCGAGAGTAGGTTACCGAGGGTATGGTCTTCTTTGTTGAAGGTGAAGACGGCAGTGTTAGGAACGCCTTTGCGGGGTTAGAGAGAGGGAGATGGAAGGTTTGGAAGGGGGGAGGGGAAGGGAGGACGTACGAGTTTCCGCCTTTTCTTCGACTTTTTCTTGGCCTTCGTCGAGGAGGAAGAGCTCGAATCTGGGGGAGGCGGTGGTGGTTAGCTTTGTGTATGTAGCGCAGGGTATGGCGGGCATGCGCCAGTCGCGTTGACTCAAGAGGTTGCGCTGTCCAGGTGTTTACACGGGCTGGTGGTGGATCTACGTCGCATAGTCGTTGCGGTGCATCGTCCTTGCAAAAGAAGACAGGATCGTGGACCGCGCATGCCGAGGATGGCCGTGTGCATTGAATCAGAAACAAAAAAAGTAGAGACGTACCTGTCTGGCGCGTTCATGGTGCTGGTGTTGTCCTTTTAAATCTACTCTTCTTGGTCGTGTATATAAACGCGATTGCCTGGGACTTGCGCGGCGAAGAGGCAAACTTCTCTATTCGAGTGATGACAAAGACTCGAATCCAAAGGATCGAGTAAGGCGACTAGTTCGGAAGGGTAGGTTGGCCACAGGGAAAGACTGCGACAAGATGTAGTGGCTATGGGTATAGATGTTCGGAGGTGAGGTTGTTAGTCCGCACTCGATGTTCTTTGTGCCTTCTCTCACCGCCCAGACCGTGAACGTGCGTCCCCACACGAAGGCCCGAGTTCCCGGCCACGTTCACTCAAGGGCATTACCAGATATTAAGACGTGATAATACAAAATGAAGAGAAGCTCAACTAATCATAGTTGATTCTATCACTTACAAATTCAATCAGACTTCACACAAACAGCAACAACACTTGACAAGCAAATCAGCTAAGGTAATTGTCCTCGACAATATGCTCGAGTTGTTCGATATTCAGAAAGTTCTACGGGCTTTTTCTACAAGCCTCGTTGGCAGGAAGTGCATTGTAGCCAGCAAAAGCTGGAAAAAGACCAATTCCTCCTCACCTATTCCCAGTCCCACTGCCCAAAACACCTTGCCTCTACAATTCGCAATAGCGCCGCCAAACGCCAATAACACCATGCTTTCTCAACTAGGCATTTCCTCCACTGTGCACCATCAAACAGATTTCTCACGCTTTAGAAGAACAACGCTAAACAAGCAACATTAAAAGTATATACAGGGCAACGATGAGGAGGAGGCGTTTTCGCGCGAGGCCCCTACAGCCAATCGGGATACCTAGGTCCGGTTGATCTGCGCTTGCTGCATGCCCGGACTCTGTTGCATTTGCGGGTTTTGCGGTGTCGCGCTTCGACTGGGTGGTCGACCGTTCAATCCTGGACTACCGGCTTGCTGTCTGGCCATCAGCCGTTGTTGCTGAACAAGTTGCTGCTGATAGTTCTGTACCGCATTTGGCTGAGTGTTGGCCACGCCACCATTTTGCTGGAAGTACTGGTTGTTCGCCATTTGCGGACCAGGAGATACGCCAGGTGATCCAGCTGCTGCGTTCATTGCCTGTGTACGTTGCTTAGCCAGGAAACGGGAGAGGTGGTCGGAGGCCTGTTTTGTGACTTGTTCTGGGGTCCAGTCCGGATGCTGTACCTTTAGTTGATTTTGGAATTGGAGGAGTTGAGGCATGTGTCCGCTGGATAAGGGACGTGCAGGGGTTTGCATGTTTCCGTTGCCCTGGTTGATCCGTGGAGATCCGGCATTGTTCGACATTCCGTTCATCGCACTGTTCATGTTTCCATTCATGGCGCCATTCATGTTTTGATTAGGCATGGATGCCATCATGTTCGCGTTTGGCATGCCGTTCATACCCATGCCCTGGGACAGATTGCTGGCCATATTGATCTGTTGTTGCTGGAGTTGGAATTGATGTTGTTGGTTAGCGTTGAACTGGCCTCTTTGCATTGCCATACGCATCTGTTCCGGCGGACCCATACGTTGTCCGTTCTGCATGTTACCCTGCATCTGGGCCTGGGGAACACCTGGTGTGCCCATGGGGACACCAGACATGTTACCATTTCCGAAATTAGCTGGCATGCCTTGCTGGGATTGGTGCCCCCTGGCAGCCATTGTCGGGCCGTTCTGACCCTGCTGCATAGACACATTAGCCATTTGTGGAGGAACATTGTTGTTGCCCCCAGGCGTGCCATTACGTTGCATTTGGTTGTTGACACCGTTCGTCATCCCTGCTTGTGCCTGCATCTGGGCCTGCTGCCGCTGTGCTGCTATTTGTTGCTGTGTAGTGTCAGAAGCGTACAAACTTTCGGAACGGGGGTATCTTACTCTAGCCATCATCTCCTGCGCCATTTGCCGTTGCTTCAGCTTCTCTTCGCGTTCCCACTTGAGACGACTGAACTCTTGAGGCGTGTGAACGGTGTTCTTTGGTGGCGCAGGCTCGTGTGCCTTGCGAAGCGCAGCGGCCTTTTGGGACTCGGCTTGCTTGTGGGCAGCAGATTCGCGTTTCCTGGCTAACTTGCGCATGCCATCAATAATGGCGAGATGGCGGTTCTCCCTTCTCCTCTCAACTCGGATGGGCGTAGTTGTGGGTCTTCTTCGTGGCTGGCCTGGTGTCTGTCCCTGCTGCTGCTGTTGCTGCTGTTGGGCCTGGAACTGAGCAAACACAGTCTTGTTGGCTTGCTCCAACCGACCTTGGTAGGTGCGGAAGTACTGTGTCTTTGACATTTCTGCTGGCAGTCCCTCGAGCTGTACCCAGCGTTCGAAGCATTCCCAAGGTGTCCGACGACCTGATCCAGATACAAATAGCGATGGTAGAGACAGTTGCTGAGAAACCAGAGACCAGTTGAATGTGTACTCCTTGACCAAAGCTCGCAGCTTTTGGTCTTCCTCCCATAACCACTGCGACGGAGTCCGGTTCTCGAAGAAAGACACAGTAGGCATATTGAACTCTGTTGGCGGCCTGAACTGGTGGGCGGCTTGCAAACGGTCACGGACGTGCTTGTTCTCAGCATTAAACAATGCAACGTTGGTCATCTCTGGTGGCAGATCATTGCGGCAGAACAGTCTGCGGCCTGGAGTGGATGGCATCGAATGTTCTGCTGAGGTTCCACATCGACTTGGTGGCGTCGAAGGCTCATCTTCAGAGTCGTAGTCGTATCTACTTCGCTTCTTTGGTGGGCCTTGGATTTGTGAAACAAGCTTTCCAGTGACAAACTTCGAAACAGGAAGAATAGGGGGTTCCGTTAAAGAAAATGGATTGGTGTCGCTCGAGCCCTCGAACATGGGATCGTAGAGCGGTAGTTCCCGGAACATGGTATCGCTGGCAGGCGTGCGATTGATCTTCATGACGACATCGTTGTATCCTAGGGAGAAGAGACCAGTAGGAGGGTTGGCGTTGACAGGTGTGAGAACATCATCATCGTCACCGTAAGACTCGCTCTCTGTCTCATGCGTGCTAGAATGGACGAGGTCTGGCGTGGGGGCATCATTCATATCTTCATCGTTGCTTGTGCGCCTTGCAGTCTTCGGGATGTGTGCATTGACCCGTAGGCTTGCCCTTTCTTCCGATGAGCAGCTCACGTACTCGGCACACCACTCTGCAAATGTAGCAGCAAGAGCTTTCTTCCATTTCCTTTCTTCTTTGAAATCCGTCTGCATCCACTTCATTTCGAGGAGGAGCTGGTCCTGGTGGGTAAAGGGACGTTCGGGTTCAGCTGCCTTTTGAAGTTGTCGTAAAGACCACCGGTTGGCGTTTTGTAACTGATACACTCTCTTGAGGATTTTGTAGTCTTGGTGCTCACGAATCATTGCAAGTGTTCCTGCTGTCGACACCGTCTTTCTTGCAGATGCAACAAGGTCCTGTAAGGGCACAGACCGCGGAGGGTGATGAGCCTGGTATTTGAACAGTCCCTCCAGGTAATCTCGACTGGAATCTTCCGAAGCACCCTGAAGAGAGGCATAGTCTTCATTGTATGATTGCAGGGCTTTCGACGCTCGGGTTGGGGTCTTCTTTGCAAACACGATAGTCGAGACTTGCTGGGATTTGCGCTGGGTAGTCCTCGCTCGGGGAGGACTGGTGGAAGCCGACAGATTGCTCGAACGAGGTGTGAGGATCGACTTGTGAGCCGCCTTGTCTGAGATGATCTCGGAAACAGATTTCTGTCGAATTGCTCCAGAAGCGACGCGGGTGGTCATACGGTCGTTGTGAGAGTTGTGCCGTTGGGGTGAAGTTGTACCCCGCGTGTCTGTCGCTGGTGCATCACGCATCTCGGTATCCACGTCAGCAGGGGGTGTGGGGTGATCAACAGTAGCGGAAATAGGTTGCGATTGGCTGTTTCTGCGGTCGGCATTGTCACGGTCCAGGGCCGAAGGTTCCGCAGCGACCGTAGCTGGCGTTGGCAACGAGTCAACCGCATTGTCCTGGGCGGTCTTCCACTCAGTCGACTGGTCCGTGTCTGGAACATTATTACGTGAAATATGGTCGATACCCTCTGTCAACGAATGCACGTCGCTTCCGGGCTGTGATTCGCTTAAGCGGCTCTTTCCGTCTCGCGCTATGCGTATTGCTTGCTCATCTTCTAGCTGCTTCTCAATGTCGGGTGTGGGAGAGTCCTCTTCACGTGCTCGAGCATGTTCCCTTGCTTCCGTCAATCGTTTTTGTAGCGCACGCTCGTGATCCTCCTTTACTTGTTGAGCAGCAGGGTCGAGGACATCGTCGTCTGGTAGCGGTACATTGTTGCGTTCCTTGTAGGCTTCCATGTCTGGGCTGGTGTCGGGAGAGTGGTGTTGAGCATGTGGTGTCGCCTGAGAGTATGGTCCAACGGTGGATGATGGCGAGGACACATCGATGGACGCATGTGTGGGAAGGTTGGCAAGACGTTCTTCTTCCTTTCGTTCCTTTTCAGCAGCCTTGCTCAGCCTCTTCTCCGTATCTTGCAGCCTGGCTTCTTGCTCCTCTTTCGGTGGCAGATGTACAACCTGTGGTGACTTGGGCTGGTCTTCGGTTGCAGAAGCATCTACATCTTCGTCCATTGGCGGGGCGACATCCTTGGGGTCTGCAGCAGGGCTATCGGCGGCAGAATCGTTCTGATCTCGTGCATCCTGGACAGCGTCGGCAGCTTCAAGGTTGACCTTTTCCGTTTCCTCCTCTTCCATAGGGGGCGTTTTTACATGCGGTGTCTTTACCCAAGGAACAACATTAATAGTGTCGCTTGGCATTGATGCGTCGACTATGTTCTTGGGTTGGATTGCATCAGAGGGCGAGGCAGAGGCAGCGCACAGTTGATCTTCAAGGCTGGGGGTGCCGACAGCTGAAGACGGCGATGATTTTGCGAAGACTGATTTGGTGGGATTCTGGAATGGTAGTGTGCTAGAGAGCGTTGTTTGAGTATCCGCGTGGGCCACGGGGTAGGGTAAAGATGCATCGTTGAAGCGTCGACCTCTAGAGACGCGACCGTGTTAGCAGATTGGGGGCAGCAGCGACGACGCGAACAACAGTAACTGTAGCGACAGTACAGCGACAATGCAGATGGAGAGGCATCTTACTTTGAAATGTCGTTTTCTTCGAGAAAATGCAGTTCGTCCTCGTCCGGTTCGTTGTAGACGAAGTCCTCTGGTTTGGGCTGGTGCCCGTTCAGAGTGGCATTGCAGCAGCCTGTTACCTTCCAGAGAGCCCGGAAATGGCGCTGCAACGTCGTGGATGCGAGTCTGGAAACATGACATTAGCACCAGACCACAACAACGCGCTATCAAAATAAACGGAGCGATTTTTCGGTGTCGCATTGCCGCATTTGATCGATATTATCGATCAAATGGCAAACGCGATGCACAGTTGTCGAGCATGACTTACGCGGCTTCATTTGTCTTCTCCTGGCGTAGGGTTTCCCGTAAACTGTCGAGGGACATATGAAGGCCGACTAACGGAGGCCGACATCCGTTATCCACGAGTGCCGCCGTTGTGATGAATTATGGGGGATGGTGGTCGCGTTGGTTGATGAAAAGGTGGTATGCGATATACTGGGCTTGATGCGCGGGACTTGCGAGAACGTGAGGGAAAGAGCACCCGCTTTCGCTGTTGCGCGCCGCATTGCAGGGTTGGGGCGATAAGCCCTGCCTAGCTTGGGCCCAATAGGCCTCCGCGGATGGCACCTTGCCGCTTTTGGGCTAGCTTGGCTTGCTGCATCAAAAAACTTCTGGATCTTGGACACCAACACGCGGAGAAGCAACAACAACAGCAACGCCAACAAAAGCAACAGTTAATCGACAATGGCCAAGAGGAAGAGAGAGAATGGCGAGAGCGCTGCCGCAGCCAAGGCCTTGAAGAGCAGGAAAAACGAGGTTGCATCAAAATTCAAGGAGCTTGCAGTAGAGGATGCCACCGAAGTGCAGACCACCGTCACAGAGAATGGCAATGCGATTCCAGACACAACAACCATCCAAGTTATTACTGGGTCCTACGAAAGAGTTCTCCATGGCTTTGCAGCGACTGTCCCAAGTGCCCTCCTTACTGGCCAAGACAACGCCTCAATGCCAGAATCCGACGCTCCAAAAGTCAATTTTACCGACACTTTTCTCTTCAACGCCCATGCGTCCGCCATCCGCTGCATGGCGCTCTCTCCCCTGTCCGACGAAACCTCCAAAGTCACGCTCGCAACAGGCAGCACAGACGAGCGCATAAACTTGTACTCGATTTCCACCGCTCCACCCTCAAAAAACCGACCCAAACTCCCTTCCCTCAACGGCGGCTCCATCACCGAAAACCCCAAAAACAAGGAACTGGGATCCCTCCTCCACCATTCCTCTAATATCACAGCGCTCTACTTTCCCACACGAAGCAAGCTCCTGAGCTCAGCCGAAGACAGCACCATTGCTATTACAAGAACACGTGACTGGACCGCCCTCTCAACCATCAAAGCACCAATACCCAAGCCCCAAGGCCGACCCAGCGGCGACACCGCGGGCCCTGGCGAAGTTCCCTCTGGCATCAACGACTTCGCCGTGCACCCCAGCATGAAACTTATGCTCAGTGTCGGCAAAGGCGAAAATTGCATGCGCCTTTGGAACCTTGTCACCGGGAAAAAAGCCGGCGTCTTGAACTTCGACCACAGCATCTTGGGTGCCGTAGGCGAGGGTCGCTTTTCCTCCGGCGAAGCCCGGCGCGTACTCTGGGACCCAGACGGCGAGGAATTCGCAGTCGGATTCGACCGCGCGCTCGTCGTTTTCACTATCGATTCCAAACCCAAGGCCAAAATCGCGCCCGAGCCCAGATCAAAAATTCATCAGATAATGTATCTGCCTAAGACGATGCAGAGGGAGAGTATTCTCCTCGTTTCAACGGAAGACGGCCGCGTACTAGTCTACGATACCAGTAAAACTATCACCCACGAAGACGATGCCAAAGCAGGGAAACAGAAGCAAGATATCCCAGAGAGCAAACTCCTCGCGCAAATCGGTGGTCCAGCCGCCGGACTAACAGGACGAGTAAAAGACTTTGAAATCTTACCGCTCTCACAGTCTACTTGTGTCATCGTCACCGCGTGTAGCGATGGCACAGTGCGTCTCTGGGCACTAAACACCTCTGATCTCGACGGTAAAAGCGAGCAACACGGAGAAGGGGAAAAGGGGTTCTCAGCACCACAGGTCGGAAAGCTACTCGGATCCTATTCTACTGGCACGCGAATCACGTGTTTAAAAGCATTCCCCATGACGGGAATACCGGATGATGACGACGACGACGAAGTTGAGGCGTCGGAAAAGAAGGAAGAGTCAAGTAGTGACGATGATAGCGAGTAACCCTTTTACAAAAAAGAAATGTCAAAATTTTCATTTCCATCCCTTTAGTTGCAATAGGGGAATTTATAATCCAGAATTTAAATTAACTACCGATTTGATAATCCTAATTCCACTTTCTCAAGATTCCTTCTCTTAGTCAACCCCACCCCTCCTTCTCTCCTTCTTACTCCCCGCTGGAATGCTTATAAATTCATAGTAACAGTCATACTATTACTATGCACCAACAGCGTGGGCGGCAACCCCTGGCACAAGACTTCCAAATCACTGATATACTTTACGCTCTCCGCCTCACTTTCACACGTCCCCTGCAGCGGACTTGGCAGCGTGGTGAAAATAACAGCTGTAGCTGAGCTATGACGCCGCATGAGTTCATTGAGGATGAGGTGCTGAGCGCGGCAGGGCAGGTCGTTGAAGGAGAGGGGTAGCGATTGGTGGGTTGGGAAGCCCGAGGCGAGAGATGGGGTCGTGCTGGTACCGGTGCCGGTTGGGGGAGGGGGTTGGCAGGTGGATGCGAGGTGGGTGGAGGAAGGGGGTGGGAGGGTGCTTGTTTGGACAGCGGAAGAGGATGTGTCGAGCGGGTTTTGGGTGGGTGCTAAGTTGGGTTTCGGGGTGTCGATGAACATGATGGAGTGGCCTTGGGGGTCTTCTTCTGTGGAGACGGCGGCGCGGGGGGTAGGGTTCGACGTGAATTTTGGGAGGGATTGGCGACGGATGGGGGGAGCTATGGTTGGGGGGTTTGGACGGGAGGAGCCGGAGATTTGGGAGGAAGAGCTGGCTACGCTGTGGGATTTTGGATGATTTTCGGCACGGAGGATGGCGGTGTCGGAGGCGCTGGCATCGGAATGGGGTTTGAGAGGCGTTACGGACTGTGTGGTTGGCCTGTCTTCGCCTTGTGAAGAGGCGTCTTTGCGGTTTCCCTTCCAGATGGCCTTGCGGAGGTCGAGCTGGCGGGAGAAGAATGAAGTGCTCGGCGCTGTTTTTCTGCGTCGCAGCGAAGTGGTAGGGCCATCTTGATTGTCCTCGTCACTTGATGCGTCCAGGTCGTATTCGTCAAAATTACTGCCGCTGACTACGGCCTCGCTATCTGATGCTACGCCCTCGTCATCAGCATCGTCATCTTCTCGCTCAAGTTCCCCGGTAATCGATGGTTGCGTATCACTGTCGCTATCTTCAAGTAGAGCAAGAGGTAATCTCTGACTACGCATTGCGAGTCTACCACTTTCTCTAACTGACGACCTGCGCTTAGCCTTTCGTAACATCTTTCTCAGCGCAGAGAAGCGCTTCGGGTTAGCATCTTGCTTGCCATGTTGAAATGAAGCAATTGGCCAGCTTGTGACAGCTTCAAGAATGTCGACCGTCTGCTCCAGTTCCTGGCTGGCTGTCAGACTGCCCTGTTGGCGAAGCCGCTTGATGTCCTGCCACCAGCGCTCATCTTCGAGAGAGTAGTCGATGTCCCGCCCAGTCTGGTCAAAGTCTCCTTCGTCGCGTCCATTAATGATAACTTCGTACATTCCCAGGTCTCCAGATGATAGCCAAAAGACGTGGACTTCGGCCTCAATACGTAGATTACGTAACAAGGTGGAAACACGCCCTCGTTCCTCTTCCACGTCCGTCTCATATTCGACGAAGACGCATACCCTCAGCTTGTATATGCGTTTCCACGATGGTACAGTGTGTAATATACAACCTAGTTGGAGGATGAGTGTATAAGTGTCAAAATTGGTTGTTAGGACGTTCTTCCGAAGGGGTTCATCACCAGTGGTAGCAGTCTCTGCTGACATTTGAATCGGCCAAAGGTCAATGTACTCCTTAGATGGGTCATCAATCTCAATATCACCCAGACCGAGAAAATTAAGCGTTTTTTGCTTTGTTGTTAGCCTTGCAGGTGGTACCTCAAGCTCTTGAAAGCCCTTAGCTATGGCAACATTTGCTTGGAGCCTTGTAATGAGGTCTTCTATGATGGTCACATAGCTGCGGATTGCGATTGCATTCTCTGGCTTCATGGCGTCTGTAGGAAGCGGACTGTGCGTGTTGCCAGTCACGCGGCGTCTTGCTGCTGCTTGTACAGCCTTCCGAGACATGGGGTTGTTTGCGGCCTTGCTGGTGGGTCGCGAGGGCTGGGGTGATGGAATTCCCACTGATGGCTGTGTTTGCCTCAGCTCCGGCAGATTGTAGAAACCCATGACGACAATGTTTGGTCTCATACCACCCAAACCTGCACCTAGTACGATGTTGCGAGCACCCCACTCTATGCTAGGTGAGATAGCGATATTCACAAACGCTTTAATCCTGGAGAAATCGATATACTTTGTCCAGGATTGTTGTTGTCGTCTAGCCTCGGGCACAGCTTCACCAAAGTCATCGGAGACAATGACATGTCCTAGGACAAAGAGACCTCCTTTCTTCAGAGAATTGCAGAACTGAATTAGTTTGTACTGCCGCCTTGGATCGTTGACTAGGAGCAAAATTTGTGGTCTCCAGAACTTGACGTGTTCTTGGCGCAGACGGAGTAGGTATTTTCGAACCTGATGGAAGATAAGATTTTGACTAACGTCTCCCCAGGGCTTTGGCGGCGTCGTGTAATGGATCAAGAGGAAAAGGACCATCAACAGACCTACGCAGCCGGAAGCATAGAAGCCATCAACAAAGAACATAGTCGCTCCACATGCAACCGTTCCTATCGCGGCTGTCTGCCAGCTGAAGTGGTGGAATGAAGGCCGGAAGTTTGGGGCAGATCCAATTTTGAGTAAGAAACAAGCCAAGTTGGTGACAAGGAACGTCATGAGATACTGGAAATGATTAGACGGTGAGATTGTAAGTGCAAGATATGTTCGTGAGCAGACATACTGTCATTGTGATGAAGGAAGCAATTTGGTTGATATCGGCAAACATGGTGATTTGGGCAATGGCATAAGTAATGACGATGGCGTAGATTGGCTGTGATGGGTTAGATATCAGGCTTATATGTTCGTTGTCCAAGTGGAAGAACATACTTCATCAGACTTCTTGGTACCTTGACCAAATAATGAAAGTCCTGGAATGAGATGATCGCGAGAAAGAGCCTGCAAGAGCTTGGAAGAACCAATGACACCCATAAGTACTGAAAACAATGATGTCGCCATCTCGCCAGCAAGAATGACGGCACCGGAAACATTGGTTAGCTGAATAACATTAGTATTACTGTAGAGGGTCTCGCGGGTTATGGATGCCGCCATGGCGAAAATGACAAGAGTGTATAGAACAAAGGTCAACCCTATGCCGTACAGGGTGCCCTTTGGGATGGCTTTACTGGGGTGCTTCAAGTCTCCGCTCATGCTAGCACCAGCAAGAATGCCTCCTGTGGCAGGGAAGAGAATACCAAAGAGATCTTGGAAATTCTCGCGGCGGTGAATTACACTGCCTGCCGCGCCGCGGGTGAAGTGAGGAAGCAGGTTCTGACGAAAGGTATCCATACTAAGGCCTGTAAACACAACGTGCTCCTTGGGCTCAGAAAACGGAGGTAAGACTATAGCTGAGAGGGGAATGCTGATGGTCGCGACAAGCAGAATGACTAGCAGTCCATTGCTACAACGTGCAAACAGCCCGCTACCAGCTAGACAGATGATGGTAGATGCGACCAAGACAATAGTAGCCCACAAGAATTGCCACCAGTAGCTCTGGGGCATCCACTCTGCCATGTTACCTCCATGGGTACCAAAGTTCTCGATGAGACAGTCGATCAAGCCGACGGCGTTTAGAGAGGTGTTGAAGACGGAGCCAAGGTAGTAGACAATGCCGATACTTCCCCCAAACTCTGGTCCCAAACTTCTCGAGATGAGGTAGTAGGCTCCTCCGCCCCTGACGGTGCCGTTGGTAGCGATTGCAGAAATACTCAGGGTAGTCAAGAGGTTTATAGCATAGGCGGCAATCAACATTGCCATTATGCCAACCAGTCCAGCTTGGCCCAGGAGGAAGCCAAAACGCAGAAACATCAAAATGGACAAGACATTAAGTGTGACAGGGACGAAGACACCGGCAAAGGTGCCTAGCTTGTCTGTGCCTCCGACGGGTCTGGGGAAAGCCCCAGGCCGTGGTTTGGAGGACTCGATGATAGGGTGCGTCTTGCCATGACTTGCGGGTCCCTGCCCAGGGGCTGCTCGAGACGAAGTGAACAAATTAGAGAGCCATCCACCTACACCTCGCCGTTGATGCTCAGTCTCCTGCGAGCCATCCAATACATTGCCATGTTGCTGTCCGCTGCCGGCTAGGAGCGGAGTACCCTCAGTCGGTGGTGATGATGGCGGTGACTGCTGGACAAACGAGCGGCGATGCAGTCGCTCAGTGTCGTCGCGGGCAGTACGAGCAGCAAAGTTTGAGCGTGCCCTGGGCAATGGGCGTCTAGTCAAGTCGTTGTTGGCATTGTCTGCATCGGTCATGGTCTAGGCATATGTAAAACCTGGTTCTGGGCACGTGTGGATGGTTACGTCGACGGAGGTCAGAGCGCAGGCGCGGGATCCGCCGATGGTTCTCTTGTAGGTATGTATCGTCGCCAGTCTGTTGAGACGACCAGACGGGAAGACTGCCGGACGGCAAGGAGCAGAAAGCAGAAGGGCGATATGCAGCAGCAGCGGTGACTAGGCCGGAGGAGCGCTGATGGCGCAACTATGTATGTTCACAGAAAACAAAGCCGGCCAGCGCGCGTAGGATGCAAGCATGAAGTCATGGCCATGGGAGGAATGCGTAGCCTCAGTTAGCGCCTTAGCCTCATTCACCGTTGGGGCGCATGCAGGGAGGCCGTGATATGGTCATCCCGCGCCCCACGCCTCGGCCAAATGACCTCAGCCTCCCGCTCGGCACAGACAATCAATCGCTGTCGGACCAGTCCGTTCTTCTGAGTCCTCGTTGTGCTGGCTTGCGTCTTGTCTTGCTGTCTTGCACTCCGCGTCGTCCACTCGACTCGACACTTTTCGCGTTTTGTCTATAATCCACGCGCAGACACGCATCCGTTGCCCGTCTGCATCGCCAAGTTATATCTGCAGGCCCCCTGTATCGCGGCCTTGCATACTTGCACAAGAAGAGGCAGATAAGCGAAGCTTCCTACTTTTGTTATCGCAACCGGTTCTGCTTCGATACTCTCTCGATACACGACGCGACCCAAAATGGCGGCCGACCGTTCCTCGTCCTCGAATCCGCCGGCAGCGTCGTCGTCTTCGGCGCGAGCATCTCGCCAGAGCTCTCCAGCCGAGGCCCAGTCCATTCGCGCAAGCTCGACGGCAAGGCTGGGTTCATCTATTCCTTCTCAGCCTAACGGCTCGCCAGCTATACGCCAAATACCTACACCCTCGCAGACTGCAAACTCGCCGTCAATACAAACACCTTTACCTGGACGCGTAGACCCGCACTCGTCACTTCCTGGGCCATCCGAGTCGAACCTCTCGTCGGCACTGAGGGAGTCGTTGGGCAATTCTCCTCCACGATTCGGCACCCCTCCGATACGTCCCCTCTCTCCCGCCCAGGAAGCCGCCCCTCGCGGCCCTCCCAGTCACTATGGCTCGTTCGACGGCCGTGGCCGCTCCCCTGTTCCCTACGAAGACCCCGAGATTGTCCGTCGCCATCTTGTCGGACACTATGCCTCGCCTAGCCGCTCCAACCGCGGCCAGATAGGCGACGATGATGCACAGTCGACAGGCATGCGACCTGAGGATGACGAAGAGCAGTTCTCCAGTCTGCAGCTTCAGGGCGGTGATATTACGCGACAGATCTACAGGTGGAGCGAGCAGCAGCAGGCCGAGGAGCAGGGCAAGATGCAGCGCAGCAAGAGCTTCCACGGGTCTCGCCGCAAGCCTGAGGACGAGGCTCTCGATATTGACTCGATCCGACAGCCAGGTGGTTTCCGACGTAACTACATTCGCAGAGCTGCGGGTAGCCCTTCGCCCGCACCCGGGCCGGCTGGATACGGTACTGTCCAGCAGTCTCGGCAGCAGCCCCCGGTCTTTACCAGCAACTTTCTCGAGTTCCTCACTCTGTACGGCCACTTTGCTGGTGAGTCTTTGGAAGAGGACGACGAGGTGCTAGGACCTGATGAGTACTTTTCGTCGGATGCTCTCGACTCTGGTGCGCAAAGCGAGGATGAAGACCGAGAATATGGCGAGTCGAGTGCCCTTCTTACACCGGGGAAGCGCAGGAGACGCAAGCCCAAGAAGACAGGCACAGGTTCTCCTACTGGTGCGGCTATGCTGCTCCTCAAGTCGTTTGTCGGAACGGGTGTGCTCTTCCTGCCGCGAGCCTTCCTCAACGGTGGCATGGTCTTCTCCAACCTCGTACTTCTCGCAGTAGCTGGCCTCTCATACACGTGCTTCGTTCTTCTCGTCTCTACCCGTCTCGTCGTCGAACACTCATTCGGAGACATGGGCTTCCATCTATACGGCAACTGGATGCGTAACATGATCAACTCCTCCCTAGTCGTCTCTCAAATCGGCTTCTCCTCCGCTTACATTGTCTTCGTATCCGAGAACCTGCAAGCCTTTGTCCTCGCCGTGTCAAACTGCAAAACCTTCATCGACATCAAATACATGATCATGATGCAAATGGCCATTTTCCTGCCCTTGTCGCTCTACCGCAACATCAACCACATCCAGAAACTAGCGCTGGTTGCCGATCTCTTCATCCTCATGGGTCTCGTGTACCTCTACTACTATGACATCTTTACTATTGTGGATCAAGGCGGCATCTCCGATATTGCAAACTTCAACGCCAAGGACTGGACTTTATTCATCGGCACCGCAATTTTCACCTTTGAAGGCATCGGTCTCATCATCCCCATCCAAACCGGCATGAAGGATCCCAAGAAGTTCCCAAAGGTACTCGGCGGCGTCATGATCATCATCACCGTGATTTTCCTCAGCGCCGGCGCCCTTTCCTACGCCGCGTTCGGCTCCAAGACGAAGACTGTCGTCCTGCTGAATATGCCCCAAGACAACAAATTCGTCAATGGCGTGCAGTTTATCTACTCGTTGGCTATCTTACTTTCGACCCCTCTGCAAATCTACCCTGCGATCGAGATTACGAGTCAACAATTGTTCAGTCGTACCGGCAAATACAATCCCTATGTCAAGTGGAAGAAGAACTTTTTCCGCTTCTTCATGGTGCTTGTTTGCGCGACGCTGGCGTGGGCTGGCGCGGGTGATCTGGATAAGTTTGTTAGTCTTGTGGGCAGTTTCGCGTGTATTCCGCTCGTGTTTATATATCCTGTAAGTTCTTGCCTTCCAAAGTATCCTTCATCTAGTTCGAGGTTTTTGACTAACGAAATGATACAGCCTATGCTCCATTACCGCGCCGTCGCTCGCACAACAGCTGCCCGCGCTTTGGACGTCCTGCTCTGCATCGTTGGCGCAATCAGCATGGTGTACACTACGACCCTTACCGTTGAGAGCTGGATCCAGGGTGGAGCTCCCAAGGCACCTGGGTACTGTGATAGCAAGTAGTTGATTGACACTGTCCAACTCCTTCATTGTGCTGTTTTTCGTATCGACCACGTTTTCTTTGCCTTTTTCTTTTCTGAGAACGAGTTTTAGTTTTGCATCACGCGTCATGGCATTTCAGCGATAGGGGACATGTGATTTGAGACCTGGGACGCGAAGCAAGGGGATGGAGTTTTTGTTCGGTTGATAGGAATATTTGTATGTAACGATAAATTGGCATGTGCGCATTTATATGGATAGAGTGACAGAGTATGCGGATTAGGCTCTTTTTTTTTAGCTGCTAGTAATATGGATGCAAATTTGCAGTCTCATTGGCTTATTCTCCTTCCGCTTTGTGTGTTTTCTTGTACAGGCAATGTTCGGTACTAGATAGGAAGTCCTATGTTCCTTCCCGTAGAAGAGAAAACATGAGTCCTTACTCAACAAACGGTCACGTGCAAGCGCCGATGTTCAACCTGCACAAATAAAAATCACGTGGTCCTCTGATAAACCCATCTTTTCTCTTCCCCCCCCCCTCCTCCGATAAACATGCATCCGGATATCTGACTTGAGCCACAAGGATATATACAATAGCTCCAGCCTCACTTCCGTCACTTACTCATGGAATAGTAAGAAAAACCCCTCGTTGGAAGGGAAATACGAGGACTAGCGTTCCCATTAGTGGGGCTGATGGTTCAAAGTAGCACATAGCAAACGGGGATGATAAATAGGATCGAGATGTGGATAGCATAGGGCGTGGAAAATCAGGCCCCAGACTTTATCGAAAAAGCGGCTTGCAAGGCTGAAACAAAGGGTGTGCCAAGAATATGAGTGAGATAGAGTGAGAGCATGTGAGAGAGAGAGGGCGTGCGGCTGAAAAAGGATGATGCACCACGTTCTGACGGGATATGTTTGTAAGATAGAGAGAGGCGAAAGTGGGCAGGCGGGGCGGGTTGGTCAAAGGCGGTCAGTCAGAAAAAAAGAAGAAGAAGAAGTAGAAGAAAGGTGAAATGTGGCCTCTTTGAACCCGCTTTTGCCTGATCAATCGTATTTACGAAGCAAGGGGAGAGAGATTTGATTGATTGATTGAATAGAGGGGGGGAAGTGATAGACGCCCGCTGGTCTGGTTGGGACCATGTGGAAAAAGAGCCGGTCTGGCATCCCCTCCCCTCCCCTCGCAACCTCTCCCCCTCCGTCTCCCCCACCCCACCCGGCACGCCTTCCTCGTCTAGCTCGTCCCATACACTCGTGCAGCGGGCTCGCCAGCAGCGCTAGGTGACAACAGGGAACTTTGAGATTGTTGGCAATATGGCACTCGCTCGCCATTCTCACCGTGTTTGCTGCCGATTGCTCAACGGAAGAAATGGGTTGGCAGCTGGGACACGTTGAGGGTTGGAGCTGATGATTCGACCCTGTGGCGGGGTAACAATAACGCCCAGTGGCGTTTTTTTTCTTTACAATCTGCATCCAGAGTACATTGCTGTTTTGCTTTTGGGTTTGCTTTACGGCTTTTGGTTCGCGCGCGGCTTGCCGGGCAAAGCAATTGGGATACAGACATGCAGGGTGCTGGTTTTCCCTTCACCGTCTGATGGACGTACTTGCTATCCAAGAAGGTGGTGGGTGGGTGGGTGGAGAGCTGGAGCGCGGGTAGAGCTCCGCCGTTAGTGGGACATGAGCTTGAGGGCAGTTCCCACTTTGTTTATTTGCTTGCATTGTGCTTTTTTTGTTTATTTATTTTTTCTCTGCACGCATATACATACATATACATATGTAGGTAGGTATGCACACTGTACCAGCACACAGAGTCGAAGCAAACAAAGGATCGAACGTGATTGACAGGCCGATTGATTCGTCGTGCTTAGCTCCGTGTCGGGAGCTGCAACCCGGTACTGCTGACGTAGCATGTAGGAGTCGTGTATAGGGGGGGTTGTATTGGCGAGCAATTGCCTTACTACAGAATTAGAAATGCTTCCCGTAAGCAGTCCCTAGTTGGGGGGTTGGCAGCCGTCAGGTCAGGGACACGAGGTATTGAGTAGCATTGAGCAGAGAATTTACCAGCATATCGATGGGCAAAATGGTCGAGTGTTGAGTTAGTGTTTCTATTTTGGAGGTGCTGCGCCTCGCGGTCCCTGAGCAGCGATGGGTATGGCGGGCGATCGATCCAGGAACGGTAACGGGGCGACTGTGCACCCATTGGCCGCTGCAATAGTCGCGGAACCCGATGGGACAGGGCCCATGACGGGCGAGGGGGACGGGCGAGCATCGTCAGTCCGTTGCGCAAGGCTTGTCGAGTATACGAGCTTCAGGCGTGGTAGAGCGGCGCTACAGGTGGGTGCGATACGCTGCATTGGCGAGACTAGCAAGGTGGAGTGGACAAGGGCGCCGCTGGGGCATGCTGCTCAGTGCTTGGCTTGAGACGTATAAGTCAAACACACCACCGCTCTTTTCTCTCCTCACATATCCTGTCCATACCATCTCCTTCCCCCCTCCCGTTATCTTGTCCCTGCTGCCAATTCACCCCCACCGACAACCCTACAATCGCTTCCCATTTGTAATCGACTCCCCTCTTTCGTTTCTTCGCCATGTGGTAAGTTCCCACTGCCCCCGCCCTGCAGCTGTAGACCACCACAGCACACGCACACGCAGAGAAAGAGAGAGACTATGTCGATGGAAACATTGCAACATTGCCGCTGACTACTTTCCCCTCAACAGCGGAATCTTCGGTTACATCAACTACCTGGTGGAGAAGGACAGGAAGTACATTCTCGACACATTGATCAATGGTAAGCGGGACGCCCAATTCGCTGTCCTCACTAGCTCTCTTCCTACGGGTCTGGTTCTGTTGAGGACGGCGGGGTTTCACAATGACGACGGCTGACATTTGCTTTTTTTCTCCACGTCCAGGTCTGCAACGTCTAGAATACCGCGGCTACGACTCCGCCGGTCTCGCTGTCGACGGTGACAAGAAGAACGAAGTCTACGCCGTCAAGGAGGTTGGCAAGGTCGCCTCTCTCAAGAAGCTCGTTGAGGAGCAGAACTTCGACCTCGGAAAGGTCTTTGACTCGCACGCCGGTATCGCCCACACACGATGGGCGACCCACGGTCCCCCCTCCCGTGTCAACTGCCATCCCCACAGGTATGTTTGTCTTGTCTGGCTGCTCAATGCACCCTTCAGGCCCGCCACTGCATTCTGCTCGTGCTGACGCCCCACCTTCAGGTCTGACCCCAACTGGGAGTTCTCCGTCGTCCACAACGGTATCATCACAAACTACAAGGAACTCAAGACCCTGCTCGAGAGCAAGGGCTTCAAGTTCGAGACGGAGACGGACACTGAGGCTATTGCCAAGCTCACAAAGTACATCTACAACGAGCACCCAGACCTGAGCTTCCCATCGCTCGTCAAGGCTGTCATCAAGGAGCTCCAGGGTGCTTTTGGTCTCCTTGTCAAGTCTGTCCACTACCCCCATGAGGTTGTGGCTGCCCGCAAGGGTTCTCCCCTTGTCATTGGTGTACGGACACAAAAGAAGATGAAGGTCGACTTTGTCGATGTCGAGTACAACGACGAGGGTGCTGCTCTCCCCGCCGAGAGCGCCGCCCACAACGTTGCGTTGAAGAAGTCGAACAACTTGCTCGCTCCCCCAGACAAGTCGCTCCTCCACCGATCGCAATCCCGCGCTTTCCTCTCGGACGACGGTGCCCCAATGCCCACCGAGTTCTTCCTCTCCTCCGACCCATCCTCCATTGTCGAGCACACCAAGAAGGTCCTGTACCTCGAGGATGACGACATTGCACACATCCACGAGGGCTCCCTCAACATTCACCGCCTGCACAAGGATGACGGATCCTCCAACGTCCGTACCATCCAGACTCTGGAGATCCAGCTCCAGGAGATTATGAAGGGCCGCTTCGACCACTTCATGCAAAAGGAGATTTTCGAGCAGCCCGAGTCCGTCGTCAACGCCATGCGTGGACGTCTCGACCCTGTCAACAAGACCGTCACACTCGGTGGTCTCCGTCAGTACATCTCCACCATCAGGCGATGCAGGAGGATTATCTTCATTGCTTGCGGTACTTCTTACCACTCTTGTATGGCTGTTCGTGGTGTCTTTGAGGAGCTTACCGAGATCCCCATTGCCGTTGAGTTGGCCTCTGACTTCCTCGACCGCCAAGCACCCGTCTTCCGTGACGACACTTGCGTCTTTGTCTCGCAATCTGGTGAGACCGCCGACTCGCTCGGTGCTCTCCGCTACTGCTTGGAGCGTGGTGCCCTGACTGTTGGTATTGTCAACACTGTCGGTTCCTCCATCTCCCTCCTCACTCACTGCGGTGTTCACATCAACGCCGGTCCCGAAATCGGTGTTGCCTCCACCAAGGCCTACACCTCGCAGTTCGTCTGCATGGTCATGTTTGCTCTATCGCTCAGTGAGGACCGTGCCTCGAAGCAGAAGAGGCGTGAGGAGATTGTCGAGGGTCTCGGCAAGATCTCTGACCAGTTCAAGGAGGTGCTCAAGCTCGACCAGCCTATCAAGAAGCTCTGCGAGAGGTTCAAGAACCAAAAGTCTCTGCTCCTCCTCGGACGTGGCTCTCAGCACGCCACTGCGCTCGAGGGTGCTCTGAAGATCAAGGAAATCTCGTACCTCCACTGCGAGGCCGTCATGTCTGGAGAGCTCAAGCACGGTGTCTTGGCTCTGGTCGACGAGAACCTCCCCATTGTCATGATCCTAACCCGGGACGACATCTTTGCCAAGTCGCTCAACGCATACCAGCAAGTCATTGCCCGTAGCGGTCGTCCAATCATCATCTGCAACGAGAACGACCCCGAGTTCCCCGCTGACAAGACTGACAAGATTGAGGTGCCCAAGAACGTCGATGTTCTCCAGGGTCTTATCAATGTCATTCCTCTGCAGCTTATGTCTTACTGGATGGCGGTTGCCGAGGGCGTCAACGTTGACATGCCCCGCAACCTTGCTAAGTCTGTGACTGTCGAGTAAGCAAGCGTTTGTGTAGTTTACATGGCGTTCTCTGGGCTAGAGAAGCTGTGTATCATTTGGGATTTGGACTAGATGTGGGATTTATGAATGGAAACTCTGGACGCAGCTTATGTGTATGGCATTGAATTTTACGATAACTAGGATGCAGAGCGATGCGTTTTGCGCAGCTTGTGGTACTAGAAGAAATGAACAAAATATCTCTTCATTACTCGTATTCCTTTTGCTTATATGTAGTATGGTACTGATTGCTTGTGTGGCAGGGTGATGTAGGTGCCCGCATGGGTCGGTGAGGGTCTAGTCACGGCGCGGCGTTTCATCCCCCTGGTCTGATGACAGCATTGTCAGAATTGGGGATCCCTGCCTCTCGGTTGCGGGGCAGCCTCATGGTAGTGCGCCGGTTCCTGCATCCTTGAACCCGCTCCCAAGGCCAAGCTTACAATACCCCGACGGTTCCAGAGCTGCCTGCGCATACTTCTTCCTCCTCCAAACGTCTGCTACATATACTCGGATATATACGGAATTTTACTATGGCATCCCTCAAAGGTCCCGGCTCGCCAAAGACATACGATGGTCCGTAGCTCTCGCATGCCAATGCCAACCCCGCCCCCACCACCACTACATCCTTCACCCGCCCTTAGGAACTCCATGCTGACGCGACATGAGCAGGCTCTGGACTGCGCATTGGCATCGTCCACGCAAGATGGAACACCAAGATTATTGACGCGCTGCTCGAGGGCACAAGGAAGAAGCTGAGGGAAGCGGGTGTCAAGGACGAGAATATCGTTGTGCAGGATGTGCCTGGGAGCTACGAGCTGCCGTATGCTGTCAAGCAGTATGTGGATCATGGAGGAAAAAAAAAGAAAGGTTCAAGCTAACGCTCATTTCAACAGACTATACTCGGCATCCCAGATCCAATCTTCCAACACAGGCGTCGTAGGCGCAGCAGCCGACCTTCTTGGCTCAACATCCGATCTGACGGCGCTCACCGGACAGTCAGCTGCCAAAGTATCCAACCAGCCGTTTGACGCTATAATCGCCATTGGTGTGCTCATCAAGGGAGAGACTATGCACTTTGAGTACATTGCCGACGCTGTCAGCCACGGACTCATGAGGCTGCAGCTAGACAACAACGTGCCCGTCATCTTTGGGCTGCTGACGCTATTGAGCGATGAGCAAGGTCTCATGAGAGCAGGAATTGGCGGAAGCGACGGCAAGTCTGGACATAACCATGGCGAAGATTGGGGGAGTGCAGCGGTCGAGCTGGGTGTTAAGCGCAAGGGGTGGGTTGAGGGTAAGTTTGTCGAATAAAGTATTGTGGATGGAAAAGATGCGCATAGCTTATAAGAGCTGGACGCACGCAGAGGAAATATGCTGGTATATACTCCAAAAAAAAACGAAGAGTCATTTGTGACACAAGCATGGTCATTTCTCAATTGCTGACAGATAAGGTCAAACTCTATTGTAGCAACTGTGCATATTACGTTCTGACATAATGCGGACATTGGATTTGTCTTTGGATCACGTTCCAGGAACCTACGATATGCTAGTTTTGGTATTACCGTTTTTTTCTTTCACCTGGTCCTTCTGGTCCAAGTAAGAACCACGGCACGTTAGTACATGTACAGTCACGAGCCAGCCTTCATAAACCATGCGCATGAGGCGTAAAGCCTGTGTAGTCTCCTCCCAAAATAGCCCCAGATAGCATCCTCAGCTGGTGTCTTCCTTCCAGTCTTTGGATTGCTTCCTCTGTGTCGCGCAGTTTTGGTGTCTTCCAGCCAGGCTGTGCGTATATGTGGCAGTGCTAGTGTGGCAACCGGCGCAAGGCGATCGCGATGACGCTGTCAGAGTTGACAACGGGCGGGACGTGCTTTGGCACAGTTTGCTGCGCAGATGCGAAATTCAGTCTCTTGGTAGCATTTACAGGCGATTTCTGATGCTGGAGTCTATGCGACCGTGATGGCTGTGCCGTAAAGGTGCATTGTCAGAGGACAGTCGAGTTGATGAAGGATGGTTGGCAACAAGACCACTCTCCTTTTCTCCTATGGGCCGCTAGCTTGGCAGCCGGGATCCGCAACCTCACCTTGCAACCTCATATTCCTCAAAGACCACCCTCACTCAATACAAGCACCATCTGTGTGAGCGGAGCACTGTGGACTGGATCGCCCATCTCGTCCGTTTGCCTTTTCCATCTCTTTTCCTCTTTACCGCCCCCGCCCGGCCCTCCTGACACGTCCTCAGTACGCGGGTGCGCGTTGTCCCATACAACCCTGTTGCAGGCTTGCAGCTGCACCGAGTACACCCAACTCGCAGCGCCTCAACCCACTTTTCGTCCATCATTCGCCGTCACACCAGCATGGAGGGAGCATACACGTGTTGATACGCAAAGTCGATTGGGATTGAGGTGCGCTTTTGCGGCGTGGCCACAAACTGCCTCTCGATACAAAGTCTATGCTAGCAATACTACGCGGCGAAAAAGACGACAGGTGACTGCGGCAGCTAGTTTTGTGCCGCCGGGTCACTTATTTTCTTAATCCCGCCTTCGAGTACCGTGGCGACGACTGTGGGGGACACGCGCGGCCTTGGGGACAAGAATACAGATTTGCCCAGAAACAATGCGCAGCGCCCAAGCTATCTGCTAGACGACATTGACTCGAATCCCTCCACCCCTACGCTTACCTCGTCCATACCCTCCGCCCCCTGGACCATGTCGCGCTCTGGTCACAACAATTCACTGCACGCCCTCACACCCTTGACCAGCTCAGATTCTTCTCCGCCTGGCAAGTTGCCCAGCCCGCGGTCTTCCAAGCTCTCACATGAGACGATGCACGCGACCTCATCCTCCCTACGCGCCGCCCCATCGAGCGCATCCAACAATGTCGCCGATACCATCACACCCATAAACACTCCGCCCGAGTCACGCAGATCCGTCTTCCCGGCCGACGGCGTGCTGGGCCAGCGCTCCACCTACGACGCACAGCTTGACCCAAAACTTGATAGACGGGCGAGGGCGAAGGGAACGGCGAAATACAGCACAATACTGGACAAGGTACGTGAAGGCTACATATACATACATACATACATAGATGTGGTCGCCCTGTGACGCTAAGGCTAACTTGACTTGTGTTACAGGGCGACGCATCTCCTCCTCCCGACCCGCGCCTGGCCATTGCCGGCTATACCACTGGGAACTATGTCATTAAGACTTCTTTCACAGGTGCCCCGAAATCGAAACTCAGGATAGCGCCTTATGTAGCCAAGCCCTACTCTTTCGACCAGCGCATATCATGCGGTCCGGGACCTGCGACCCAAGTGGTCGTCACAGGATTTGATCCTCTGACTCCAGATGTCCAGCTCCGTAGTTTCTTCTCCGCCTACGGTGAAGTAGAGACTGTGCACAACCAAGTACACCCCGACAATGGCAGCCCACTTGGAATATGTCTGGTTAAATTTCGCGACACTCCACCCGGTCGTGGTACTACAGGCATGAAAGCCAGTACCTCGGCAAAAAGAGCTGAGCGAGAAGGCACCAACCAGCGCCTTGCCCAGCACACGATCAAGGTACAATCGGATCGCGAAGGTCGGAGATGTTCAAAACTGGTGGATGTAGCAGTGCAACAAAGTCGCAAGGAAGAAGAGAAGCTACGAGCCAAACATGCCACGAAAACAGCCAGCCTCGCGACGCCCACCGCTCCCGCAAACTTCGACTTGCCAGCCAATGTTCCAAAAGGACCCTCTGGGAAGGGCGCTCGTCCACCGATGCCGATGATGCGGGAACCGTTGACACGAAAGGCAGCGCTTTCGTACCTCATCGAACGAGAACCGATCAAACCTACGCTGAAACGAAAGCCTTATATCTTCATCGCACACGCATACGTACCTGTCCTCAGCACCACGATTGAACATCTCAAGAAGCGGTTAAAAAACTTTCGGTGGTCTTCGGTAAGATGCGACCAAACAGGTTATTATGTGACATTTGAGGAATCGAAGCGCGGCGAGGATGAGACTGTTCGATGCTATAAGGAGTGTCATATGCAGGCTCTGTTTACGTATGTCATGAACATGGAGTGTAACCAATATGGCGATCCGAACTATGAACGAAGTCCTAGTCCTGAGCGTGTAATTGCCGATAAGAAGCGCAAGGCCATGGAGAAGCGAATAGAAGAGGAAGAGGCGGAGGACTTGGAATGGGAAAAGAAGCAGAGGGCAGACTCGCTGGATCCTGTACGGGCTGCGTTGGACGTTCTGAAGCAGGAGTTGCAGGAAAAGCTTCTTGGAGACATCAAGACTAAACTTGCCGCACCCACCATACTGGAGCTACTGGATCCTGAGTTGCACGTCGAGAAGCGCCGAAAGTACAACATTCCAGGTCCGCCAAAGAAGGACGAGGATGTTCGACCCCCAGCGCTGCTCGCTCCAGGCTTCGATGCTTTCGGTGCAGGTACTCCGAGAGGTCGCAATGGAGGCCTTGGTGGCCGTGGTGGTCGTAGAGGATTTGGTGCTTATGACCCCAGCACGAGACGTGGAAAGAAGCCTCCAAAGGTTGTCAATGCGTTTGCCGACGAGCGAAGAAAGGCATCCGCACCCAAGCCTCGTGTGGCTCGTGGTTTGCATCGCCAGATGCTTGAAATGTTTGAACCAGAAGAATCGGATGACGAAAACCGCAGCCAGTTGACACGCGGCACTGAGGAGCAAGAGAGCAGACCTATCAGCCGAGCTCCTTCTACGGATATCGAAGATGAAGTGGAAGAGTCGTCGAGAGCTCACCGTGCCAAGCGACGTCGCATTGAGACTGGCTGGGGTGAAGATAGTGATGAGGAGATGGACGATTCGCACGCGAGAAGTTTGCTTGCTCATTGTATTCACAAAGACCCTGAAAACATGGCGGAGAAAGAGCTAGAACAGGTTCTCGCAATTCTCCCACGCTCATCGCCAATCTGGAAGAAGGCCGACAAAGCGCTCAAGGGTTTCAGGAGGCTGCGGAAGATTGAACAAGAGGCAGACGTAATCTTTGGTGTCGAAGGAAGCCCGATGGACAAGACGGAGCCCGAAGTGATTGTCACTCAAGATGAAGAGGCAAAGAAGTCTATCGAGACGACCGAACTTCCCGAAACACTGACATCACTCAAGAAGAAGGCTGCCAAGCCAAAGAGAAAGACCAAGAAGCAACTTCAAGAGGAAGCGAAGGCTGCAAAGGTGGAAGTTACGGAGATTGAAGTACCTACAGAAGAGGAGGCACCTGAAGTCAAGGAGGTTGCAGAGATTGCTGAAGAGGCGGTGGTTGAGGAAACTACTCCAGAGCAAGATGAGCGGGCCTCTTCTGTTTGCTGGAGCGTATCTCACGATATACCTCGCAAGACGGTTGATGACGACTTTAGTGTTGTCATGGATATTGATGGTTGGCAGCATCTGCTCAAGGATGAAGAAGATCTACGTCTTCTTAAGCAGGCAGTTGAATCCATCGCTCCCGCCAGTATTGGAGATGCTCAATCATGGGCCTGGAAACAGAAATCCATCAAGCATCTCAATCGCAACGGCCAGGAGGGCGTTTCCCGCACCGAGACCAAGATTGAAGGATACTACGTTCCCAACGCGACTGGCTCAGCTCGTACAGAAGGCATCAAGAAGATTCGCGAATCTGAGAAATCGAAATACCTACCTCATCGTATTCGCGTACAAAAGGAGCGCGAAGAACGCCAACGCCGTGCTAAGCAAGAGGAGCGAAGCGTCGTGTCAGTCGAAGGCTTCAAATTCCAGACGAGTGCCAACAAAGCGTCAACCGCAAACTCACGTGCCAACCGCGCCAACAACCGTCGCATGGTCAACGACATTAATATCTCCAAGAATCTTTCTGGAGCTGAGGGTGATGCTCTCCGCTTTAATCAGCTCAAGAAGCGCAAGAAGCTGGTCAAGTTTGACCGTTCAGCCATCCACAACTGGGGTCTGTACGCCCAAGAACCGATTGCCGTCAATGACATGATTATCGAGTACGTTGGTGAAAAGGTCCGACAGCGTGTGGCCGATCTCCGAGAAGCCAAGTACGACATGCAAGGCGTGGGATCAAGTTACCTGTTCCGAATCGACGAAGATACGGTCATCGATGCGACAAAGATGGGTGGCATTGCACGCTTTATCAATCACTCTTGCACGCCCAATTGCACAGCCAAGATTATCCGTGTCGACAACACCAAGCGTATTGTCATTTATGCGTTGAGGGATATTCAGTCTGGTGAGTTTTGTCTGTATTCCAGTTTTCTTAATGCAATAATACTAACCCAACTCTCTAGACGAGGAACTCACCTACGACTACAAATTCGAGCGTGAAATTGACGCCACGGATCGTATTCCTTGTCTCTGCGGCTCAATCGGTTGCAAGGGCTTCCTTAATTAGGGTTTTTTCAATGGTACATACCCCCTCCCCCTTGTCTTCCTCCACATACATCGCCTCCTCACCCTTCTTCAACGCTCATCAATCAAATGCTTCAACGCTACTCCATCCCCCATTACGCTCGACGTGGTCTGTACTCTACTTTGCATACCTGTTTATATATATTACTCCTTTTTTGTCCTCTCTTTTCAACCCAACATTAGAATTTTCAGCACAGACTGTACGATGGTACTGTACTCCGTGGCGGCGGCGATGGTTGCGCTTGCCATCTGCCTTGTTTTTTGTCTTTTTTTTCGTCTTCTCTTTTGATTTATTGGCACCTCCCCCTCTTCGATTTTTGAGGGGGTCCAGGCCGCTTTGAGGAGTTCGCCTTTTTTGGGAAGAGAAAAATTCTATGTCTATTTGGGGATTAATGAGGTGTGGTGACGAGGATGTGGGCAGAGGGGGAGAAATGATGGTGTAAGAAGAAGATAACTGGGGAGGGAGAAGGAAAAGGGGGATGTCTAAAAGCTAATACGAATCCAAACATTGCACTACTTCTGCTGTTTTTTTTTCGACTACTAATCTTCTGGACGACGTTGTTTTCTCTTTCAAAGATGCGGTCTGTCCCCTTCTCACCCAGATACTCATTCGTACCGATCGCCCTTATCCCGTCTGAAAAGGTGGATATCAACAAACTACGCTGTTCATGCATTTATCTCCATTTGTCTTTCATGCCGCTCACCATATATCTATTTGAATCCACACCCCACTTTTATACCCATTCCCCCACCCAAAAACTCCCCTACCTATGCTATGCAATTCCGTTTCCATCTATACCTGGACATCATTTGTTATTCTGCTTGGTGCAACCCTCTCTACGCAATGACTATTCCCTCATTCCACACCATAGCTTACTCCGCAATCCTAGCAAAAACGATCGCTCGGGCCCATATACCAATCAATCGGCAACCCAAGCGTCAACGCCGTACTATCCGGATACCTCACCTCACTCCCACTCCTATACACCCATATCAATCAGCCCCAACTCATGCACCGAAAAAAAAGAAGAAGCAAAAAACATAACGCAGTGCAACGCACTTCGTACTCTTCATTTTCCCCTCTCTCTGCCTTTGCAGCACCTTGAGGATAACGCTAGCCTCCTGACTCCCAAAGTGAGTCGCCATATTTTCCAACTGCGCGACGCCCCAATCCCGTGTGTGAAGGGGGGCGTGCAGCGCCCATACTACCACGTAGATAGCGAAGATTATGACGTAGACATCCAGCGTGTGCGGAACAGTATGCGTATGCTGTTTTTCCGGATTCTCGCCTCCCGGAAGCTTGTGGCGAGCTGCATAAGAACAATGTGTCATGTGTGGCAGTGAGGCGCAGATTTCGCTGGTCATTTGGTTGATTGTAGTTTTTGCTCTTTCGGCGGTTAGGAGGGCGGTGGGAGGGAGGGAGGCGAGGATTTCTTCACAGAGGAGGATCCGGGTTAGGCGGAGGATGTTCTACATTTGGGCTACGGTGCGTGAGGGATAGATGGTGTAAGTTGGGGTCGGCGTTGGGGAAGGGGTGAGAGATGTAGGTCCAAAAGGGAGAGGCGGAGTCGGCGATGGCGGTGAGTTCGGTGTCTAAATAGTTGTTTCTGGATATTTTTTCGGCGGAGGTTATAGTGCCGTGTAGTACTGAGGCGGCTAGGCCTGTGGCTTCGAGGATGAGGCCGGTGAGTTTCCATTTGGGGTCGGAGGTATCGAGGAATTGGGTAGCGTGGTGGCGTATCTGGCGGATGATTATGTCTGTTGCTCTGCCTGTGCTGAGTGCGGTGAGTGTGCCGTTTAAAGATAAGCCCGTCACTGCTGCTATTTCTTGTGTTGTGAAGGATTCCACACCCCGGAGCTTGACGAGCGCGAAGGCGCCCGCGACGTGTGTGTGCTTGTCGTCTCCGATGGCGGACGCGGATTTGGAGAGTTTCTCGAAGAGGTCGAGGAGGAGTGCGCCTTCGAACGTGGACTTCGCCTGTGCTGCGCCGGGTGTCTGAAGCAATGCGTTGATGCTGCGGAGTACCTCGCAGTACTTTCTACGTCCGAGATTCCGTGCCGTCTGTGATGAGACCTGATGGGATAGGAACGCCAGGCTGACTGCCTCGATACCGAATGTGATATGGGCAGGGGCATTGGGCGAGTCGAGATAGTCGTTCAGAAAGCCCCATGTCCGACCAAAATCCGAGACGTAGTACCTAAAGAACATGTCGCGACTGATGACTTGTAGATTTTGAGCTAGGTGTTGTACTTTGATTTTGGGTATGCCATCAGTGCCTAGGCTCTGCCGTATAATAGCTTCGTTATTAGCCTTTGCTAGGAATCTGTTCCTGACGAGCTCAGATTCATCAGTGAACTGCAACTCGGAGGTGTCTCGATACCCACTGCATGCTATTCCTACGCGTGCACACGAGCTACAATGGGGGCGCTGTAGGTCACACTAAGGCCAAGTTAAGCTCTGAACAGTAATAATTCCATGCGGAGCGTGCACGTAATCTTCTCTTTCTGCACCTCTCGCAGGCTTTAGGGGGAATTCCGCGGAACACCATCGTACTGTTGTTTCTAGGGCTGTGACTAATGAAGCACGGGTTGGATAAAGCGCTCTCCTGGTAAGGTGCCGAGCTAAGGATGTAACAATGGAATCTGCCGAAGTAACCAAAGGATTGAGTAATACTCATGACGCGCCCCCAAAAACTGGCTGCAACTCAAATGATTGAGGTAGTAAGGTGAGATACGCTAGGCCCAATATGGTACGCAATTCGTGCAGACTTGATTTCGTATAGCGATTGAAACCTGGTAAAAATAGGCGATGCGATAGGGAATTAGGCTATAGACAATACCCGTTGTTCAGCCTAGAGGATGGAGTTGCCCTTTCGAGATAACAGTACATGCATTATGCAGCAGTGAACATGTACCAGTGCGATACACTTAAAGACTGATTAGACGTCTAGTCACTATCATCATCATACCTGTTCCCTGTACCCACATCCCCTAGTAAAACATCGTCAGGAGCAGGGCCCTTGTGGTTTCTGACCCACTCAGTCTCCACACGAAAAAAGATCCATATCCACCTCCTGAGTACTTCGAGCACTTCCATCGTAAAGATGCCGCCTTCCAAATCATTGAAGTGGTCGAGGTGTACACTGAGTTTCAGACTCCACGTACATCTCAGCAAGGCATCGACGACAACGGCAGCATAGTAAAACTCTTTTGCATGGAACCAGCGATGGCGGCGTAACCCCCAGGGATATTCGGGCGAATTTCGGGTGCGGGCACTGGAGAAGAGCGTCAGATCCCAGTCTTTGGCTACATCCCAGTAATAGGAGTAGCCAGAATTTACAATGACAGCGAAGAGCCACATGCGATAGAGAGTGGCTTCTGAGACACCGAAGGTTGAAGGGTCGGGCGATCGCTGCAATGCACTCAGGATGATGACGGGGAACGCAGTCGAATATTTTGCTGCGTTGGCCAAGTGCGTGCCTCCCCAACCGGTGGCCGGATTGATCTGGCCGGTACGCTCATTTCCTCTTTTGACACGGTAGTACTCCGTGATGCATTGCCGAAAGCGAATCAAGTAGGGGACCGTGATAATAAAGGGGACCCAAAAAGTTCCACCGCAGTTGCGGTTAGGCGCAGCAGTAGAGCGTTGCCCCGACGAGAAAAACATGCATAATGAAATGAACAAATCACCAAGGACTTTGGCATAACTTGTCAACGCATCTGCAAGCAATATGTCTCCAAATTTTCCATCTTGCGCTTCAGCAATGCCACCAGTGCTGATGCGCTTCAACGTTGCGAGTGTGCGCGAGCGTCCATTGCGGCTGACAAAAGGCACAGGCGCGATGAAGCCTATAACGAGGACGAGTAGGTAGAGGTTTGGAAGGATCTCCCAATCCGCAACGGCTTTGGGGTTACCGTGGGTAAGCGCCCAGAAAAGGAGGAGCGAGAGGGCGAGAGGGATGGAGAGGAAGGTTGCGATACGGTAGCAGGAGAGGTGATGCGGCGGGTGATGCGGCGAGGCGCGCGATGGATAGCGGATTAGAGAGGGGACGTCGATCTTTATGAGGGAGAGGTAGTGAAGGTTGAGGCCCCATGCCCATATACCTGTGGAGGTTGTCAGTCGCAAGCAACATTGGAGGCATAGGGCATGGAAAGGGTAGCAAAAGGCTGGGTGACAGCCAATCGCTAAGAGGGCTATGCATACCAAGCACAATTATGAGAGCGACGCGGTATGGTAAGGGTAAGATCCGAGTGAAGCCATCGATTTCCGGCTCGATGGCAGGATCACCGTCCATATCTCGATTGCGCGTAGAGTGTAGTGGCCGTGGCTGCGTCCCAGCTTTTCTTGTGTCGAGCAGTCATGAAGCTCGTTCAACAAAGTGCCAACGCCGAATTCAATCCTGTCTCTTCTTAAGAACCCTCGGTCGCGTGGGCGCAAAGGGGGCAAGGTAATCAATTCTCCATGCAAGATAGCGTGTCCACTTCCCCCAAAGGCTCTCCAACCAGACTAAAATTAAACACCAGCCACAGTGCTTAGCCACAGGCGCGTTACGTCAGCGAGCAGAGGTGTGGCACCGCAGTTCCTGGCGAGAGTGGGTCTGAGTGTCCTCGGAAGCTTTGCCCAAAGTACGCAGCCATGACGCGATCATCGCGACACAAACACAACGCCTCCCCGTTGCGTGCAATTGGGTATATGAATTGACGGGATAGAAGAGTCGCCCAGATCTCGGGACCGGTTGCAGTATTTGCTTATTTCTCCACAGTCTAAAAACTGCCCTGTTTCTTGAATAAACCCCAAGCCCAAGTTTCAATTGCATTCCGACCTCACTTGCTCACCTTTGACATTCTCAAAAAATACCACGCGCCTACATCACACCTGCACACCACCACACCCACACCCGTACCAGTGCAACTAAACAGATACCAAAGCGCACAAGCAACTATGTCTCCTCTTTCCGTGCCCAAAATCTTCATGGCTGGCGGTGCTGTCGGCTTCGGCTACTACCTTTACATGCGCCAATATTGGTTTCCCAACCCCTACAAGACCCAGGGCGTGCAGAACATCGAGGACCGCTTCTCCGCCGGCGGTGCCTCGCCCACACATACTCCCGCTGTTGCGAGCCAGCGCGGTACGGGTACTTTGGAGCCCCAGACTGACCATCTGGAAGTCACAGCGCATGATTTACTGACATTCATTTACAGGTAGCTCAACGGCCAACGAGGGAAGACATGGTGGTCCTAGCAAGGGCCCTGACTCAGAGTACTTCAAGGGAAACATTAGCAGTCAGCAGAGCGAGGTGAGTGATCTTCTGAGACATGGAGCGTGTGTGGGGATAAAAGCTAATATGCCGTTATAGCCTGTCTGGCCGGAAAAGTTCTACCAGCAGCAGTACAACAACCCCAAGGGCAAATAAGCGCTTTCTGACTGGACCGTCGAGGAAACATGTATGAGCGTGGAACTGTGTTGCGGGGATGCGACAGATATTGTGTGCATGGCATCATTGGCGTTTGAAAAAAGATGAAAAATACATAATCACGCGTTGCCTATATCCAAGAACCTCAATTACTGCGGGATGCATGGCGATTTCGAACAATCAAAAAAAGACATTATCAAGCTATTGCCCAACTGCGTGTTTATACTGTTGACCTCCAATCACTCTACCCTCCAATTCCATGGAAACCATGCTGTCATGGTAAATCATGTTTACCGCTCGTCATGTTTCTATAAATCGGTTCCCGTGCCTACAGCCTACGTCACTTCTACATCTTGGCATCGCCGACCCGTCTCGCAGCCGTGTTCCTACTAGCGTCCACAACAAGTCCCACGTGATGGCTCAGAGCCACCAACTCGCCTTCGGTATCATGTACAAACACCTCTATGTCCATCCTGCCATTGAAAACCTTCTTAATCTCCACCCTGACCCGCAGCCACTTGACGCCCTCGGCCGGCAGCGACTTCTTGAAATCAAGGTTCAGCAGCAAAGTCGGGTACCAGAACGGGCCTGTGCCCTTCTCCTTGAACCTCTCCACAAGCTGCGGGAACATATCTGCCACGAATCCAATCGATGAGTCGTTGAAGTTGCTGCCGTCTGCAAAGCAGAGCCATTCGTCTGCCGTGTTCGCGGAGGGATGGCCTTGCCGTGGAAAGTGGAATAAGGCTTTGCTAGTCGCCTTGCGGAAGCTGGCGTATGGCAAGTCGGCATGCCGTTCCCACAACGGATCTTCGCCTTTTTCTAGCTTTGATATATCGACAGAGGCTATTGGGGGCGAGAGCTGGTACTCTGTGTCGTATGAGAAGCCGGATTCCGTGTCCATGTTGGAATTGGTTACGTAGGCGACGATTTCTTGTCGCCCGTCCTGTTGCATGCTCACGTGCACGATTGAGGTCTGGCGACCGAGCTTGACATCGTCGACAGTGAAGGTCGCTGGTCCGACTTGGGTTCGTCGGAGGAACTCCACATGCAGGGCGATTGTGTGGGGTTGGTTTTGTGCCGACAAGGTGGTGCTGAAGTGTGCCTTGACTACCTCGAGGAGACTGGCATGGTTAGGTTAGTGGACGCGTATGTGCGTTTTTAAGGCTCTCTCACCATCCAGTAACATATCCACCGTTCGGGACTACGCATGTCAGTAAGAATGACCCATTGTGGTGGTATGTCGGATCTGTACGTACCAGTTCCGATGCACCAATCATCATGCAGTGTACAGGAGTAGGTGTTGGTGGAGAGCTTCTGCACCGCGGTAGCTTCGCGCCAACCCGGCATAATGGCTACCTGTCAAACGTGGAACTGAGTATGTGTCTCTCAGCGCCCTTTACATGGGTAGTGTTGATATTATCAGATAACATTCACAGTGGACGTCACACCGCAACGAGGACCTCGGAAGCGCCCAGCTACTATCTCTGCGCTAACACCAAAAGTGGAAAGAGCCTCGGCCCTGGCATCCCCCGGGTGTGGGGTGAACCCCGGCTCTAACATCGTCGCACGCCCTTGACAAGCCGCCTCCGACCGTAGGGCGTTCCGCCCGAGGTCCCATGTAGAACGCGTCTGCCTTTCTCGTTTTGGCTTCCTTCCACTTTACATCCTGCTTCTTCCGTAACTTTGCCTACGGTAAGCTGAGTAGCATACCATCAAATTGAACTTAATTGCCAAGATGCCTTCCGAGAGCCAGTACCCCAGCTTGCCCATCCCAGATGTGGATCTTGTGAGTGTCTTCCCGTCCCGGGAATAAGCTCGCATCCTGGCTCCATGTGCTGACGTTCGGGTGATATTCCTAGTGGGCGTTTCTGTTTGAGAGAAAGGAAAAGCCGTTTGCAGATGACAAAGGTAGTCTTACAATCAATCACGGCCTTGCTTTGTGTAGACACCGAGCTGACGTGGTTGAATAGTAATCTACTATGATCCATACACCACACGTTCGTATACATACGCACAAATCAAGGATGCTGCTATCACTTTTGGTAAAGGCTTAAAAGCACTCTGGGATTGGCAAAAGGGTGATGTACTTGCATTGTACACACCTAACTGTATCGACACTCCAGCGATCACGTGGGGATGTCACTGGGCAGGTGGTGTGCTGTCGCCTGCTAACCCAAACTACACGGTCGATGAGCTTGCTTTCCAGCTCAAAGACTCTGGCGCAAAGGGCTTGGTAACACAGTTGCCGTTTATCGAAAATGCGCAAGAGGCTGCAAGGAAGGTCGGAATGCCTCTGGACAGGGTCATTATCATGGGAGATCAGAGAGACCCTTCATTCAAAGTGAAGCACTTTACAGGTATCATCAACACGGCTGGAAGCGCCAGATTTAGGAGGACAAAAGCGACCAACCCAGCTGAAGATCTGGCATTTTTGGTATACAGCTCTGGCACTACTGGTCATCCAAAGGGCGTCATGCTTACCCACCGAAATATTGTGGCCAACACAGTGATGATTAAAGCTGGAGAGGCTGGGAACCTGAAGCCTACTGGAGGACCGACTGGTGAAGGAGACAAGCTCCTTGCCTTTTTACCTTTTTTCCACATCTACGGTAAGTCGGACATTATATTGAACTCAGAAAGTATCCACTAACAATCTACAGGTCTGACATGTCTGATCCACCAAAGCTTGTTCTCTGGTCTCCAGCTTGTTGTGATGCCAAAGTTTGACCTTGAGGACTTCTGCAGGTTCATCCAAGAACTCAAAATCACATTCGCCTATGTCGTTCCGCCAATTGTCCTTTTGCTGAGCAAGCACCCCTTAGTATCCAAATACGATCTCAGCACCATCCGCATGATGAACTCCGGAGCTGCGCCACTCACGCGAGAGCTCGTGGATGCAGTATACAACAGACTAAAGATCCCTGTAAAGCAGGGATACGGCCTTTCGGAAACCAGTCCTACCACACACACTCAGCCATGGGAAGACTGGAACAAGACGATTGGCTCAGTTGGCAAATTGTTGCCTTATCAGACAGCCAAGTACATGTCTCCTGATGAGAAAGAGATGGCCGTTGGCGAGGTTGGAGAGCTGTGGATCAAGGGACCGAACGTTTTCAAGGGGTACCTGAACAACCCTGAGGGAACCGCGCACGCAAAGACTGCTGACGGGTATTTCAAGACTGGTGACGTTGGATATCAAGACAAGGACGGCAATTTCTACATCACAGACCGCGTCAAGGAACTCATCAAGTACAAGGGTTTCCAGGTACCACCGGCAGAACTTGAGGGTATTCTAGTCTCTCACCCGAAGGTTAAGTACGTTTTACCGATATATTCCACCTCAAATGCTTGCTAATATTTTCTTCTTCTAGTGACGTGGCGGTAATAGGCGTGTACAGCAAAGATGACGCAACAGAGCTTCCAAGGGCTTACATTGTACCCAAGGATGGTCTTGGCAAGACCGACGCAGACGCAAAGGAGATTATAGATTGGTTGAGCACAAAGGTGGCGCATCACAAGAGACTGAGGGGCGGTGTGAGGTGGGTGGATGAGATTCCGAAGTCAATCAGTGGTAAGATCCTGAGGAGGGTGCTCAAGCTCAAGGCGCAGGAAGAGGAAGAGGCGAAGGAGAAGGCAAAGTTGTAGTTTGTTCATTAATCTTGAATTGGAAAAACTACATGCACTCTCCATTTCTGAGAAATCATAACTCTCGGTTGTTGCTTTGGAACAAGTGATAGAGAGGTTCATGTGGGAGACAAAAAGGTCTATTTGCCGAAAATTTCAAAGCTGTGTCATTTCGAGAAGATATTTTGATATCCTGGTCCAATGGACGAAAGCGTGCTCAAACTTTCGCGATAAGATGCGCTCCCCTTCTCTGGACGGGTAACCGCGTTCGTCATGCAAATCGCTACACAAATTCGTGGTTGTACTAAACTTGCAAAACCAATAGTCAAAATCTGCGTTTCAAAAATGAAAGCTCCATGCTCAGGTAACATCAAGCTCGAGTGTGGTGTTCCTACCGTCGGTAGCTTCAGCCAGGGCACGTGCCTGCTTACAGCTAGCGCCATCTTGGCACCACCGCACAGCCGAGCCAAAATTACCCTCGCAAAACTACGACTTTGAACCCATCGACAATCGACAACATCACGACCGTCACGATGCCGAAAGAAGTCAAGCAAAAGTCAGGCCTCATCGTTGGCATTAACGCCGGCCACAGTACGTCTTCCGCCTACCCGCCTTCGACACTCCCGAACCGCTACAACTGAGATGGAAAAATTGTTGGATGGACGCTAACAATGGCCAACAGAGGTCACCCCCAGGACTCCTGCTCCCAGGATCTCGAGGAGGAAGGGTTTCCTGTCCAAGCGCACTGCTTTCGTCCGTGAGATCACCAAGGAGGTTGCTGGGTACGTTGCATTCTTAAGTTTAGTCGAGCGCTAGATTGCGCAACTGCTTGTGCAATAGATTGCTAACATTCTTGTCTCTCACAGTCTTGCCCCCTACGAGAAGCGCATCATTGAATTGCTCCGAAACTCCAAGGACAAGCGTGCTCGTCGTCTAGCTAAGAAGAGGGTACGTCTTCCCTCCGCCCATGGCGCCTCTACATACAATTCGATTCTTCCACCCGCTCGATCCAATGTACAACTTTCAGAACACGCACTGACATAGCAACAGCTCGGTACCTTCGGCCGCTCAAAGAGAAAGGTCGACGAGATGACCAAGGTCATCGCCGAGTCGAGGCGCGCGGGTCACTAAGCGGTTTCATGATGTGCGGTGGATGTAGCAAACACGGCGAAACGAGCGACCTTCTTTCCGATTCTGTCCCTGGGTGTTCGGTCTCTTTTTTCCCATACGGGCGGCTCGACACAACGATTTCGGAACGTCACAAAGCATACCTTATATACACAAAAAGGATGGCACGATTATCGGAGTATGGCAAATGGACAGTGACGGTTCCTAAACGTACCTAGCATGTGTCACTCAAAATCATGAAATGTGACGATTGGTTCACGCCAAAACACCATGTCCGAGTGCCGTGTGCCGTATGGTGTGTGATGAGGTGTGATGTAGTAGTAGTAGTGGTGATGGTGATGTTGTCGGTGGTGAAGTATTACTACTAGCATGGATGTCAAATTCCTACTCTATTGCCCTTATCAATGGCAGAGTAAGGGCCGAGAAATGCTTAAATTGAAACGCGCTGCACTTGGAGACAAGGCTGCTCAGGCTTCACACTACTTCTGTGTGTGAGTGAGGTCTCGAGCAGATGCGTGGACATACATATGCAATGTAGTGTCATTAGATATGACTGATGTGCAAGACGGTCTCAAGACTCAAAGGCTAGGAATGGCGAGTATAGACTAGAAGACATGTCTTTGTTTTGCTTCTCTTCTAGAAGCATGTCACATTATTCGTTTGACGTCTACTCTATCAAGAAAACACGTAAACGCTCACAAAAGACGAATCGGATTTGGGGGCCCGTATCTATCAATTGAGAAGGTCTGCAGCTTCAATCATCGTGACCAATCTTCTCCAGCTTGCCCATTTCACGCTTTTCGCCCGTCTCGCCAACGAAGTGTATGCGGTCGATGCGCGTCTTCTCGCTGTCGCCGTCGGCATCGGCGACGAAGAGGACGACCGAGTAGACGTTTTGGAACTTGACGAAGCGGAGCTCGAGCTTGGCTGTTTGCGTTTGCTCGTCCCAGTCCGAGGGCTTGAGCTCAATGACTTGGGTTGCGGGGATGTCTTCTGCTTCCTCGAAGCCCAGGTTGTGCTGGCGGTTGATCCAGACGTGGATGGTCTTTGGTCGCACGGGGGCTTCGTCATCATCGTCATCGCTGCCTGAGACGCAGGAGGTGATGTGGATGGTGTGTAGCTTTACGTTTGCGGTAAAGGGCACGTAAAGCATGAGCTGGTTGTCTACATCGCTTTCGACCCAGTCCTTGTTTCCTTCTGTGCTGGCGGCGGCGCCCTTGCCCTTGTTCAAAGAGGAGGGTGGTGATGTCTCGAATAGCGTCCGGACGGTTCCAAAATCGCTGTCCGCATTGAGCAGGTCGAGGCCGCGTACATCGACAGACTCGGTGACATCGGTGTATCCGCGTGGTAAGCTGGCGCCTATCCATGCTCCACTTCCATTGCCGCTTCCACCGCTTCCACTGGCGAAGCCGCTGCCGCCCTTGCCGTCGTTCTCGGCTTCTGCGGCAAGCGTCTTGATTGCCTCGGAGAGTTGTTGGGGATTCGAGCCCGAGTACTTGCGTATTTGCTGGTTGTTCTTGTATATGATGAATGTGGGAGTACTAATGGGCGAATTTGTTAGATATCCTGCGTTTTGTATGTTTGTGTAATATGTATATGTGCATACTTTGTAACATTGTAGCTCTGGGCAATCTGTGCTTGCTGCACTGTGCTGACTTTGGTGAAGGTGACTTTTCCTGGTCTTGAGAGCTGGCTAGCTAGCTGATCGTATACGGGCGCGATGGTTTGGCTTGATAAGTTTTGCTCATTGTAGACTGTAGGGGACAAATGTTAGCAAAAACAGGGCAAGGTGGTGTCTTTGAACGTATGTCGCGGCGGCGGCGACAGCGGCTTCTTACAATTGACCACTACGATGCGCGAAGATGACAGTAGCGAGCTCAGCTGAGCGGGCGACTTGATTTCAACAGTTCCAGACATTTTTGTGGGTTCTACGAGGGATATTGATGAAATCTGTTGTTGTTGTTGTTGTTCGTCGGGGAAAGGCGCGACATGCAACGCTCTTGAGTTTTGGTGGGGGCGGGGTGTCGCTCTTCCGTCACCGACGATCACCGAACGTAGATGGGCGTGGGCAGTCAGTAGTCAGGCACCGATACACCACGCGGCAAGACAACGAAGCTTCCAGAACACTACGTTCCCCGCTTACAGCCGCGAATTGAGAGCCGGATCCCGTCTTGTTGATTACTCAAGACACTTGGCTCTTTGATTTGGTGCCACCGAGTCCCCTTCCACGTCGATCTATACCGTGCCGCAGCACTTTACATCACTGCCAGCAGCACGCGCTTCCAAATCAACACCGTCGCCATCTTTCAGAAGCAAGCGGTACCTTGTACCACGTCGCTAAGGGGAAGCATCAATAGCCTCCAGATAACCACATACGCACACGGGATTGGTAAGCGCCCCTCCTGGCGTTCACCATCCCCAGCATTGCGTGCATTCAGACCCTAATCGCCTCTGCATGGCAGGCCCAAACGACCTCTTCCTAAGTTTCGCCGAAGCAAAGCTCCTCCACCTCGCCACCCTCTTTCTCCTCGTCGAACGAAGCGACTCGGCTCGAAGAGCGCATCGCTGGGATTGCTGGTACTTGCGTGCCATCTTTCTTACAAACGCACCCACTGCTTTCCTTCTCGCACACAACCTCTACAGAATACTTCGCCCATAATGTCGCACGTCGTGGTATTCAACTCGTACGCGAGATCATTCAAGATTCCCACTACGCCTACAAAGTATTTGACTCAGGTGCGGGATGAGGCGTGCCAGAAGTTTGGTGTCAACAAGGATCAGTTTACATTAAAGTAAGGCACACCGTGCTCCACATAAATTCTACCACTAACATGTCTGTAGATACAACAACAAGCCTATATCACTCTCCCAGCAGATACGCCTTGCGAACCTCCCCCAGGGCGCCCGGTTAGAGCTCGTACAAGCATCACGATCACCTACTGTCATATCTGTAGCCCTTCAGCTGCCAGCGACCGAGAAGAATGTACGTCTTACAAATAAGTTCGCGAGCAACACCTCGTTGTGGGAGATTCTACGCCATTTCGAGAGTAGCCCAGGGACCAACTACAACTTTACCCAGCGCGGTATTCCTGAGATGAGTGGTGCATCCGGTGCCGGAAGGTTACATTATGAGCAGCCCGTCATAACCGTCATGCCTGGTCACAAAGAGCAGTCGAGCTTTGTCGAACTACAACAGACACTCAGCCAGTTGGGTTTCGACAGCGGATCAGCTCTGCTGAAACTGTCGTACAGAAATAGCGGCACCCCGCTAGAAGAAGCTATGGCGCAAATATCACAGTATTTTAAGCCCAGCGAGCCTTCCGCTGGAGCAGAGGGGGCACATGCTTCAACAATCAGTCAATTAGCCTCGATACCGGACCCGGCTCAAGCCGCTCCTGAGGCAACAGAAACTGTCGCTGGTGAGACCGTGCGCAATGACGAGCCTGATCCAGAGCCGATGGATGTTGAGCCGAAAACTGCAGCTCAGCCTGCACAGAAACAGGAGGTATCGACAGAGAAATACGCAGCAGAGAGCATCGAGAACACCTCTCCAGCTGCAGCCCTAGCAGCAGCAACGTCAACAGCTTCATCTGTGCCAATACAGCCCTCTCAACCTTCGTCACAACCTGCCCAAGATACATCACAGCCGGCCGAAAAGTCTCGCAATGTCCAAATCTTCTCTGCACCAACTTCGTCGACTCCACAAGCAGCACGGAATGCCTTCAACGAGAGCGACTACCTTCCGACCATCGAACACGCAAAAGCACACCAAAATGCGCTCCTAAATAAGACTAAGAATACTCGCCTACTCTCTGACAAGGAACTCGAAGAGCAAGAAAAAGAGAGGCAGGCCAAGATTGCAGCAGCAGCTGAGAAGGGTGGTTCATTGCGGATACGCATGCCCGATGGTGCGCTTATTCAGATGTCTTTTAACAAGAACGATACTGCAGCTGGTCTCTACGACTTTGTTCGCGATTTCTTAGAGAAGAAGAATGAGCCCTTCCAACTCAAGAATACAGGCCCAACAGGTCGTCTAGTTCTAATCCCACGAGACGACAAGCGGCTAGTACAGGATCTGCGTTTCTTCAACAACGAACTCGTCACATTCCAATGGGCCGAGAACGCAAGCGCAGGGACAAGGGCGAGTCGGCATGTACTTGCGTCGGAGTGGCAGGCAAAAGCTCAAATGTTGAAAGTTGAGGAGCCCGCGCGCGAAGACCTGGTCCAGCCGCAATCAAATCAATCTCAAGGAGGGTCTGTGACTGAGGGCAAGAGGAAAGCGAACATGAGCAACGAGGAGAAGGAGAGCAAGCTCAAGAATCTGCTTGGAAAGGGATTGTTCAAGAAGAAATAGAAGGGTTCCTTTACGCGGCATTCTGTATGGTGTTTGTTGTTTGGATTAGCGAAAGAGTTGTGAATAAGACATGATTTTCTAGCCCATCAGATCTTCGTGACTGACTTTAAGGAGGGTCTCTACGGATGCTCTCGCTGGTCGAGTTGATTTGAGGGTTGTGACGTTACTCTTCATTCATGAGTCCCTGACACTTTCCATGTGGGCAACTTATGCTGTTTGTGTTAAAACTATTCTGCAATGACGCTACGCTGAACAAGAGGCAGGCTCACTTTCACATTCACCATGGTTTTGAAACCGTACGCTTACACGACCCGCTCATCATGAGATTGTTCACTTTCACTCCACCGCATTCATAGCACATATCCTAAGGTGTCACCCTCTTCAAAACCATTCTCGACAGTAATCTCCAGCTTTAACAGACAGCTACTCTACACTGTAAACATGGCAAACCGACCCACCCAGACACTGTCTCTGGCTCCGTCTTCAGACGCAATGAACGGCATCATCTTCTCCCAGCTAGCAAGCCAACCAACCCAGAATCAAGCTCTCCGGTCGCCACCCAAACCAGCATCACCAAAAGGCGCCGCAGCCCAGACTACTCCATCCAAATCCCTAGTCTCTCGACTAAAGAACAATGTGACTCCCAGACCACCACGCCCCCATCTCTCCTCCACACCTCCTGCACCCCCAGAAGACCACACCTTCATGCCCGCCACCCGCCACGCCCTCGAACAAGCCCTCGGCAAAGCCTCGCTAGACCGGCACGAAGTCCTCCTCCAACAAGACAAAAAGCACACTCAAGACTACATCGCGCAACTCGAAGACGTCGTCAAGGAAAAAGCCAGCATCGCACCGTCGACACAAGAGTCGCTTCTCCGCAGGGAAATCACCATGTGGAAAGTCAAAGCGCAGGAGCTGGATGAAAGTGCCAAGACGGAGATGCAGTTGTTGAGGGAGTGTAATGGCAGGGTGAAGGAGGAGATGATTGCAGTGAGGGCGGTGGCTGAGGGGTTGAGGACGGAGAATGAGGGGTTGAGGAAGGATCTGGAGAGTTTGAGAGAGGAGAATGGAAGGTTGAGAGAGATGCAGAAATTCCTGAGAGAAGAGGATAAGGAACGGATGACTCTTGTCAAGTTGCTTGAGGGGGAGAAAGAGGAACTGCAACGCGTGCTTAATTCGGTGGTGGATGAGAATGATGAGTTGAAGGGTAAGGCGAAGAATTTGGAGGAAGAGGTGAAGAAGTTGAGTGGTGTTGCGAAGGGAACGGGTGGGGTTGGTGAGAGTAAGGATGGTCAGGCGGAGAGGAGGAAGGTTAGGAATTTGAAGAGGAGGGCGAGGGATAAGAAGAGGAGGGATCAGGTGCTGGTTAAGGAGAATATGGAGTTGGCGGCTAAGCTTGCAGAGGTAGAGGGGCGGAAGAATGGTACATGTAAGGAGAGTCTGGAGGTTGAGGATAAGGTTTGGGAGGGGTTTCAGGGTAGTGATGAGGGTGGTGAGATGATGCAGGAGAAGGATGAAGCTGTGTCTGATGAGAAGAGGAAGAGTAAGAAGAAGAAGGGGAAGAGGGAGAAGAAAGTTACCAAGGAGGAACAGTGAAGGAGATTCGGGGATCAGATTGTCTAGGGTTGGGGTATGGTACTGTCGGTTGCCTCGGACGCCACAAGACGGCATGGAGGTCTTGTGGGGAGTTTATTGTATGAAAGCCTGAGAGTTGAAGGTTTTATTTGAGGTATTGAGTGCTAGGTTCATCAATATATATCAATGTTTTGAATTACAGTTTAGCTTTGCCACTGTTCTTCATCAGCTCATGATATCGATCCCTCATCTCACGTCTCAGCATCTTTCCAGATGGCGTCCTGGGTATCTAAACACAATATTAGCAACACCATTTCGTTCTGGAGCCAAAGACATACCGAATCAACCACCTCAATCCCACCAGTCAACCACTTATGCCGACTCAACCGCTCTTGAACCCATTCATGCAGCTTCCTCGCTACTTCTTCCTCCCCTTGCTTCACCCCTTCTGCCGTAAGAACAATCCACGTACGAACAAACAACGACCCATCGCCCCTCCCATTATCAACACCTGCAACACACGCATCCCTTACAAGGCCCTCAGGATGATCCAGCAGCGTATCCTCCACCTCCGTCGCCGCAACCTGCAACCCCTTCACCTTAATCATCTCCTTAATCCGATCAAGATAATGAATCCGATCCCACTCATCCCGCATCACCAAATCCCCCGTCCGCAGCCACCCCGGCTCTGCAAACAGCTCAGCCGTCGCCTTTGCATCTTTAAAATACCCAGGCGTCACAACCGCTCCTCGCGCCCAGAGCTCGCCTTTCTCACCCTTGGCTACATCTTTCAATGTGTCTGGATCGACAACTCGTGCAGACATGCCAGGTAGTAAGTACCCAATCGTACCGGGCAATGCAGGCTCCAGTCCAAAAATCCCGTTGACACCCGGACTAGCGATGCTAGCCGCCTCGCTGAGTCCGTAACCGCTGGGAATCGGTGTCGCAGCTCCCTGCGGCAGTTTCTTAGCGAGCTGGTACGCCACGTCTGGAGGGAGATACGCAGCGCCGCTGCCAGCGCTGACTACGGAACTCAAATCGTAATTCTCTGTTAAGGGACTTTGGGCGAGTTGGCGGACGAGCGGGGGGACGAGATGTAAATGCGTTATTTTGTACGTCTGGATGCTGCGGAGAGCGAGGGGCAAGTCCCATTTTGGAAGCATGATGGTTGTGTTTTTGAGGAGGTTGATGCGGAGGATCCAGACTATCATGCCGTAGGAGTGGTACATGGGGATTACGCCCAAAGTGGTAACGGGGGCTAGGGGTGGGTTGTCGGTGAAGCGGGCGGCTTGGACGGAGGTGATGAGGGATTGGAGGCCGGAGTGCAGGCCGTTGGTGTGGGTTATCATCATTGCCTTTGGGAGGCCCGATGTGCCGGAGGATTGAAAAAGGTAGGCCATTCGTTTTCCGCCATGGAGTTTGCGTAGGTGTTCGGGGAGCTGCGAGCCTTCTCGTACAAGTGACTCTATTGTACGGTATCCGGAGACGGTATCGAGTTTCGGATCATCGCTCAGTACAATGATCTTTGCGGGGTTTAGTTTAAGTTTCAAGGGGAGATTGTCGCTATCTCCGGGTCCTAGTTTGATTGCTTCTTTCAGAACTGGGAGTAGTGTCTCATGGCACATGATACTCGTTATTTGCATCTTTCTGAGTACCCACCATAGTTCGTACGGTGTACTGGCTGGACTGATGCCGCCAAACACTAATTGCGACCGGAAACACGCATGTGCTACCATTGGGTAATGAATATGATTCCGTGAGAATAACGCTAGAATCTCGCCCTCTTCGGTATCGTCGATAGGGCTTTTATCCAAGCCTAGTGGATTTGGTCCGTCATGGCGCAAAACACGTGCGAGTGCGCAGACTCGAGCATAGAAGCTGTGAAGGGTGACGACTTCCTCCGTAACTGCATTGATGATGAGGGGGTAGTCTTCAGGCAGTGGATTGTTCGGTGGGAAGCAAAGTTCGTGGATGTTGAGGTCATCCGGTGTAGGCGGAAAGGGACCGTATGGAGATGTGAATATCGGTTCGTTAGTAGGTTTGTACTTGAATTCACGAGGATCTGGGGAGTCGGGGCCTAGGAACCTGGACCAATGCGGCTTGAAGATATTGTGTGTCATGTTAAAACGAGGAAAGACCAGGTAGTTCGCTAGCTAGAAGGCGTCTAGGATCTATTTGAGGCCCTTGGAAACATGCATAAGTACAGGCAGGTAAAACATTTCCATATTGAACTCCCGAGGTGAAGCACACCCCGCGTTTCTCCCCACGGATGATCTTCGTGTCGTGCGGGGGAGCCTAGGCATCTTGCTTTTTACTTCGAAAGCTCAATACAACACTACAAGAAGTTAGATTGATTTCGGCTGCCGACTTTGGAGACACGGACTAACCAGGAATATACAAGGAAAACGCGAATCGGTGCGATTTGATGATAAACGTCGGTGCTATCCGAGGGGAACGGGCCGAACACCATCCCAACGTCAATCCCACGTTTGGCGTACAGCATGTGCGTGCGGATACAATCCCAAAGCCATTGCGAAATCTTTTGATTGGTCCTCAAGCCTAGTTTGCCACCGGCCTTCATGCGGCTCCAAATATGTTCACATCTCCTGTGTTGCCTACACTTGCTGCAGGTGGCCTAAACCCTGCATACGTACACCCTGCACTGGTTCTTGTTGGTTTCAGTTGACACATTCTTATACTTGGCCTCGTCGAGCTTTTGCGCGGCCATCAGCCGGTCTGCAGACATGCCTTGAACATTCTGATAAAATATCCTGTGCATGCAATGAGCCAGCGCGTATCCTAGCTCCTGAGGTGTGCATTTAGGCGCGCGTTTGGCGGTGAACCGTCCCGAGTTGTTCCCACACGCGACCTTAGGATCGCCGCGCTTAAGTCTCAGCCTCAGCCTTCTCCAGTTTTTGGCCCCAAAAACGCCGGAAATCCGCCTTGCGCCTTTATAACCCTCGTGCCACCCTTCCCTGTACACTCAGCCGTTATTTTTGGAGATTTACATCTCTTCCTTAAGATTTCTCTTAGCAGGTCCCAGTAGCGGCCATGTCTTCCAACTATGCAAAGAGCGACACAGCAGCACCGGCGAAGAAAGGCACGGTACCTGCACTGTGGTCTACGAAATACATCCCTCATAGTGCGGAGTTTGGAGATCCATACGAATTGATTGGAGACGCATACGAGCCAAAATCAACAGTAGCGGATGAATGGGAAATCCATGACCCGTAGGTTGTTTGAGAATCACGCTGTAACATCGAGTTGGATGCTAAATCCTCGCAGGAGAAGCGAAAGGTTGCCGTACTTGGCTCATATCAAGTCATTATCAACATCATGGAAGACGCTCCGCCACTTGGCCGATTGGATGCAGGTTGGTACAACGCCACTACGATGGAACGAAATCAAGGAGACCCCTGGAGAGCGCGAACGCCGTGCAAACAAGACAAACATCACGTTTGTTGAGTACAGGCCCGCCTCCAAACCCAAAGCAATCCCCATCAAGACACCCTCGGCACTTCGTGAAACTCTTGAGTCGTTATCACATGAGTCCTCGAAGGAGCCTCCTCTTCGGTTGTTCGTCGTAGAAGACCTTTCTCAGCAAGTCATAGAACTTCTGGGAAAGCGCTTCGATGTTGATCCGCTGTTTTTCCGTGAACAGATTGCCGACTATGTATGGTACAATACTCGAGACCCATGGGCAGCACCGCCTGCCCTCGTTTCTAGCATGAAGCACCGCCAATGGTTCAGAATGCGGAACATGCGATTGCGATACCACAGGACAGTGGAAGAGTTTCAAGAGTCAACACAAGAGGCTAACACTTGGAATGTGCTCCGCCGTCCCGACAACGACGATAACCACTGGCATTATCTGGATGAAGAAGGCGCTGTAGTGTCCATCATGCGTACGCGCACTAGCATGTGGATTGGCAAAGACAAGGAGTGTGGATATGGAACAGTTGGTATCGTGTTACTGGATCCAACAGTTAGCCAAGGGCGGCCACTGTGTTAGTTTTCTTTCCGCTATGGCTCAGCAAGTCTGGTGCAAACTGTTGCAAGCCCAAACTAACCTCAACAGGGTATGACCGCAGTAACTGGCTACCAACCCCAAAGATGGAAACAGAGGTCTATCCCTCGATAAGATCATCCGTCTCATGGTTCGAAGACATTGTGCAGATGACAACCGCCTTCCCATGGTTCGAACGATCAGAAGGCCACGAAATCAACGCTCAAGTCCTCGCCAAACCAACCATCTACACCATCTGTGCTGAATGGCTCGTGGTATGCGACTACGTGAAAGCGCGCCTGAGCCAGATAGAATGGGAGCTAGAAAAGCCGCACCTTTTCCGATCCAAAGGCGACGCCATCGACGACTCACTGAACCGCCTGCATACATGGCGACGCCACATACCAGTCTTCCGAGAGATGGTAGCAGAGACTCTGGAGCACGCGCTTCCAGCTGCAGCACGACTGACGACAACATCGCCGCGGCCCGCAACCGCACCATCCTCACCTATTTCTTACACGGCCCGGTCCGTCATACCGGACAACATAGTCATTAACTTCGACAATATCGACGGCTTCGAGGACATCGTACCTGATTTCCGACGCGTCCTTGCTGCCGTCAATGAACTCCAGGAACGAGTCGATCGTCTGACGAGCATCGTGACATCTGAGATTTCCATTGAAGACTCGCGGCGCGGACTCAAGGAGAGTCACAACATGGCGCGCATCACGTGGCTGGCGACTGTGTTCATCCCGCTGACATTCGTCGCGGGCTTGTACAGCATGAATGAGAGCGTTTCGGCGCTGAAGGCGACATACGGATGGTACTTTTTGACTGCGATCCCTTTCACGTTGTTTGTTATGGCGATTGGGTGGGTAGTTGGCGGCGGGAGCTTGAAGCCGTGGAAGGAAACTAGTACGAAGCAGAGGGGGGTGGCTGTTGTAAAAGATAAAAAGGTGAATTGATGTGAGTGGGAGTGCGACATGTAAGGAGATAGAGTGCACGTGATTGTAGCTGGTGAGCAACAGGGGGCTGGCGAGCGACGACCGTCGATTGGTGTCGCTCTTCCTCCCCTGCACAGCGACGGCTGCCGATAATGAAAATACTAGTCGTGGCTGGTGATGGCGGTATGAGCGACACCAATCGACAGCCGTCACTCACCAGCCACACCCATCAGATTGCTACCGGCAAGATCAACAGGTAGGAAAGCAGAGAGGACGGACAAAACCAGTCGACAGCTATTACCAGCGATATCCAGCATCATAGTTACAGCCTGTAAGCAGCGCTTAAGAAGGGCGCAGCCTTGCCCGCCGCTGTTGGTTGCTCTGGTTGCTAGCTGAGCCATAGAAATTCCGGGCATCTTGTTATGGCTCTGGTGAACGAGTAGAGGTTATTAGAGCTAATCAGATTGCATTTCTTCTCTTATAAAACACCACTTGGCCCCATCCTAAGTTGCAATCAGAGCGTAAACCTGAAGCTCGGGTGCCGATGTCCAAGTCTGCCTGCATCGCTTTGCAGTATCCTGCCATCCCTCTCACCATTCCTTCGCTTTTTGTTCTCCCAGCTGAGATACAGGCACTGCATAGCCGCTAAGATGATTGTAATCACCAGCGCCCCGAGACTAATCGAATGTCCTAGAATGTATCTCGGAGCGTCGCGCTGTAAATATATGAACGTTCCGATGAATGCCGAGCAGTTTGCAATGGAGATAATAAGCCCAATGCCAACAGCTCGCACGTAGTGTGGAGCGAGGTTATTTGAAGCCCAGCCCTTATCATTAATCAGCTACAATACGGTAGGTGGAACGGGAAAGAGGCTTACCATGAGCATAGGTGAACCCTGGAAGACGCCAATAGCAACTAAAAACGTCCCGGCATACCGCACTGCATTTGTCTTTGCCACGATCAACATTATATACCCACATATACCCAGAACGCAACCCCCAATGATGAAGTATCCCCTGTTCTTGAGTTTATCGGAAGCGTATGCTGTGCCGATGACTGTGAGAAAGGCGGCTATGTTCGGAGGTACGGTAAAGAGCTGTGCTGTTGTACTTTGATATCCCATTCCCGCTATAATGCTCGGGAGGAACAAAGAGAAACTCTGGGAGTACATCAGTATTGCAGAATCCCTGATAAATGGAGATAGTAGCACTTCTCCGTGATACTTACGTATAAAGGGACCAATAGAAAGAACCATATAAAAGCAGAGAGATATGTCTGGGGAGCTAGAAGCGCCATCTTTACCCAGTACCAACTAAACTTCTCATCGTCCACATCAACATCAGTAGATCCACCTGCATCAATACGCATACGGCGCAATGCCCACTCTTTCTCTTCATCTGTGAGAAAATGCGCTGCAGCAGGGGTATCCGGCATGAAGAAGAAGCACACAACTCCAAAGACGACTGTTGCCGCGCCCTCAACTATCCAGCTCGTTAGCACTTTCAAATTTAACTCCGACTATTACCTCGAGATTCGCAAAAGAGAAGAATAGAGTCTTACTAAAAAATATCCACGGCCACCTCTCATACCCACCCACCCGTATCCTCGCTAACCCACTCGCCAGTAATCCCCCAAACGCCCCCGACAGCGGCGCAGCACAATAAAACAACCCACTCCTGAGCAACATTTCCCCCCTCCGATAAAACATAGCAAGATAAATAATCACACCCCCCAATATCCCTCCCTCGAACAGTCCCAGCAATAACCTACACGCCACAAGCCCCGCAAAGCTCTTCACAAACCCCGTCATCGTGCATACCAGACCCCAGGCGGTTATCAAGGTGGGCAAGTAGATGCCGGCGCGCAGCCGCTTGACGAGCAGGTTTGAGGGTACGTCGACGAGGATGTAGGGGATGTAGAAGACGAGCAGGGCGATGTTGAAGCGCGTGCCGGTTGTGATAGAGAGGGAAGTGGTGAGGCCGGCTATGCGGGCGTTGCCGATGTTGCTGCGGTCGATGAAGGAGAAGAGCCTTGTTGGTTTGTTGAGTTAGATGCGTCTCACTATCGAGGGAAGAGATGTTTTGACTGTACCATATTCCAAATAGCCAGGGGAGAATGCGCATGTCGAATTTGCGGTTGAGGCGCTTATCGAGGGCTGGATCGAAGTCTTCGGGTATGGTAGTGGCTTTTTCGATGTGTGTGGATTTTGGGTTGTGCGGTTTTTCCATGTTGACTGTGCTTATGGCTTAATGGATTTATCAATCGTAACTCATAGACTTAAGTAGCAAACCCCAAGACAACGATGATGATGATGGTGCAAAGTATTGAGACACGACAAAGTTGCAAAAGCGCGTTGCGACAAAAGATAGATTGAAATTTACAGCGTCTAAACTTCCAAAACCAAGTGTATCGAAAAGGAGACAGGGTATTAATGTATATTCTAAGTCCTTCTGACAATCACTGATAGGCTACTTCCCCTCCATTGTGTCTCCCCACAGTGCGGGGAAGAAGGATTCAAAGGATCGACAATATGATGTGGGGGTAAGTAGGTACTATCCCTCTAAAAGACATGCCGAAGAAAGACAGTAGTAGCGTGGTGCTCCGCACCGAATCCCACATGAAACAGGATCTCTTTTTTTGTAAATGGGGATGTACAAGGTAAAGACGCCTCCGAAGGGGATAGCGTGGGGTTGGAGAAAGAGACAAGGTGGGTAAGCGAGTCAACACGACTGTAGCAGGCTAGTTTTGGCTGGATGGGCTGAGGCCTGTCGGTACTTGTAATGACGCCTAGACGCTTGTTTCATTGCGTCATGAACGCCCAAAAGCCCCTGGCGGCCACAATGCTCGGCAGATCGACTATGCGGTAGAAGACCTCTGCTAGAACTGTAACAAGGGGTGCGCACACTAGGAAGCATACCAATCCATTTACGCCATTGGCGGTCCCTGATGCAGCCATGTGTTGGTAGGTCTTGATACCGACGGTGTAGATGATGATGGATTGGACCAGGAAGAAGCCTGCGCCTTGTAAGTAGCTGTCTGAAGTTGGATGTGAAAAGAAGTGCACTTACTGAAGCTCCTCCTGCCTAGGGCGACGAAAAAGCTGCCGGATAGTATGCTACGAGGCATTTCAAAGGTTTCGATCAAGAGTGTGGAGCCCAGTATAATGAGATAGTTGTCGATGCGAGCCATGGGCAGGTCAAGATCCACGTTCTCGTTGAGCAAGCTGCCTGTGTAGATGCCAGTGTGGCTGTAGATTTCGTCATTACGCAGATCCGTTCTCCATGAAATGAACAAGAAGTGCAGGAAGACACCAACGAAGACCATAAGTGCGTAGATTGGCCAGAAGGGGATTGTCGACTTGCCCAAGTTGAAACCTCGCTGCGAACGCGAGGCGAAGTTCATGTTGAGCACGGCGTCGGCAATGAGAAGACCAGTAATGCTATACCACGCCCAGCTCTGCACCCAGAATCCAGTGGCGATAAAGGCAAGCATGGCCTTGACACGCCAGGACATGCGGGTGTTGGGTACAATGACCATGGTCATGTAGACAGTGTAGCTTTGCTGGAAGAGTACAGAGACGATCCAGAGAGTACCAGACGGGAAGATGTTGTTGGCAGCCTGGTTACTGTATTGCTTGTTGATCCAGAAGATTTCGAACATGGAGTTGAAGTATACTAGGAAGTTGCGGATGCGCATTGGAACGCCGGTCGAGATATTCCCGGTAGACTCCATGAAATCAGATATGTAATCAGTAGACGTAGTACTGAAGGCGGCTGCTGCAATGGAGTACGCAACAAAGGTTGGAATCCATAGTCTGATACCGCGACGAAAGACACTGGATGCGCCCACCTCCCGCGTCTTGTTAGCGAGATATGGTAGGCATATTGTTCGAGCGGAAAGAAAGATGATCCATCCGTAAATCAAGGACGGGTTGCAGAAGATGACCGAAAACGATTTGCGGAGTCCAATCTGGTAGGAAGGCCCATCGACATTTTTCGAGTCGGGGACGGCTGCTGGAAGGAAAGTCTGGAAGAAAACAAAGAGAAACGATTGAACCACAAACAGACCTCTGAGCCCAATGAGGTAGTTCTGGTTCATGGCGATGCCAGTCGCATACGGACTTGACGATGACGTAAACATAGTCAAAGGAGAAGATAGAAGTCCGGACTTCATAATGGGGAAAAGGGCGTTGATGCTGTATGCCAGTTGAGTAAAAGACCTAATATTAGGAAAGGGACACTTCGAACAGGAGTCCAAAAAATGGTCACCGCCCTCGTCTCAAGACGTCACAGCCACTTGCAATCAAGGGCGCCCGCACAGTCTCTGTAAAACATGTCCTCCCGATAACACGAAACTTGCATGCCCTTGGGTCCCCCCGGGGAGATCCGAGATCAACGTCTTGGCTCGCCGAGAAAAAAAAACAAAGACTAATGTAGCTCGGGAGATCCTCCTTTTCTGGCGTATTGCCTTACTCTCCGAGTGCACAACTGCCAGCCTGAACTGGTTAGATTTAGCTACAGGACATGTTCCCGCGAAGAATGCGTGGCAGGAAGTTATGCATGTCAATGGCTTAGTTCACTGTAGCGCCTTGGTCTTTTGGGTGGTGAAAGGGAAACTGTGGATAAGCGTTACAGCGTTACATACGTTTAGTGGATTGGACAAGAACGGCGCGAAAGAATCTGTCCACGCAATCTTTGGTCGGCAGCGATTCAGCTAACCTGCTAGCTGTAGCATACGGCAACCTCGGTTCAAGGAATGCGACAAGGTTCTCTTTGCATGACTGCCTACGCGTCTTTGTCTTATCGTTCCTTTGAAATGAGTCGTGACGTCGGTGGAAGACACGGCAGATATTCGACAGACGGAGCATCTGAGAGTTGAGTGGCACAAAACCACGAGAAAAGAAAGTCAATCGCCAGCATTGCCCTGACATATGCCAGCGCCTCCTCAGCACCCACAGCGCCTCCGCACCCCCACTCGACAGGGTTGGTATCAGGGTGACGGAGAAAAGAAGGGCAAGGCGAAGTATGCCAAGACTGTTGCTGTTCTGAAGGACAATAAACAACCTGACTCACCAAGGTGAGGCTGAAAAGCAAGTTCCCAGGGGTGGCTGGATACATTCCACATTTGTTTTGGCGCCCTGGAAGGACGCTGTGCCCGAGCTCGACTTAAGCTTGCGGCCCGCCAATGTCAGCCGCCAGCCACAAACACCACTTGGCGACGTTCATCCCACACGTTGCACTAATGCGCCCAGAGTGGGGGCCGAGCACATGCTCGGCTGTGTCGATCGGCCGCGTGTCGGTCATGTAATCTCCCGAGGGTTTCCTCAAGTCACTCTTACAGCCTTACACTGGCCGCTTACACGGCGAGCGGTCAGGCACAGTGGGGCTGCGATATGTGCCCGTCGCCAATCTTTGACTGAACGGGATGATCTTCATCTCTGAATGAATCAAGTCCACCCCTCGCCGACCAGCAAAGATTTGCGAAATGTGAATTCTCCGCAACTCCCATAGCGCCACGTCTGTTGCTGTCGCCTTGCATGCTCTAGAGTAGTGGCAAGATAACACAACATGCCGAGTCATATTGGCTGACATGTCAAACGCCCGACAATAATTTCAATCGATGCATCGCGATGTTGAGAGACCCAATCGACTGGTTCAGGAGACGCTGTCCGTCATTGCACCTCATCAACACAAACCACGAATAGCGAACGCGAAGGGCTGTATAAAGTGGAAAAAAGTATTTTTGATATCATGGAAATATGTTTGTGGGCGATCATTGCCCATGTCTCTACTCAAGCCGCGTAACTATTTATACCTAAGAAAAGAAAAGAGAGGGCTGGTCCCTTCAGCCCATCGAGGGAGGATATGCACATAATCATTAAGGTGGAAGGTCTAGGCTGTCAAGCTACTTCCTGGCTGTTGGGTTCCAAGAGCTGTACTTGACAAGCTGGCGCGCATGGCCATACAGACCAATAGTCGCACTGAGAACAAGGTAAAATGGGTACAAGACGGAGAAGAGAATTATCATCTTTCTTGACACAAACTCGGACTTGACCTGGTTGGTGATCCAGAGGGTAGCAACCAAGCAGATAACACTGTAATCAGAGGTTAGCGAGGTCAAGGATCTAAGCGATGCATTGGTGACACGAACCTAATAATGAAAAGCCACTGTGAGATAGGGTACTGGAAATAGACGAGTTTCCACAGCTCCTCTCCGTTGGTCGGGAACTTGACGATAACGAACGATGCCACAAGACAGGTGTATTGTGTAACGAGATAGTAAGACGACTCGCGGATGAGCAGCAGCGATAGCATACCAAATCGGGCTGTGAAGCTCCGCTTGGCATGCTCCTCGTGTAAGGGATCCTTGACTCCGTTCCAAACCATCTTCATGTGACGCATGCTGGCCTGAGCCCATCCCTGAGCCCATCGGAGCCGCTGCTTCCAAAAGGCGGCAAAGGTTGTAGGGGCCAGCTCATATGAGGTAACATTGAGATCATGAACGGTCTTAGCGCCCTTGGAGAATGCGCGCAACGCCGAATCAATGTCCTCAGTTAGCATGCTCTCGTCCATTTTGAGATCGCGGAGGAGAGATGTGCGCCAATAACCATTCGATCCGCAGAAAAGCCCGAAGCCCCACATGGTCGAACGACCAGGGTGCGATACCGCGTAGATCTTGTCAAATTCTACGGATATCATGTTGGTCATGAATGAGTCTTCGGAGTTGAATACGATACACCGGCCTTGGACGATGTCCACGTCCTTCTCTGTCATGAATCGTTCAGCCGCCCACCGAGGTGCGTTGGGATGGGGGTAGTGGTCGCAATCGTAGATCGCAATTAGGTCTGATCCCGTATCTAACGTGAAGAAGTAGTTGAGATTGTCGGCCTTGGATGTCGAGCCGGGAACTTTGATAACTCTGGCGTGAGGGAAGCGAAGTGGCAGCTCGGCAAGTTCCGTCTCCAGTGGCTCGATTGGCTTTGGTGTGTTGTAAAGTACATTAATTCGGATTCGATCGCTAGGATAGGCAATCTCCTTGAGCGCGTAATAAGCGCGGTCCATGATGATGTCTTGTTCGTTGGGCAGATAGGCAACGATGAGAAGATCCAAGATGGGTAGTTGGCTGTCTGGCGTGGGAAAGTGCCATTTCCTGTCTTGGGCTTGAGTAACCACTTCCCTTGCCTCGCGACAGGGCGTGATACTGAAGAAAGCCTCGAGCACCGTAGTACCGGCGATGTAGAAGTTGGTACACATGTAGATAAACCAGAAGATAGCTATGAGACTATCACTGCAATACATGTACATGCAGACCGAGAAAATATAATAGGAGACGACAAGGCCGAAGGGTGTCCATTCCGAGATCCACGAAGATGACTGTCCAACAACTTGGGATGGAGACCAACTACTCTTGGGGGCGGACTTTTCGGTGATGCAGTTTGTAGGAGAGGAGACGTCTCCCACCTCAATTACGCAATCCTTGTTGTCAGACATCTTGTAACGAATGAATGATGTGACAGTAACGATCGGAGAAGGAGTCGAATCAAAGAAAGTGTGACTACTGTAGCAAACCTCAAACGAGTGAAGGGACGGACACAGATGATATATCAGGCTTCAAAGGCCAAGTTTGATGACTGCGGGAAGAAAAGGGTGTGGCGAACAGCCAACGTCCTGCCAAAAAAGGGACCACTGTGCGTATGGGTTCACCTGAACTGTGCAATGGCGCTCAGGAGAACTGGTCTCCGCATCAACTTACCGCTCGATGTAGGATCGGCAGTGGTATCAACAATGCCCGACCCTAACATTGGGATGCAAGTGGGTCGACCGTGGGAAGCTCAAAGGTCCATGCTTTTGCTTGAGTATTTTTCACACCTTCCAGTAAGGAGAATTTGCCAAGTTGGGCGTCGAACCGGCGTTCCTCATGCACAGCAGCCAATGGGATGCTTTTTTGTAGCAATGTCGCCCACATTTACAACATGCTTCTTGCATGCAGAATAGACAAGTCGAAGGGGGTCAAGGGCCAGGAGGCTAGGCGAAGGAGCATTTCCGTTCGCTCTAGGGTGATTATCGATCTGGGTATTCGGCATATTGGTGCGACGGAGGATGCGGAAGCTGAGAGATCGATCACTGCTCTAGGGTAGGTGTAGTTCGGACAACACACTCCTACAGGAGCAGGGAACAGCGACTAGAGTACAATAGAGCGTGCATGGCGGACGCTAATCATCCTGGAACAAGGTGGAACACGGCGAGATAATGCTGGTGGCGAAGATCACTGATGTGAACGGGGGTGGCCATGACGGGTCGTCAAGATCATCTCAACAAACGTGGGAGAATGGAGGCAGAGTGGGAGGCAGGCCCGTGCTAGCGTGGGCGCACGGCCCGCTGCAGTGCACGTCTTCCGGCCTACTGGTGACGCCTTGCACAACCCCTCCGCCTCTTGCGACAGCTACTCAGGCCAATGCAACAACATTTCCCATGATTTTACTATTTGGCGGACCCGCCAAGCAAAACTTGCAGAGCTTTTTGGCTTGTTGCATGGCGCACGGCTGAAAGCCCACTCCGATGATGACTTCAAGGGGCCCGGTCAAGGCTGTGTGGCAGAAAGGGGAACTTTTGCCGCCTTCTGCTATCCACTGGAGCACCCGCCACGGCTGCGGCTCCTCCTCGTCCGAAAAGCGTCGTTGCACGTTTGTTCTAAGTCCCTTTGATTAGTCCTGAGTGACTAGCGGCATGACGACAGACAAATACCGCCTTTTGAATTTGAACACGCGGTTTCGTTCTCCTTCCTTTGTTCAGTCATCCGGTCATCCTCATGTTTTCCTCGGCTCTCCTTGGGCTTGCCTTGGTGCAAGTCCTACCTGTCTTTGCAGAAGTTTCGCGTGGAGCAGGGAACTGTACGTGCGGGTTCTACGACAGTCAGACCAAAGAGCTTTACACCGACTCTATCATTGTCTACTTCAATGAAACATCAGGATTACCACTCGATTTTGTGGCCGAAGAATTCGAGCAAAACTATGCCAAAGACTGGGTATGATACTATTCTTATATGTCACGAGTGTTGGCTTCATTAGCTAATAACACTGTTTAGAATGCTGTCTTCCGTGAGGGTGCCTCTCCGGACAATGTGCGACTTGACAATGGCAAGTCTCTGCAGCTTGTAGTGCAGCCTACAACAAAAGAACATCTCGTCCAGGGTGCCAGTCTTCGGACGAAGAGGCGTGATATTCAGCATGGCTCCTTCCGGACCTTGATGAGGCCTGCATATCTGGACGTCTCGGGCACAGCTACCACCATGATGTGGAAATACAATGAGACTGAGGTAACAGAGCTCAGTGTCATGAACAATGATCGTCTAACCCAGCCCTGGGTTGGTACATTTGTCAACAACGAGTTCACCACCCGCAATCTTGGAATGAACTTTAGTCAGCTCATCAACGGCACTGCTGCAAACAGAAACTACACCACACTAGGTGGTGGACTTAGTAATGGCAGCATCAATCCGTGGGACTTTACTGAATACCGTATCGACTGGACGGCAGACTACATCAACTTCTATATCGGTGGCAACTTGACCCGCACTGTTGAGCACAAGAGAAACGAAGGAATGCCGTCAGTCCCTTCTGCTTTGTTCTTTAAGCACTGGTCGACGGGTAACCGTTTTTCGATGCGTGGACCTCCTCGGAATGGAGAGTCAGTTGCCGACATTGGTTGGATCCGCATGTTCTTCAACTCGTCAACGATGAATGAAGACTCTCGCGAGGACTTTGTTGCACGCTGTCCTCTGACAGATGCCTGCTCCATGGACGACTTTGAACTGCGTGGCTCTACCCCATATGCGGAAGAAGCTACGGATCACTGGAAACAGGATGGACACAAAGACATTAAGCGCATGCCGGCACTCTGGATCTCCGTCTCCTGTCTTGCCATCTCAACTCTTCTTCTTATTCACACATTCATTCGACGTCTAGCGCCCAAGATCACCAGAGGAAATTCCAAGCCAGCCCCAGTAGCCCCAGCAGCGTCAGAAGTGGAATCGCCAAAGCCTGAAACTGGTGCAGGTGCCTTTACTGAGAGTACATTTACTATGGAATCTACGGATATGTTTTCACTTCCAGGATCTGGCCACGATCCTTCCTCTCCAAAACGCCGTTCTGTGGATGACATGACCATTGAGAGGCTTGATGCGAAGCCTGGCTGCTCGACACTTGGAGGATCCACACCCAGAATCGACTTGTCTCGTGTCAATTCCATCATGTCAGACAGTCGCACCACTACGCCCTACGCAAGTAACTTCAACACTAGTAGAGATGACGTCTCCAACTTGGCACCACCTATTCCGGGAATGACCTCGCTCAAGCACCACGATTCGATGCTCACGCTAACCGACCCACGGGCCACACTTTCACCACGCCCAGACAAGGTCCAAATGGAGACTGTTACTGAGTCCGCTCTGCCAGCTCCGCGTATGCGCCCGCAGCCTCCGCCAAAGCGGAACCGTATCGATCATCTTGCTGGCCTCACCGCGCTCTGCTCGCTCGTCGTCACCATTATGCATTTTGGTCTTACTTTTGTTCCTGCCATGGTTCAACCAGGTGCGGATGCACACAATCCCTCTGAGCCGTGGGCACAAAGAATCATTGGCCCGTTTTTGCTCAACCAGATGTGGCTTGGTGTCTTTTTCACTACCTCTGTTCGTTTCCTGACTGCCCCTTACCTACGTAAAGGCAAGATGGAAGAAATTGCCAAAGCAGCTGTGCGTCGAACACCGCGTCTGATGATTCCTGTTGCCTCAGTCGCGTTGCTCGAATACTTCTTCGTTGACGTTGGTGCAACCAAATTTCTCCAGTACATCCCCAGTCTTACCTGGTCGACCTGGCCATATGTCACTCGCTACCAAAATTTCGGCCAGTACATTTCCGAGATTTTGGAACTCATCTATCTGGTTCCGAATGCTGTTCCGCAAATCACACTGCATTATTGCACTGGTGTGCTTTGGACCATTGCCGTGCAACTTCAGGGCTCGTGGCTTGTGCTCCTCGGCGCCGTTGTTGTTTACGAGATCAAGACACCATGGAAGCGCATGTGCTACTACGCCTTCTGCCTCATCAACCACTGGTACGCTCAATCATGGGGTACATATCTCTGGTTGGGTCTACTTCTCACCGACCTCGACGTGACCTACAAGTGGAAATCTTACCTGGCTACACGGACGGCCGCCTACTACGCGACACTAACCTTCTTCTGGGGTTGTGTCATTGCGGGTTTCATGGTCAACGTCGTGCCTATATGGGTGGAGACGACTTTCAATTTCAGTACCGCTGAGCGAGGTGTCCACCCTGACCTTACCACGGGCGAAGCAATTCTCAACACTGAACGAAATGGATACCCAGCTTACAATACGCCGCGTCTCAACGGTCTCCTCTTTGCTGGTGGCATGCAAGCTGTTGTCGAACTCTCTGCAGTTGTACAGTGGATCTTGTCCACGCCTCCTTTCCTGATACTCTTCCCCCACGTCTTTACTATCTACCTAATTCACGGTCTTGTGTTCTGGTCCTACGGCTCCTGGCTCATGGTGTTCCTCGCGGACCGTGGCTTCAGCTACGGCATCAACGTAGTCGTTGTAGGCGTGACATCCTACGGTGTGCTCTTCGCCTGCCTTCCCATTGTCACGCCCGTGATTGAAGCACTTGGAAAGGACATGACTGCCATGGTATGGATGACGGCAACGAAGAAATCGCCTCCACGTCGGCGCACCCTGTTTCCTTACCCTGATGACCTATTCACCAGTCGTGTACCCAACGAAAAGGAAGAAGAGAAACAGGCCAACAGCAGCGATGTCGAAACCGGCCTGGCTCAGCGCCAAAGTGATGAAAGCACAATGTACCATGCACGCAGCACCTTCAGTGAGAAGGGCAAAGGCAAAGCACCCGCCTCGGTTGGCGTACACGAGATGCAAGCGTTCGCCCTTGACGAAGAGCAACAACACGATGGACGGTCAAGCAGTCCAATGGTGAGTCGGTTTAGTGGATAATTTTCTCCCTTTCTCCCTCCTGGAATCCTGGTCTACTATTTCTTTTTGTTCTTGTTGCCCAAAATAAACATGGGGAAAGGGCTGTCTCCTGGCGTATGTTTGTTTGAATCTATACGAAGCAAATTCCACCACGATTCTCTGTTCATAGATACATTATTTTCGCTGTACAACCGCACGTACGCACGCACTCTCACATTCGCACGCAAGCGCATAGACGATATAGTAGTATTAGTGAAGATTCGAAAAGGATAATTCCCCTTACCCCACGGTTTCGGAAAGGTTGTTTCGAAATCGCCCCCTCCCTGCCCCCTTTTCTTAATCGTCCTCTCAAGGTCCTTACTGCTCATGTTTGTTTATTTTCCCATATCTTAACAATGCTGTTCTTATCTTTTGTTGCTTCTTTTTGTGGCGTTGCGCAAACCCCTTGCTGGTTCTATCTTGAGCGTCGCGCTTGGCTCGATTGGTGGTTCAGGCTATAAATGATACCATACCCGTTTTATGTAGTTTGTTTTCTCAAGAGAAAGGAAAGAGAAGTAATGTCCATGAATATAAAAGATGTTTGAAAACTGGTATCGTGAAACGCAACTCTTTTTTTGTATTGTACATCGGGAGTCGACGAGTACTTTCAAACGTGAATTTTTATTTTCATGCTTTTTGGGGGAGAAAAGGTGTGGTGGTGAGGTGTTGTCTGGTGTTTTTCTCCATGGTACAATCTTTGGCATGAATATGAGTACTGCTCATTTCTGTTCTGCAATTAACAGAGTGATTGTGTTCTTTAGTTTATTAGGTATTCTTTTATGAATTAGTGAAGCTGTTAGATAGAGCTAAAGGTAAAATAACAGTGAGCTTGATGAAAGGCTAGTGATGAGTCAGAGCTCAAGTATTCAAGTGGATGTTTATGAAGCTAGTTAAATTCTCATGCAATAATCATTTCCACGATACTAAACGGTTAAGGGACAGGTCGTGAATGGCTTTAGGATAGAAAGAAATTCACAATGGGAGTGTGGTAAGCCTTCAATATGGTCTTCTGGATACAGGATGCTCCCCTTTTACATTGTTAAAATTTACATTGGCAGACCCAAGTGGAAGTGGGGTGTATTGCAGAACTAACGGCAACAAACACATTGTCATGATATGTTGTTGTCAATTCAGTCATAATTCTAGTCATGTCTAAGATATCTTCCACGCCCCCTAACATATCATGTTCCAATAATTTCCCCGACGTGCCAGCTCACGGCATTACGTCATGCAATTTCAGATATAAGCCGCTGACGAAGAGCCAAAATCTCAGGCAACCCAGCTCGAAACAACGTGTATGATCCACTCGTGTGGTAGAGTCATAATCTGAAAGTATGGATTGGTAATGCATCTCGCGCTTGGACCGGAATCTAACACCGAACAGCGAAGGGAACACAAGCATACGGACAAAATCGCTAGTGCAACATCCAAAGTCGCATCTACATACATAAACTTAAAACCTGAACATTCGAAATACCATTCCCCACACACTCTCCAATGCCCGCATTCGACCCCATCCTGCAAACAAGCCAGGCGCGTCTGGACGCATCGCTCCCCGACGCGCCACTCGACATAGCAACGCTGCTAGCCCACCCGCCAACACCAACCTCGGAAAAGCCCAAAACAGTCCTCTACCTAGCTTACGGCTCCAACCTCTGCAATGAAACCTTCCGCGGCGCGCGCGGCATCCGCCCCCTCTCGCAAATCAACGTCGTAGTCCCCTCGCTACGCCTAACTTTTGACCTACCCGGAGTCCCCTACAAAGAGCCATGTTTCGCAAACACCGCACGACGCACATCCGCAGCACAGGAATATCATAAAGATGCGTGGCACAAGGGCCTCGTAGGCGTGGTGTACGAAGTCACGCTGTCAGACTACGCGCACATAATCGCTACAGAAGGTGGTGGGAGCGCCTACGCGGATATACTCATCGATTGCCACGTGTTGGATAAAGGGGAGGATACGGTTCCCACATTGCCGACGTCGAAGCCGTTCAAAGCGCACACGCTATTTGCGTCCCAAGAGGACAACGAGCGTATTGTGAGACCAAATCCTAGCTATGCGCAGCCGTCGGCTAGGTATCTCAAGCTGATACGTGATGGGGCGGTTGAATGCGAGTTGCCGGGGGAGTATCAGGAGTATCTACATGGGATACGGCCGTTTAGGATTACGAGCAAGAAGCAGGAGGTGGGCAAAGCGTTGTTTCTGGGGATCTGGATGCCGTTTGTGTTGTTTGTATTTGCGCTCGGGAGGAAGTTTTCAGATGAGAAGGGGCGCGCGCCCGGGTGGCTGGCGAAGCTGAGTGCGATGATGTTTTCGGGCATGTGGACGAGTTATGATATGGTTTTCAAGCCTACGTTTGGTGAGGGAGAAAGGACGGTTGGGGACGATGCGTTGGGAGAGATGGATCCGAGCACATGGGAAGCTCTTTCTACACGGCAAGAGGCAGAAAAGGAATGCTTGTTGGAAGAGTCTACACAAGCCATGCACACAGCTCAGCTGGCTGCGCAAAGGCCCTCGCTGGGGGATGATGGGGCATTGCATTGAAGCTGCCCTCCTGGTATGAGAAGCTCTTGGTAGATCACATTTCATAATATGGAAATTAGATAACGTCTATCCCTACATCAAGAGACGGACTACAGGTACTTTGAAATCAAATAAATCTAGTCTTCCAAGCGCTTCAGAATTATCTATATTCTTCAGTTAATCGTTTCTTAGCCTACTTTAGACTGCTTCTGTGCTTTAATATACAAAAATTATCACGTTGTCGACGCTTGCACGTCGTGCACAGTAAAGCATTTTATTATGCTAAAACCCAGGCCCATGCTATGCAGCATCGCACTTAACTCCTTAGACCCTCTTGGGTTGATAAAATAAACTATCTATCACTGCTACTATGGGGATAGGAAGTTACCACCAGCCTTGTGGCGGTTGTCGCGCGCTCATTCATGCGCGATTGCCACCCTGGTCGGTACCTGAGATCGAAGCAGCCCCCAATGCAGTTAGTGTAACTCCTACCCTGCACTTATAATACGAGTAGCGTGTGATCTATCTTAAGCCACCAAGCAAGTGGCACTTGTGGCCATACAGACTGCTGACACCAAGTGACACAATTGCAAGTAAGCATATCCCTAAATAGCATAACCAAGCATTATCACAAAAAACACGATAACAGCGAGTATCTCAATTCTTGGAATCAACGCATTATATCGCAAGTAAAAGTCTGCTCAAGGCGTCTTATGACTAGCCAGCACTCCAGAAGCAGCGCCCATTGCGACTAAAGCGTCATGGCGACACCGTGGCCTCGAAGGGGAACATGGCCTACGTATACGTAGATGGAGAGGTACCGATCGTCGCGGCGACGTTGACGACAAAGCCGGTAATCTTTCTAGCAGCACTTTCTAGCAGCAGCAGCAACTAGAAAGTGGGGAAGACTGGAAGCATCTAGGGCAAACACTGGCACACGAATATCTGTTGGTTGCAAGAATTTTCTCTGCCTTGAAGTCAAAGTACTCATGAAATCTCTTGCTACGTAGCGCGACATGTTATATAAACAATTTTACATCTGAATCTGAATACATTTTTAAGTTCCACCAACTAGCGATAGAATGGGTTTCAATATGAAGATTAAACCCCTACCAATCACACCCACATCTCCCATGATGATAAGTGCAACGTTTACCACCGCAGCATTTATGGTGCTTGCATTGCGGATGACAATAATAGCATCCTAATGGTACGTTAGATATTGTTTTAAATAGAGGGATGATTTCAAACGTATTAGGTACACGTACTATCTTTCTCAGTAGTATCTATGACCTCTGGAGATGCAGGAACTTGCTCAGCAGAACCTTCGATAGCATCTATTAACAGTCAGAGCTTTTTCTTGCTAGGAGAATGAGCAAGTATTACCTGCGAGTGAGGTTCCAGAAGCTCCGTTGACCGGTCCTCCCAGCGAATGGGCGATGTGCAACCCAAGGCAAAGAGCGATAAGCTTGAGATTCATCATAGCGAAATGGTTATAAGTCAAGAATAGTTGAGGTGTTGCGATGATAGCTTTAGTATGCTGAGTTGGAAGGACGTTTGAGCGTCTTTATATATTCGAGGCCTATGCAGAATGGTGAGCTTGTGACGTGGTAGGCATGTGAAAACATGTTGGCAGAATTGACCACTGTCTAAAGAGCAGATACGTATCGAATTCACTTGGTATCTTCTTACGCAAAGAACGGGTTTCAGCGAACTTTGGTACGCACTATTAGTGTAGCATCTAGATCCCGCTGTCAACTTTGAAGATCATCAGCCGCAGCTGAAAGCGACCCAGTTCACGTAGTGTGTTTCTGTAGAGTCTACCCAAGGTTCCATTGGTTCTTCTAGTACGGTTCTGATGAATCAGCTTCCTCTAGTATACATCAGCTGTGTGATGCTAAATTAACTTTCGGTTTATCAAAGCTGATTTGATTGTATAATGTATCAGGCAGGCACTGTGTGCACTCATCGACAGTTGGTATATTTTAAGAAGATTCTCAGCATTTCGCTTACGCTTGGAGAATCTGTTAGGCCACTACTTTCGCCCTCACTATCATAATACGCAAACTCGTTGTTGGCGTACATTCAAGTAGTGCGTCATAAAGAGGTAAGTTACTCATAAGTTACGAATTTTTCTAATTAGCGCACAAGGCAACCAAGGGAAGAAGAACATAGTCAGAATACGTAAGAACTATCGCCATAACCAGAACAAGCGAACTATTCACCATAGACATGTGCGGCGTCACGCTGAAGTGGCGTGATGCGAGGTTTCACAAAGACGCAAAGGACGACCAACGAAGTAAGGATACGCCTATCATATAGCCTGCTGCATTCTTGCTTGCATGGTCCTTTAAAGTAGCAGACTTCGTTGCCCTGATTATATTGTCGATCCTCCTCGGAACCCCGCACACAACGACGACTCACGTCACTAAACATGGTAACTTGTTCTATCAGTCACCGGTGATATGCAAGCAAAACCTAGCCGCCCCGCTGCGTGGAAGGCGCCGGCCCCTTCCTCCCGCACGATCTAGACAGACAAGCTATAGCTCATAGGTTAACTCTATTTGTAAGCTTTTAGTAGGCGTTGCAATAGATTGATGCTTCAGCCGCTCTTAGTATGCTGATTTCTAGTTTACTGTTTATTGGCGCCCATGTGTGGACCGCTTAAGTGTACCCTTATCTCATCTATGTCGTGCACGCTCTTCTGGCAGGATGGTAGGACCACTAAGGCTGCTTTCTAATGACCCCGAACCATTCCATTACTATAGATAGGATATCCTAAGGATTAGCTAGATCCCTATTTTACCTTCACATGTATGATTAGTGCGGACTTTCTGGGCTAGTGGAAGAAAGTGCAGCAATGCGCTTAGGAAGCGGGGAGTAGGAAGTGGGGAACGCAGTAGATCCCAGAGGGATCGACGGCGGGTCTGCGGAGCTAGAGGATGGCGCAACGGCTTTATCTCTATGACATACAAGCTTTCACGTTAGCTATTAGTTATCTACTGCATTACGTCTCAAAGTTGCATGATGGCTATGTTGAAGACTAATTGCGGTTTCGATGCTGAGAGCATTCAAACCCAGCCCTGCTCCTAATCTAAGCCGGTTTTCGGATGTCCTGGAGCGCTTGGCAAAAGCGCCGTACAGCCGCACCGCCACAGATGTAGCGTCAGCAGCGATAGATTACAACTAAGCTGTTTCAAGCTAGGTGCGCAAGTCCGCCTTATCTAACACTTCTAGCAGACGGTTTTGCGTTTAGTACAGACGCATGATAACCTCTTAAGCTTAAGCGCAGTGCTTGGGATAAGATAGTGATATAATAAGCTATAAGTTGACGGACTTTTAATAAGATATATAAGCCTTTAACCCATCTCTACCTGCTAAAGGGAGGTGGTTGTATAACGCTTATACTAAATTATTGTATTGCACGGTAAGTAGAACTAATTTCTAAAAGAAGTTGAAATATAATAGACCTTGTAGCTTAAGGCTACCATCTTGAAAATATCTATGCTTCTGACCTGTTGTTTAGTTTGTTGTGTTGGGGAGTGTCTGTGCCGTCCCGCCACACAAGGACGGACGTTAGGATAGAAGCAACGATGCAAGCCGCCTGGCAAAACTATGAGCAAGCATACTAGCCATTGATTGATAGTGATATGATATGTGATGTGGACACTACAATGCGTTCAGAGGCAGGCAGGGCATGCGGCGGGCTCATGGACCGGTATTTATTTGCGGAGATGGCTTGGTGTTGGCCTAGAGTAGTACCGTTGTTTTCTGTATGTATACTTAAAATCATCTTCAGCACCAGGTGCGACACCTCAGCGTGCCGCGAGTCTTGTGAAGACACTTAGAAAATCCATTGTACAATCACACGGAATGTTGATGCTTGCCCTTGTCTTATTCTCCAAACAACCAGCACTTATTCTCCCCGTTTTACTATTGCACCACCATCATCATTCGTTTTCTTTTTCTTACATTCCACCAGCCTCTCAAGAATTCCGGCTTTGATGGTATCGTTTGATCATCAAGCCACAGACCGTTGATATACAACATTTATGTACTTTTTGTGAAGTATATTTACATCGCCGCACCGCAGACTTGCAGCTTCCTCAGAACACTTTCCAACGGCTCATATCTCAATTCCTGTCTTTTCATACTCTTCTACAAACACTATGCTTCGCAAAATCCCATCGCATCATTCCGTCTGGGATCATTCGTCACCCTCGCGAAATTACCGCTGCTGCGAGTGTAATCGCCCGGTCCAGCTCGTGTCGATTGTCAATGCTACACTGAGGTTGCTTCGTGTTCGAGCAAAGTACTACAAGCCTCTTGTCGTCTGTAGTTGTACATGTCATGCCCAGATTGACGCACGGCGAAGATCTGTGTAGGATGCCGTGTCTGATCTCGAGAACTGCTTATTGGAATATGACGGGAACTACGAAATCCCGGGTGATTGAAGACTGCAGAGCATGACGAGATACCGAAAAAGGAGTCTCTTCTGGGAGTTTTGGATGGATAAGATTATGTTGTATGTTTCTCGTTGGTATAGAAACGCAATCAATGAGGTTTTTCTTTGCAAACTCTACTCTTCCTATCCTTCCATCATTCTCACTCTGTCTCTGTTTCTACACTTGCAAATTATCTGATCGAATTAAAATTGTATCTTCATATCAGTGGGGCTCACGCAAGATAAATTGGGTTGTACATAGCAGCAGTAAAGACGCAAACGCACAGTGTTGCGTCACTCACTAGGCAACTCACAATCACCTCATTGTCAAAAAACCTCCTTCACTGAATGTTCTGCTAGACACTCATCCCCTTATATATATATATATACAACCGCACTACTGCACAGCTATACTGTATCTCAATCAACAATAGCACATAGAAGCACTCTCATTAACAACTGGAAGCAACAAGCTGGCCTTCTTGGATCTGCAGCCAAACAAGAAATCATGGATCCCCCACAAACCTGCAGTGTCAACTCAGACAGCCCACCACGTTCGAGTCAGGAAACGATGCGCCCGAACAAGAAAGGCTTTCACCAAAAAGAAGAAGAGCGCCAGAGCCCCACACTGGACTTGACGAACATCTCTTCGAGTGCAACAGGCGCTTCTGGCCTGACCAAAGACGAGGAGGACTTACAAATTCAAGAAAGAACCACTGGAAGCTCTGAGAATGAGAGGTATGCTGGCTTGATGAATCCGTTCGATATGATGGAAGGAAGTTTCAAGTACGCTAGACTGCCGCTGACGCAGAAGATTCCTGGCAGTGTCACACGCGGGCGCGTTATGGCAGCAAGTCGACTGCGACGTTTCAAGACACAGCAACCATCTCTTCGAGGGCGCTCCAAATATACAGAGACCCCAGCGGAGTTGGTTCCAGGCCCGCCAGCAAACACACTTACTTTTGTCGTCGAAGAGGACAAGTTGTCCAGTCCTATTGGCAAGTGGTGCTGTTGCAAGTGCGGCAGCAGTCACGATGTCTACAGCGTTGCAAATGGCCAGCATCCCGTCAATGCCCTGAACTGCAACTGTATGCACGGATCCTGCTCCAAGTGTACACTAGAAGGTTTGATCAAACAATTCGTACCCATGATTGAGCCAGAGGTCGTGCACCTATCAGAGGACAAGAACAAGGCTGTACGATTCGGCGTATTCTGCGATGGCTGTGGTCAATCCTGGCGCGCGCAAAAGGTCCATGACGATACGAACAAGAAGGCAGCAGTGAAAGCAGCCTTGACACGAATATCTGCGATCCCCGGACGCCTCAACAAGCGTGATCCACACCCTCTCAAGAATGTGAGGGCCTCAAGGTCGATGGATCATCTCCTTCATCCTCGCACCCCTTGCGCAACAATGGCGACCTCCAAGTCCGTCCTCAACCTCCGCGCGCTTTCAAACGAGATGCAGAAAGAACACGGTAAACAAGCAGAGCTCGTCTCTGTCCGGTTCACGGGTATCAAGTGTGACTGTGGTATGACTACAGATTCCAACTCGCTTTGCTTCCAGATTGTCGACCCGCCTAAGGACTTTTACAGAGTTCAATTTATGAAGCAGATGGCTGGACGTCGATTGGCTGGCTTTGGTACCACGCCAGAGGACAAGGCGAGAGGGCATGGAACGCCGATTCTAGTCTTGAGAGGCTATATTCGCCACCCGAATCCACTCATGAGCAACCCTGTTTCGTAGTGTGGCGTTGTTGCAAGTGGGTCCGAAGAAGGTGGATCTGAAAGCATGGCTTTATTGTGCATTGCGCCGAATACTGGAAGCTGTCAGATGTTTAGGACTAAGCGAGCCGTCTAGTACTTGCCTTTCTCGTGAACTACACCGGTCTGGGGTGGTCTCCTGAGTGTTTGGCGTAGATATTCGTCAAGGATACTGTAGGCATCAATTAATTAATATGCTCAATGTCTGTCTTTCGGCTGATTTGAGTTTCCGTGACTGTTTCCCCCAGATGATGTTCCATGGGTACGAGAGCACTGCCTCAGGCGTCCCATTGCGCGAACACAGTGTTCGCATGTCTGCCATTCTGAGACTTTACTGAATCAACATGGTCCTTATGGCCTTATCAGGTATTTGTTCGTTGATCAAAGGAATTGCTGCCTCGTTGTGTAGCTGAGACTGTTTCGGCGCTGATTGTGCATATTTGTTTCAATTCAGGCATCAGCCATCATATTGCTATTGTGATGTTACCTTCAGACACAGCCTGGCCATCAGCATCCAGATGCTTGTAGTTTGATAGTACTTGCCTTTTATGGGGTGTTGAAAACACAGGGTTGGCGAAATGTAGATAGTCATGCAGACGCTTTTAACGCTTGCTTAGGCACCAGGAGGTAGTATGTGTGGCAGTGCAAGGCGTGACGCCTGGAAACCACGCGCTTAATCACCTCAGCAGCCGTCATCTAGATAAAACGGTGAATCGCCGTGCGCCATTGTTAACAATACACTTTATCACTCTGACATCAGAAAGTTTCACATTTCAAACACTCACCAACAAACATTTGTCTATATATTCATTGTCTAGTTTGCCCGTTGTGTACTCAAGCCAATGTCACTAGCCAAGTATGATCTCGTGCCCCACTAAGATCTCAATACATAACCCTAGACACCCGACTGACATTCACAAACTCAGACTCCAACTTTCGCGACAAACCCCATCTTGCACCTTATCACCTCGAGCAGCCACTTCTCCAGCACATCTTGAAGTACCTTTTGCTATAAGAAGATTAGTACACCAGCTGAGCCACAACCTGGCCGCCAAGGATCCAGTTCCTACAACTCCAACAACTACTACTATGGTCTTTGGAAAAGACATCATCGATAAAATGCGTGGCAAAAAGACTGAACTCGAACCTCAACCCAAAGTACCAGAAGGCGTAGACATTGACCAAGACGTCGAAGACATCAAAAACCAACTCCCACCTTTACCCTCACCCTTGCCCACACCCCACAAGGACTTCATACACTGTGTACCGCCCAATGCGCCTACATACCGCAAATTCAGCGTCTTCACCGCCGGCAGCATAGAAATGGGTAATGCAGTCCAGTGGCAAAAGCACATGGTCACCATGCTATCCCACCTCCCCATCACAGTCTGCAACCCGCGCCGCGGCCACTGGAACCCCAACATCACGCCGCAAGCGCGCGACAAGGATTTCAAGGATCAGGTCGAGTGGGAGCTCAGCGCGCTGGAGCAGGTCGATGTGATTTGCTTCTTCTTTGACGTCACGACAAAGAGTCCCGTTTCGCTGCTTGAACTGGGGCTGTGGGCTGGCTCGGGTAAAGTGGTCGTGTGCTGTGGAGAAGGGTACTGGAAGGGCGGGAATGTGGAGCTGACATGTGATCGCTACGATATCCCCTTGGTTAAGTCGTTTGCCGAGCTGGTGCCTGCGGTGGAGAAGATGCTGGCTGAGAAGGGCATGGTGCTCGATGCCAAGGGTGATTTGGTGGGGGAGAACGTGCACGTTGACAAGGAGAAGCCTAAGAAGAAGGCGCAGCTTGAGGCTGAAAAGGAGTACTTGCAGAAGCAGATTGATGCGCTTCAGGCACAGCTGGCTGAATCAAAGCTGTGATCTTGGGGGGATTTCCTTGTTTTCATTTCTTAACTTGCTTTTCACTGCATTCACGGTACGAGTCAATTGGGCGGCGGGCTATTTGAGTGCGTCTTATCAAGGCGATCATGGGTGGCCTTTTCCATTTCACATCTGGTCTATACCCCTGCATGTAGCATTTCTCTCAGTTAGACATCGTATGAATATTTCCAAGTCACTCTTTTCCCACTAAGAAAATGCATCTGGGATTGAATTTTCCATGTAGCAAATCTACCTGAGTTTGACCTGTAGCACCCCCTTCCAAGCATGCAGCGCGCTGTCAACGTATTCCAATGCATATGCTTCCACATCCGAATCGCTGAGAATTGGTTTCAGTGCTTCGCCTGTCTCACCCCACCGTACCTGTGCCTTGATTGCAGCTGCACCCTTATTCTCGATTAGGTTGATGTAGCTATTGGCCACATCGCGTATCGCATCATAGCATGTCTTTGTTTCGGTCTCAATTTCGCTAACCCAGTTCTTTGGTAGCTTGGATTTGAGTGGGTGGGTGCTCTTCGGACTGAGCACCTTCTCGCGGAGTTGATCGTCCATTCTAATAAGTGCGCGGAGAATCTCCAGCTTGGTGTAGCACGAGATGAGCATGTTTTCGTGAAACATGGTGGGCTCATCCTCAAGCTTCAACTTGGTATTACTGGGCATGCGCAGCTTCTCCACCCCTAGACGCATTGCGTGAAGCTCTTCTGACAGCTTTGTGAGATTAGCAGGGAGCAAATTCGCATCTACTTGACCGGCCATGATCTCAACAACGGTATTGATGCCAAGCCATGAGTTTTCAGCTCTTGATTCCGCTAGAGTTTTGTTCGCTTCGACTTCATGGCCTTCTTTGGGGGTAGCAATATCATCTACCAACAACCCTACGTTTTCCCACGCTTGCGTCTCCTTGTGTAGCACTCTGCTGCTGGCCTCCCAGATCGAATAGCTTTCTATGAGCCATGGTAAATTGGGAACCATGTTGGGCATGATATATGGCAACGGACCAGAAGATCGCGTATCGTCAAAGTCGGGGAAGACGGATTTGTCCACATTGTCGATGATGTTCTGGAAACCTGTATCTTGTTTAGCATAGGACAGCTCATTGAGCTACCGTACTTACTTTGCCGGTCTAGAACAGGCAGCTGATCAACTGGTTCGCCCTTCAATCGCGCTATGCGGCGGCGCTCCAGATTGCAAATGTGTTTTGTTAAGCTTGATTTGAGTTTCCCCCTCAGAGACAACAAACCGATAGCTTGATCCCATGGGACTGTTTTGAGATCTGGGTATATCGTGTTATCCGTCTTGGACTCCATTCTCTCCATGGTACCAATGGCTTTCCCGAGTTCTTCTTCTGCTGAGAAGCCTTGGTAGCCTTTGGCACCAAACGGATGTGTTATTGAGAGGCGAGACAAGACGTATGGAGAAAGAGTGTGAATCAACATCTCCTTGCACTTGGTGTAGCTGTACATCTGGAAAGCAGACTTTCCAAGACCTAGGTTCAGGTGTAGCCGGGCAGCGAGTAATGCGCGCGGCCGGTCTTGCTTTTCTTTGTCACAAACGACTAGGTGGCGTGCGAGCATTGCAGCTTGTAAGAGGAGCCGAGAGTTCGGCGTATTCTCAAAAGGATGTCGAGATTCGTCGTAGCGCATGGTGACATGATGCATTCGTAGAAGGGAATAAACCGCAAGGAATCCTCCCGAGGAGCTAGGCTCGTAGAAGCCCGACGATGTACACGACTGGTCAAAGATGTACTTCAGAATCTTTGTTTTGTCGCCTTGCCAAATTTGGTCCGCCACCGACGATGTTATTAGATGATTAATCTTCAGGATGTTCTGTGAGTGTGTGTCCCACTTTTCGTCCGTATATTCGTCCTATTATGCCGTTAGTAAGACATAAGCTTGGCTCTCTAAACATTTCGTCATGCGAAGAAGTAACAGGGTATAGCCCAGAGGTTTTCGGATGTCCCGAGAAACAGAAGAACCAGAAAACATACCGTTTTCGACAGTGCGTCAGTCGCCAAGGTTCGGAAAAAGTGCATTTTACCTCCGAGACCATTGTTGCTATGCAATGTTTCCAAAAATGGGCGCATGTCTCCGAAACAGCTGATAAGTGTCGAGTGGTTCTTCCAATATGTCAAGCAGTCGCCTGCCATTGGAACTCCGATGAAATGACGAAGCTTCATGTATGTCAAACTCATCGCACGATCGTTGGTTCGTAGTTCTGTTCCAAAGGCACGGTGTAGGATATCGTAAACAATGCGGATAGCCCTAGAAGATCAAATAAGTTAGAGCAGAAATAGTACAATAGGAAACTTACTCGTCTTTGGACCGATTCATTCGAACTGCTGCTAGCCAATCTGTCCATAAATCCATGTTCCAAGCACATAGTTCCCATAGCGCCTTGGAGTCTGGATTCTCGGTTATTTGCGATATCGCATTTTCAATCCTAGCCAGTGATTCGCTCTCAACAAGAGCCCAGCTATTGGTCTCCCTTGAGAGTCTGATTCTCATGATCTGTAAGTCGGCTTGGTGCGTCTTCATGAGATCTTTCAAGGTAGCAGGTGGGTTGTTCCAGAGCTCTATGAGCTCATCGCATCTACCTTGTCGCGCAAAAATCTCACCCATGAAGCGTAGATCCCGGATATCTTTACACGCAATCGGTTCACCCTAGAATAGATTAGTATGCTGTGCTTTCTTGTAGCGAGTGTTACTGACTGGAGACGCTTCGTATGCTTGTTTCATTAGCCTACGTGCTAGATCGAACTGTACCTTGGACTTGAGGCCAGCGCCGGGTATCTGGAGCTGTTGCTCGGCTGCAAGTTGCGTTGCGAGTATCTGTGTGAAGTGGGCATGCTTCTTTATTGATGCAGACACGGAGATGTCTTTGAGCTCCTTGCTGTATTGAACGACAGCCTAGAGTCTGTTAGCAATTCATGATGATCAACTGAGAAGCGCTGTCATACGAAGCGAAAGTCTTCCCAGCATTCTTCGCGCCATGCAGCTTTGCCAAGCGCGGACCATAACTCTTGCCGTTCCTGAGGGCTCAGTGTTTTTGAAGCGCTAAGCCAAACCTTGGAGTTCTCATTGCCGAGTCCACTGATACAAGAGTTGGCAGCACTGCTTCTTCGCATCGCCTCGGCAAATAGTCTGTAAAGATATGCTAGGAGCCGGATATCGTAGGGTCCAGGCTGCTGCCATGCCTGCTGTATCTGGAGAACCACATTCTTTGGATCTTGGGTCAGTTGCAGTGAGATGTCCGCTTTCCAAGCCTAGTAAAAGATCAGCTGTTAATGACGTTACTACATTGATGAATTTTCTTACCAACAGAAATGGGTTCTTGGGGCTTTTCTTAAGGGACTTTTGAACAAACGAGTCTGCAAACTTGGCTTTTGGGTAGTCGCGCTGCACCTTACACAATTTATCCCAGCTGTTGCACGCCATGATGCCGGCGACCATAAGCGCAAGCGGATGGCGCCAAAGCGACTGTAATGTTGGTTAGTGATGTTGAGGCTAGAAATCAAGTGATTAGTGTAATGGTTGTATGTGCGCTGGTGGTATATTGACGGAAAAAGACGAAAGCGGACATTGGGTCGGCAACCGCAGGCGAGTCTCGGCTCCACAACTAACGCTCCGTCTACTTACTTACAAACACACGAGCATCTTCAGTTGCATGCCGCACGTACTTCCCACCGCCACCGCTGCGGCCTCGCCCGAACTACGTAGCAATAGCAAGGCTTGAGAAGCATCTACTAAAATTAGGTTGTAGGTCGATATATAGTACCGCGAATGGTATGCGAGGGATGGGGTTCTACTATGATATAGCTACAGTCCCTTAAACCCAACTACTTGCCCTGTACTATGAGGCAGCTGCGAATAGCCCATAGGCTTGGCGCATCAGTCATTGGCCAAGGTTTGTGCAAGAAAGGTAGTGGCACTCTGTTTGTAGATTTGCACAGTTACCTATGACCAGTGATTGAACCAGAGTGCATTGTGTAAACTATCTAATATTTAACATCCAGCTGCAGTGATAGTTCTGTGCTATCTTTTTCAGAGAGAAGAACCTTGAACAAAGCATCGTGATGGCGACAGCGTATCGCTGGCGGAATACACTGGCGATGGATGCCAAGACCCATACACGTGACATGTGTTCGGCCGGCAAAAAAATTGCAAGAGACAAAAATTTACGACATCGGGGATTCATTGGATAGGTGTGTGACTATGAGATGTACTTGGGTAGGGAAAGCACCAAAGCAGCACCATCGAAGAAAAGGGAAGGTGCCAAAGCGGCACCTGGGAGTGGAAATAGGGCGTTGACGGAAGGGAGGTGAGAGAAAGAAGTTTAGTACGTAGGCTTGGTTAAGTATCCAAGAAAGCTCACGTGGTGTTATCGATATCAATATCCCAAGCATAGCTCAGCACTCCGCACACACGGAAAATAATCTCTCTAAGCTAGACGGTATATCAACGACATTAGCGAATCTTTCCGTGCGTAGTGATAGATGTATAAGGGTGCGGGCGCAGAGTTAGCATCTCGCAATTATGTAGAAGAGAGATAGACCATCGGTGCATCATAACATACATACAATACTCGTACATTCATACACCGCAAATAAGGCCAGGCTCTTAGAAAGTAGGTCTCGTCCTCTCACCCTTCCAAAATCCCATGACTTCTCCAGTCTCCCCAACCCACTCCTTGACACCAGTGACAACGGCTTTTGCCATGCCCGCATTCGTCCCACTCCTCGCTCGTCTCTTTCCCTGCATTCCACTCGCTCCAACGCCCGACCCGCTTCCGTATGAATCGGGCGCTTTTCCTGGGTTGACATAACTGCTTCCATCGCCGGTCGCATACTCGGAGCCCATCGAGGGTAAAACGTTCTCGCCAGCGGATAGGGAAACGAAAAGAGCGAAGGGAACAAGCCAGACGCACAGTCCAAAGTAGGCAGCGATCTCGGTAAATGTAGGAATATTCGGATCGCGTGCGTACAGATATGAAGAATAGGAGCTGGCAGGCGGAGCACTAAAGTGACGGAACCAAAGGTAATGATTTACAATGACGAGGGCTAGAGTCAGTCAGTTTTATGTCTAATCCAGTTCTTTGTATGAAGTGTCGCATACCGCAGGACAATAAGAACAATGGGTCGGTGAGCTTGACGACCGGAAAGCGCCTAAGGTTCTGTGCATATATGCCGTGCGACACAACGCTCAACAGACTTAGCCCGACGGGGAACTTGTCGACGACAAGTAGGAGAAACTGAACACCAACAACTCCATAGATGAGACGGTATAGGAGCTTCTTTGCCAGTACGGTATGCTCTTCCACGAGCTCGGAAAGGTAGTAGAGCCCGGAAGCTACATTGAATCATTAGCTCTCGTAGTCGTACATAGCGCCACCAATCGGCTTTGACGGTGGAATCAAGTACCTATTGCCAGCGTCAAGAAGGCAAACCCTAGTATGAGGCCAACATATCCAAGCAACGGTAATATCCACATGGTGAAAGGTGGCCTCTGGAAAAGTATCTGGAGTATTGAAAAGATCGAGAAGTAAGGCAGCCGCACGATGAGGTCAGTCCAAAGGTGGCATCAAGGCTAGCGGAGAAAGCCGAGGGATCCGCGCCGAAGTGTGGGGGTTGAACACCAAAAAGTTGTCGAACTCTTGGCTTTTGCATTCCACGATAACTCACGATTCCCCCTCTGGCTCTGCGCAGTCTTGTATACCGTCGCATAACCTGGAAGTGCCGAAAATTCAAAGTAACTGCTCACCAAAGGCTGTCTCTGAGCCAGGAAATCCGCAATCATGTCGCGCCCCGAAGATATCCTGTACGCTTCCCACGCAAAGCTCAGCCATGCGACGCACAATTAACAGAAATCCTGTAGACCGCCCGACCTCTTCTACAATGATATCGAATCGCGCAAGTACACGACTTCGTCGCGAATCCAGAAGATTCAATCCACAATGACCCACCGCGCCCTGTCTCTCCTCGCGCTATCCTCGCCTTCGATGATTCTCGACGTCGGCTGTGGTTCTGGTCTCTCGGGCGAAATCTTGTCGCAAACGGCCGAGCAGGGAACACCAGGAGGTCCCCATGTATGGATCGGCTACGATATCAGCGCATCAATGTTAGGCGTAGCCCTGGAGAAGGAAGTCGAGGGCGACCTGCTACTAGCGGATGCGGGGCAGGGTGTGCCCTTCCGGCCAGGAACCTTTGATGCAGCAATCAGCATCAGTGCGGTACAGTGGCTGTGCAATGCCGAGACGAGTGAGGAGAGCCCTACAGGCAGACTATCGAGATTCTTCAATCAGCTGTATGCTTCATTGAAGAGGGGTGGCAGAGCAGTCTGCCAGTTCTATCCCAAGAACGATACCCAGAAGAAAATGGTGGCCCAGGCGGCCATCAAAGCGGGCTTTGGTGCAGGTCTGTTGGAGGACGACATGGGTACCAAGAGCGCAAAGACATATCTCGTGCTGACAGTTGGCGGAGGAGCCACTGACGGCGACATCACGGGTGTAGTGAGGGGTATGGAGGGCGTCGATGTCGAAGATGCACGAAGAAAAGCAAAAGGCATGAAGAGGGGCGAGGAGAGAAAGGGCAGCAAGGCCTACATTATGAAGAAAAAGGAAAAGATGGAAAAACAAGGCAAGGTGGTCAAGTCCTCGTCCAAGTACACGGGCAGAAAGAGGAGGATCCAATTCTAGATACCCACGACATCACGAGGTCATGCATAGCACGGAGTTTAGGGTCTGAGGGGGTTTTTCGGTATTTCGTTCACAAGGGTATAAGAATGGTCAATTCAATCATGTAGCATGCTATATACCACCTACAAGTACAACTCTATGCACATTTCAGCTTGCAGTTGTACAGGTCCCATCGCGTCTAGTCGTCAATGAAGTATGTTTCTTCTGTAACCAATGGCATTGCCAGCTTCAAGCCAACATAAGCCGAGGTCTACATATGACTGCATCATCGCGCTAGCTCAAAACTTAGCAAACATCGAGGACGTGATGATAAATTTAAGCCTTCTCCATCTGGTTCAGGACGGCGCGAGTGAACTCGTGGGTGGTGGTGTTGCCGCCCATATCCCTTGTGCGGGCAGTACTAATGCTTGTTAGTTTCAATGCTCTTGTTGTGCTTTGTTCAGATAACTCACCCGTCAGCAATGACCTTGTAGACGGACTGCGAGATGCGGTTGGCGTGGTCATCAAGACCAATGTGGCGCAGCATCATGGCGGCGGACAGGATCAAAGCAGTAGGGTTGGCCTGGTCCTTGCCCTTGATGTCGAGACCGACGTGACGGCAACCGGGCTCGAAGACGGCGACGTTGCGGCCCATGTTGCAGCCAGGGACGATACCGGGGCCACCAACAAGACCAGCACCAATGTTGGACAGGATACCTCCGTACAAGTTTGGCATCACCATAACATCGAATTGTTGAGGCCTTGAGACGCACTGCATGGAGGCGTTGTCGACAATCATGTCGTTGGTCTCGAGCGTGGGGTAGTCCTCGCCGACTCTCTTGACGGTGTTGCGGAACAGACCATCGGCAAGCTTCATGATGTTGGCCTTGTGGATGCAGGTGACCTTCTTGCGGTTGTTGGCAAGGGCAAAGGCAAAGGCGAACTTGGCAATGCGCTCAGACTTCTCGCGGGTGATGATCTTGAGTGATTCGACGACGCCCGAGACGGACTGGTGCTCGAGACCAGAGTACTCGCCCTCGGTGTTCTCACGGATGATGCAAAAGTCGATATCCTTGTGGCGCGTCTCGTAGCCAGGGATGTTCTTGAGGAGGACGATGGAAGCGTAGATGTCGAGCTCCTGGCGGAGAGCGACGTTGAAGGAGCGGTGGCCGGAGCGCTCGACGGGAGTGTGGAGGATACCCTTGAGACCAAGCTTGTTGCGCTTGAGCGATGCAATCGACTCGCGGAGGAGCTCCTCAGAGTGGACGTTGCCAGAGTCGACACCAGAGACGTCGACCTGCTCCCACTCAATGGGCACGTTGTCCGCCTTGAAGATCTCCTTGACCGACTCGGAGACCTCAGCACCGATACCGTCACCTGCACATGTTCAATATCACATCTTTTTTTGCTAGTTTCATGGGCGGCTATCGCGCGTACCAGGGATCAGGGTGACGGTGTATTTGCCGCCGAACTTGGTGGGCTTGAAGATGTCCTGGCCGACCGTAGCCATTGCTATCACTGCGTCAGAATCTCCATGCTGGCTGTCTGTTAGGCGGGTGCTTCATACATCGAGTAGCCATGGCGGGCGCCCATCGTGAGGCAGGCTTCGCGCCCCGCAGGAGCGTCTATACGAGCGCATTAGTACTGGCGTCGCCTTGCACCCAAAAAAACACTCAATTGGGCGTGCAGAGCCGGGTTCGTACCTGCGCTGTTCGTTGCGAGGTCCTCGACAGCATAGTGAAGTTGCGGCGTAGGGCTGGTGGTGAGGGATTTGAGGTAGAGAGAAACAGGCTGGAGCTGCCGCTCGCCGAAAAAGCATCCCGAACCGAAGGAAGAAACCGCGCTTGGCGAATGACCGCATCCGTTCCAGCCCGCGGCTCGCTGTCTCAAATATCTCCGGCCCTGGCCCTCCTCGCTCTCCCATTGCTGCTCGAGTCTTTCGCGATTCTTTTTCGTCATGGAACAAGTTGCAACACCACACTCGCTGCTCTGGCTGCTGGAGTCTCTTCGTCACTCCCTTTTGGGCGCGCAAACCTGTTCGCATGTGATAGCGTAGTACAGTCTTCGCCTCACATACAACCATGTCCATTCATGCCAGAGTACAGCCGATAATTACATCGACTCTGTATCAAACTCGAAATGTTCCAAATTATCGCTTCGAGGTTTCTGCAGCGAATTTCAATTTCTTACAGCGATCAATTACGCACATGTTTCTTCTCATTTCTTATTACCGTTGCAAGACTCTTATTGTGCTGGTGCACAGGGTTACCAGTAGCCTTTGGGCAGAAACTACGGTTCAAGTCGAGAGTATAAGATAAGAACTTTCGTGTACAGCAGACAATCATTCAATTTCATGAGCTTTCAGCCCATCTAGTAGATCTCTTCGACCTCAGTTCCAGACGATACAGGTGAAGGTAAAGGTACTCGTATCCTCCATAGTAAGACTCGTGGCTTGATACTATCTACATCCGTTCACTATGACACAACCCCACTCGGAGACTCTTACCTTTACCTAGCTATCCACTTACCTATCACTGTTTTCGGCTTCATCGTTACCAATCTCTACTTTGCCTTTGACCCACGTTTCGACACGCTCAGCTGATGTCCCGCTGACAACGAGAACCACCACGACACTAGATCCCAAATACACGCCCTATCTACGATGAAGGCCACGGAGGAAGGTTCTGATCGAAGCGCAGAGATGAGTATTTGCATCGAAGGCAGCGCCAATCCTCTGCCCGAATATGGAGAATATGTCGATCCGGTTGACCATGCAATATGTTCTTATGTCCCTTTGGAGAAAGGACAGAAGCCAAAATTCAGTGGAAAATTCAAAGGAACTGTAAGTCCTGTATCATGTATTCATCCTTGGTCTCTTCTCACAACTGAGCAGACACTGGATATCGTGTGCGACGCCTTGATGGATGGAATACACCGCAAATACTACTCCTATGGTGCCAGGGCTGTACGATTCCAAAAGAGCAAAAAGATTGAAATCGACAAGTTTCTCTTCAAGACTGAGGACGGAGTTATTGATTCCCAGATGGTGGTGTCTACTCTGGGCATGGCCACGACTCAATCGGATTTGCCAGAGACTATTGGCACTATGGAGCTCCGACTCTACTGCACGCGTAAAATCGGCGTCTCTCATGAAGTGAAGGGTGTTAAGCAGTATTACACTGAGGACAACCGAAAGCAAAACAATGAGGATAACAGCACGTCCAACAATGACGACAACCAGAAGCCTGAAAACTCCAAGAAGGGCAGTGAGAAGACTAATCAGATTGTAAGCTACAGGCAGGTTGCACCCACATCTCAACTCGACATAGAGAGAGACTCTGCTCCTATCAGCGAACAAGCAATAGCCAGTTATTACAACAAGATGGTTCCATCGCGACCAGGCAAAGAGCCTTGGGCGATATTCCGGTTTCATTACCGCAGTAAAGGTATTTATTGGCACTTAGTACTTGAGAGAACCGTGACTAAGAACATGCTATAGAAGCGCTCGAAAGTTCCGGTGTGGTATGCGACCCCAAGGACAAGAAACCAACCAGTGCACGGGTTCTGTCTTTTTTAGAGCCTGTACCTCCGCTTATTGTAGAAACAAAGTGTCATCCTCGCACCCCAGCTGCAAGTGAAGAACCCTTTTCAAAGGTGAGAGAAAATTTACTCCGGGAGGTGACACCGGGGCGCTAGCAAGCAAAGCCCATCTTACTAACGTATACTGATAGGCATCCACTCCTATAGAGACCAAGCCGGAGTCGCTAGCAGATCCAGCAGTAACAACAATGACCCCGGTTGCCGAAAGTACCATCTCTACAACCAGCGAGTCTGGGGCCAAACGTCTCTCCGCGACTATCAATGAGACACTTCCAGAGGCAAAACGCCCAAAGGTCCTCCCACCCTCACCCTCCACAAAAGCCAACTCTCTCAAAAGCCAACTTGCCGAACGCCGCAAGAAGCTTGCAGAGCTGTACAAGAACCACTGTCAGGAAGCTGAGACCTTAGCTACTATCCAGAGAAAGATAGAGCCCTACGAACAGCGTATGATGGAGGAGCTGGAGCGCATCAACCAAGAGATAACGGGGGAGGAGACGGCACTCAAAGATGTGTTGGAGCGTCGTAGCCACTTTGAGAAAGTGCTCCAGGAGTTTGAAGATGGCCAAGATGATGCCTAGAACTCTTCTTGTAGTAGGGGGAAAGCAAAGATATCTTGATTGGGTTTGAATTGTGCCAGGTCTGCTCCGGAATCTGAACAGGGATTTAAGCAAAGGAATGAATTACCAGGCCGGCATCTAAAGCAGTATCATGATATGAAATAGGCGTTGGATTCCTTATCGTTCTGGGCATCCGGGGCCGTTGAGGCCATTGCACATTTTTGGGACGGATGATTAGCTCGAGTTACATTGAAATAAACTAGCAGTTCTGAAGCCACTTTCAGTCGCAATAAAAAGCAAACAAGCAAGAAATCGGTGAACTCAGGATATTCGTCAAGTCGTATACCCACAGTTCAATTTGAACCGGAAAACAATTTTGAAGAGCCCTCACGAGACAATACGGTATCTCTGCACACTCATTGATCAGATGCCCGCTCTCTAGACACCCTCATGTTGGCCTTAATCCGCTCCAGCAGTTCTGCAGTTGTCGCTAGGGGAGAGGGATGTAGATCGCGCTACAATATTGTTAGCCAGAATCTAGTGACTCGCTGAATGAAACCTTGAAGCAAAGGATGTTTTGGGACAATAGCAGCGTTCTCTGAAAACAAGTGGCAAGTACTTACATGCTGAAGCCAGGTAACACATTGGTCATGTGTCCATGTTTCTGGGTCTACAGTTTAGGTCAGTTGAACTCTTTGCCAGATTCATGCATCTCTTCTGCATTGAGGATGACGTACCGCCAGTAGGATCTTGACTGGGAAAGATATCTTGACCCCAGATACTCCATGCTGCAACGCCTGCGACTATAGCGGCGAATGCGAAGAACGGTCCCTGTAACAGATTTAGCATAGAATAAGATTGGTGTATTGAAGGCCCACTATGTATAGTAGACGCCAGGATAGCCATGAGTAACTCACACGTTGTTGCACTGCGCGGTCGATGGGAGTGGGCATGTTGGAGGTTGATAGTAATGCTAGTTTTCTGGGAGCGCTACTTCACACTTCACTAGAATTAAAGAAGGTAATAGAGCAGGAGATTTGCGCGCCTTAAGTAGGAATCGGGTAGTAGGCAGCACCACTGATCCTCGCCTCACATGTGTCAAACGCCACACTCGTCGTCAGCCCACCAAGCCCGATGCAGCAACGCTTGCGGCCAGCCCCTTGGTAGCCCGTGCGTCCAAGCGAATTTCTCTCCACAACAACCAACGCAATTTGCTTGGTCGACCTCCCGAACTTCACGATCCGAACCCAACGACTCGTCGACACATTACCGTCAAGATGCCTTCCGAAGTTTCCGACATTAAGCAGTTCATCGAGATCTGCAGGCGCAAGGATGCCAAGTGTACGTCTACCAATTTCGATATGGGTGCGGCCTGCGGTCGCAAGAAGAGGAGGAAGTTCGCATGATGATTGAATACAACGGCGATTACGGGGGAGGACGCCTGCGGATAGGCTGCTCTGTGTGCGAGAACTAGACTGACAGAAATGTAGCTGCCTGCATAAAGAAGAACAAGAAGGTCAACAACATCAAGTTCAAGGTCCGATGCTCAACCAACCTGTACACCCTTGTCCTTAAGGACACCGACAAGGCCGAGAAGCTCAAGCAGAGTCTGCCTCCGGGTACGCACTACCCAGAGAAATCACGCTCACTTCCAGGCTATTCGTCTAACACCTACCAGGTCTTACCATCTCCGACGTTGGCAAGAAGAACCCCAAGGGCAAGCGCACCGCATAAACGGATCGAAAGGCATGAGGAACTGAGGACGGAAGTGTGCAAGGACATCAATGCACGATGCGCACGAAGCATGAAGGCATGGGCGGACGGCGTCACAACGGATAAACCTTGTTCAATGACACTACGGAACCCTTCACATTGGGTTACCACTGGGAATGAAAAATGTCAAAATCGTTCCAAATACTACAAATATGGCTTGATAAAATTATCGTGGTTCATGTGGTTATTATCGCTGGACAACTAGCTGTGGATTATACGGCTTCATGGCTGCTAACATCACAATCGCTTCGACTTGCTCTATTCTTTCTTTGCATTGATTATACATGAACCCGTTCGGATGAATTACACATTATCAATATTTCAGTCGCTCATATAGAGCCTTCTTGAAGTCTATCAGTGTATCGGGGAAGCGTAGTCATCACAATGGATCAAAACCTTCAGATCTACGCTGGTAGGGTGCACCAGCCAGAAGTCTTGATTTACGTTAATATTACAGTATCATTTCTCACTGTATCCAAATATCAACACAACGACAGGACGCAATTATCACAAGTATATGGCAAAGCACGAGGTAATCACAAATGAAGCCGAGTACGGCTGAGGTAAGATATAGGAGAGAGGTACCTGCTGCACCTTTGGGCTGGTTGCCTCATATGACTTATTTTGAATGGCGGTGGCTGATTTCATGCCCGACTACGTGTTTCTAAGATGGCCCTACCACTGACATGAACTCGTTGCACAAGGCTGGCAGTGGTAAGGTGGAGCATTCCCGCTCAGCTCCGCATCGGTACAGAGCTGCAGGGAGCCCCTGTCATGCCAAGCTGTCCGCATTCGAGGTGAGCAGTGAACACCTGGCGAGCCAGGGACCTCGTGCATAAGGTATTAGCTCTCGAATGCATTAAGGGTCTGGAGCAAGATGGTTGGACTGTCAAATTCTCAAGAGTGAATTGAATTCGCTCAAATACTTATTGTTCCCGCCAAAAGACACGTTGCGCCGCCCAATGAACTCGACACGCGATCCATTCAACCTCCGCAGCAAAGCAACCTTCAAGACACCCTCTGCCTTTAGCATCCTCCAGAACGCCGCCAACAAGACCGCCTCGCAAGCCGTGCAATCGGGCAAGCAGGCAGTTCAGGCCACGAAACAGGCAATTCAGGACTCCGACATGTCCTTCGCCATTCCGCGCAACGTACCCAATTTCGAGAGCGCGCAACGCAAGTTTGAAGATAATGTGTGGAACAAGCTTCCAGGGAACGAGAAGGGCTTGCCAATGTACAAAGACAAGCCTTCAGGAAAAGTTTACGGATATGGTGGTCCGAGAGGAAAGAGGGGTTTTGTGAGGAGCAAGAGGGGAATGGGGTTAATAGCGGTGGTGGTACTGGGGCTCTTCTACTGGTTCGGATGGTCGAGTGGAGGCACAAGCGTCGGTCTATCAGAAGATGAGAAGGATAGAGGGAAGAGCCTGGCGTCCAAGATTGGTGGAAGCGCTACAGGAAAGAAGAGCAAAATCGACTGGGAGAAGCGGAGACAAGCAGTCAAGGACGCCTTCTTACTGAGTTGGAACGCATACGAGGAACACGGTTGGGGCTATGACGAGTACCACCCAGTTTCAAAGAAGGGACGATACATGGCTGAACCCAACGGTCTAGGTTGGATCATCGTAGATGCGCTCGACACTCTCATGATTATGAACCTGACCAAGGAATACAATCACGCCCGCGAATGGATATCCACGACTTTGGACTACGACAAGAAGCAGGATGTCAACACTTTTGAGACGACGATTCGCATGCTTGGTGGTCTGCTGTCGGCACACTATCTACAAGACTTACTTCCTGGAATGAAGCCTTCTAATGCAAATGACGAGGATCTCTTCCTGGAGAAGGCAACGGATCTTGCTGATCGCCTCATGGGTGCATACGATTCACCTTCAGGTGTGCCTTGGGCCAGCGTCATACTCAAGGACTCCAAGGGTGAAGCCTCACACGCTGATGGAGGTGCGTCTTCTACAGCCGAAGCGACAACTCTCCAACTCGAAATGAAGTACCTTGCTTTCCTGACTGGCGAATCACAATACTGGACTTCAGCGGAGAAGGTCATGCAAGTCGTTGATAATCTCGGCGCCAAAGACGGACTGCTTCCCATCTTCATCTACGCAGACAGAGGCACATTCCGCGGCAACGAAATCCGATGGGGCAGCCGTGGAGACAGTTACTACGAGTACCTCCCTAAGCAGTACCTGCAGACGCAGAAACACGAGTCAGTGTACCAAGAAATGTGGAACGAGTCTCTCAAAGGTGCAAAGAAGCATCTCCTCACCTACACAAAGCACAGCCACTTCACCGTCCTGGCAGAGCGCCCCAACGGCATAGAAGGAAACCTGCACCCCAAAATGGACCATCTCGTCTGCTTCCTCCCAGGTACCATAGCCCTAGCCATCACCGAGGGCGCCACCCTCGCCGAAGCCCGCAAGCTGCCCACATGGGGCAAGCAACAAGAAGAAGACATCACCCTCGCCCGCGAACTCACAAAAACCTGCATGGGCATGTACAAAGTCACCGCCACAGGCCTCGCACCAGAAATCGCCCACTTCGTCCTCGACGATCCCCCCAAAATGTACCGCACTGAGATCCTCGCCTCCAAGTCCGATCTTGACACTAGCGTCGCCGACGGCGATGGCTGGAAGAGCGACTTCGATATTAAACCCGCGGATACGCATAACCTGCAGCGTCCTGAAACCGTCGAGTCGCTGTTGTACATGTGGCGCATCACGGGCGACGAAATGTATCGGGAGTGGGGCTGGGAAATGTTCGAGAGCTTTGTCAAGCACACGATTGTTCCCGATAATGGCGGCTTCTCGAGTGTAGGTGATGTGACCAAAGTGCCGCCTCCAACGAGAGATAATATGGAGAGTTTTTGGTTGGTAAGTTTACATTCCCTCCACATAACACATCTACTTCTCCCTTTTTTTTATGTTTTTTTTGGCTGTGAAAAAAAAGAATGTGACTGACGTATGAAATAGGCCGAGACGCTGAAATACATGTATCTTCTCTTCTCACCCGATGATCTCTTGCCGCTGGATCAAATCGTATTTAATACAGAGGCTCATCCTTTCCCCCGCTTCGATCCGAGCAAGAAGCGGTTCAGGACGGGTTGGACGCGCATACCGAGGGATGAAAAGGGGAATCTCGTTCCGCAAAAGGCGGATGATAAGAAGACTTCGTAGAGTGATATCGAAACGCTATTTTTTCTTTCTTAGGTGCCGACTTTAGTGCTGCGGAATGTCGGGGGTCGACGTGCATCAATGGGCGTTCTGGGTTGTAGCATTTACACATATATGAGTGCTTGTTGACCGCAGATTCTTGGTCCTGTGCTTTTACGTATCAATACAATTCAACCCCATATCATGTTCACTGTGTCCGGTTGTGAGGTGATTTCGCATGCAAAAATTCGAAAGCAGATAATTTCCATTTCATACACTATATATATGTATATAGATGTGGTGTAAATCTACCATGAACGCCTGTACTGACACTCCTCCACACATATTACCATATCATGCATAAACTCATAAATCGTGACTCATATCTTTTTTTTCCAAATATGCACCGACCAGCTCATGGTGCTAAATGTCCTTGCTAACGTTGTTAAGGCTGCATCAAGTTCGACGTATGAAGCCGTCTCCCCGGCAAACTACCAGGATGTGTCCTGGCCAGTATAGTGTCAACAGGATATAGATAGCAGTATGATATACGTTGTTGGTGCGGTCTTTTCGATAAAATGGAGGTCGCTCCTAACGCTCCTGGGATTGCGATTGCGATTGCGATTGCTCTTCACCAATGCGCGGTGGACTCTTGGAGTGTGCTGACGGGTTTCTAAAGGGCGAGTGACTACCTCTGGGCAATCGAAATATTAGCTTCTCGGTCTCAACATTCCTTGTGTCTTGTTAAGACTTACGAGCGTCTCCGCTTCCCCTCATCTCTCCTTTCCTCAATTACCTTGAGCATCGTCTTCCGCCCATCCTTGGCGTTGATATGGGCGTCCCGCATACTCATGCTCACTTTGGTGCTCGCATCCGCTCTAAGCAGCCTCTTCAGCAACAAGTGGCGCATGAGCACACAGACAAAGACTCCACAATCGCTCCCATTCTCCTGCTGGGGACTGTCTCCCATGGGTATAAATCTCAGTCTCTTTCCAAGCAATTGCTCCAGCTTCATGGTTGTGCTCCGTGCCTCGCGCTCGTTTGCCTGGCTCATGGAATCGTAGTGGAAGGAGACACCATCAATGATTGATACCAGCAGCAGAGACCAATGGGACCCGCCTTCTGCCTGCGTGACATCCACGTTGTCGTTTATGGGTAAGAAGACATGTGTCGTGTGGCTGAAATTCGGTAGGGCTTCCTTGAGGGCGAGGGGCTCTGCGGCTTGCATGAGCATGTAGGACATGGAGGGGCGCAGGAGGACAATAGAGGCTTTGGGGTAGTTGATAAGCTCTTCGCGTTCGAGGTATTCCTGCCAAAAGGCAATTGCCTGCGGGAGGTTTAGTCACAGCAGATGTTTGGACAGTAGAAGTGTATGCACACATTGTCGGTGAGCCAGTCATTGGTCTTGATGCTATCAAGATCCGCTCGTGTCACTACGCCCGTCAGTATTGTTGTCGGCTTGGTTGTTCTATGCGCAAGTCAAGGAACAGATGACGCACACACCCCTCACGTCGTAGTCTGTATGTTCAGTCAGTCGTCGCTCTCTGTGCCATTGCGGTGACCATGACTCACATGAAAGATAGGCCTCATCCGGGCTGGGATCTCCCAAACGCCGCCTCGCCTTGTCTTTGATTCTTGAGAAGGAGCCGTGCATGTTGGCACGCGCTGCCGCCGTGGTTTGTAGGGGAGGTGTGGTGTGGTGTGGTGTGGTGCGATCACGGTGAGTACCTTTTGCAAGACTGCAGGCGACAGGGACGATATTATAACAACAGCCCAGGCCTCTGGGAAATACGGGTAGGTGGAAATGCCAGATGCCTGTCTCGCTGGGGCCAAGGCCGACCAAAAGATGCCGAAACCTTCATGCGGGCAATATGCAGGGATGACGTATGCGCCTGGCCAGATTCGCTGGGTGGGGCATCCCTGCTTGCCGCGGGAGATTTTTATTGTAAACTCTGCAATATAAGTATATATTTGTACCCCTTTTTAAACACTACTCCAGTGTTTGAAGGGTTTGCGGTGTGAATTGGCATGATAATCATGCTTACACACGACAAGCTGTCTTGGTTCTATAAATGGGATGTAGCCCATCTATCCATTCATGCAGGATATAGTAGGACAAGATGGCTAGAGTTGGGCACATAGATGCGCTTTGTTATGCATCAATTCTTTATCTACATGTACATTCGTGATGGTCGTCTTATCCAGGAAAGCTAGTAAGCAACTGCTTTTTTTTTTGAGGTGGCGAGCACTGAACTTTTGTACGCTTCATTTAAGCAAGCTAGATGAATACTCTTACGGCAGCTGTCCAACAATCTTGGCGCCGTTTGTCTGATCTTGCTTTCCAAACTGCTCCGGTCTTTCAACCTTATATAGCCAGTTCTTGTTGTCTTCAATCTTGCCCTGCTGGATTCCCTTGAGGGTTGTGAGAAGTTTCTTGCATGCTGGGCCTGGCTCTTGCTGGGCTTCTGCGTATGTAAACTTGTCACCCTTAGATTGCATGGTGATAGACTTGATGGGAACTAGAGCTGCGGCAGTTCCGGCAGCTAGAACTTCGTCGAAAGTGCTTAGCTCATCGTAGGCAATCTGATATCATCAGTACTGTCCAAAACCTAATAGCTTGCATGTATTACCTCGCGTGACTCGGCTTCCCACCCGAAAGACTCAGCGATTCTCAAAACGCTATCTCCAGTGACACTCTGGATGACATTTTTGCTGTTAGAGGCGACGAGCTTGACTTTGTCGCCATCCTTCTTCACGCCAATGAAAGCCGATGTGGAGAACTCGTCAACTACGCTCCTGGTCTTGCTGTCCAAGTGGAGAGTGATGCCGTAGCCAGCTTTGTATGCTTTCTCACTATGTCTCAACACTGGAGCGTAGTTTCCGCCGACCTTTGCTGACCCGGTACCTTCCGGAGCCGCACGGTCAAAATCTTCAAGAATGACAGCGTCCACGGGATTGGATCCATGGTAGACACCGGTCGGGATACAGTAGACCACAAAGGTGTATTCTTGTGGAGGGTTCAGACCGAGCTGTGCAGAGCTTCCGAAAAGCAATGGCCGGATGTACATGGCTGCACCCGTCTCATGGGGTGGTACATAGGCTGCATTCATGCCTACAGCCAGGCTGCAGCAAGCAAGGAAGTGATCTGTCGGCACCTCTGGAATCGAAATGAATGAAGCAGAGTGCTGCATACGCTCGGCATTCTTGTTTGGCCTGAAGATGTTGATAGTGTTGTTTGGCGCCCGGAACGCCTTCATTCCCTCGTAGCACTGCATGCCGTAGTTCAGACCAGGCGCCATGCCGTGGATACGGAGGTAAGGGTCTTCGACGAAAACTGGGGGCGTCCATTTTCCAGTCTCGACAGAGTAATGTGATTCGACATGGCCAGCAACTTCAAATGCATTAGGTTATGACTCAATGACTGTGTTTCTTGGTATCGGAAATGTGCTGCACAGAAGGAAATGGTAGACATGCGGCATCTTCCCAAAGAGGTGTGCCTTCTCTTGTAAGATACATTGATGCCATCAAGTATGCGTAATCTTGAATAATCTTAACGGAGCATTGTCATACCTTCTCGGATCTTGAAGCCTACGTTGCTCCAATCTAGAACACAGTCAGCAAAAAAAATCAAATCCGTGTATCAGTAGACAGTAGCCAACGTACCGATGGTATCAACTGGTGGAGGAGGAAAGCCAGACATGGTTGCTGTAAACTCAGTGTAGTGTGAATGCTGGTGATGGGGTATGAATTGTATTATGCAAGATGGAATGGGGCTCGGAAAGTTTTGGTTGCTTCCGGAGGGTCAAGAAAGTCAGCTAGTCAGAGAGCGATATCGGTGGCCCGCCACCGCCGATATCCTGAGTCAGCCGCTACAATGTATCAAAAGGTGCTGATGTCCAGCCTGGTGTTTCCCTTTGGAGTCATTATTAATTTTGCTTTTCGGCTGTGCTGCGCCGGGCTGCATCTCGCGTCTGTACCTGCAGACTTACCCGCATGGTGGAACCACCCAGGCGTGACGTGCCAGGTGTGTCGTTTCTTGGCATAATCTGAGGCATCGAGGATGTGATTATCTGTAACTGCACCAATACACTTTTAAACACACCATGGATTAACACTTCTCGTCTTGAACAAACTCTTCTTCGTACTTTGATATCCCTGGCATATTTATTCCATCATGTTTCGCGTGGCCGGTCTCCGCGCGCGGTTCGCAGTCGTCGCCATACTCGTCATGGCCCTCTGTTCATTTCTCCTCCTCGGCCCCTACAAAGTAACTCCAGGCCACCTTGCTTTCACGACACCCGGGAGGGATTTGGGTCATACTAGCCAAAGCCTGCTTACGGGACACGCAATCGCGCCAAAGCTGGGAAACGCGACAGCAAAGTATGTTGGTCATGCCTGGATATGGAAACGTACACGTATCGCAAGAGCTGAGCTGACGCGCAATATCCAGAGCAGAACTTGGTCGCGCGGCCTGGAAAGTCCTTCACACAACCTTCGCCCGCTTCCCCGAGAAGCCTACAGAGGAGGAGAAAGAGGCGCTACGATCATATGTTCACTTGTTCCAACGCCTGTACCCATGGTATGTCTTAGACAATGCAGGGGATCTGCGGCTGGAGTCACGCGCCAGCTAACTGTCGGTGTAGTGGAGAATGTGCAGAGCACTTTGGACAAGTGCTTGCCAAATACCCTCCCCAGGTGTCGTCCCGGACAGCGGCAGCCATGTGGGGCTGCTACGTACACAACATTGTCAATAAAAGGCTGAAGAAGCCGGAGTTCAACTGCGAAGACATAGGCGATGCGTACGATTGCGGTATGTGGATGTTCCAATGTGTACAGATTACTTGCGGCGTACTAATCGGCTTGACAGGATGCGCAGAAGAATAATTGGGCAATGGCACAGCGGCAGGGACGTCCTGGTGACATAGATCAACAGAGGACAAGGGAGAAAGGAAGACTCGGGCAAGTCATGAGCCCTGCAAGACATGCATGGCGAAGGACACTGGGGGTATGTGTGTCACTGTCGAATATCTACAGTGCATAGATACAAGACAAGCGCCATGGCAGTCTGCATGCATGCATGCAGGGACTGGGGAGAGAGCATGCTGCTTCTTTACGAGTAGTGCAATGTCCGAAACGGAGACATGGCGTCCTTGGGCCTACTAGTTACAACAAAGTCCGCGGGTACCTCACTGTGCCGCAGGGCGTAGCAAGGGAGGTGGGAGAGACAGGCCAATAGGCTAAGTGGTGGTTGACGTAGGTGTTCCCACACCTCCAGCCGATCACATAGGCTTGTCAGCGGGGTTGGAGGCGGTAATGTCTTAGTTGGGCTGTAGTGGTGGTGTGTATAACTGGACTCGAGATTGGTCTAAACAGAGTGTAGCGAATGGCTGTGCGAGCGATTGGCCTTATGACAGGAGCAGCCCTGTCGCTATACAGCCACACAGGCATGGCTTGCGCAACATGGTGATGGTCTTATCAGCAGGCGAGGACAGTGGTGTCGAGCAAGTCAATCTACACGCAACAGCAGTCTGTGCCTCTGTGTGCCCCTCATTGCTGGCCCATTCCCTCTGTGCCTCGTTCCTTGGGCCGCCCTGGTGCGTCATGGCCGTTGTTGGCGGCGGCGGCGGCTGCGGGGTGGACGGACCATGACAGACGAGGAGACGGAGAGGACGGACAGGACGGCATACGGACAACGACAGCCCACCCGTTCCCCAGGCGCGTGGCGTGCAGTGGGGAGGCCGATGCAGATGCAGGCGCTAACAGGGCGGCATGCAAAGATGCGCGGTCGCATGATAGTATTTTGGGATGGTCGCGAGGGCGCGCTTCGCCAGGGGCCCTGTTCCCGAAGCAACCTAGCGCATAGCAGCTTTTGTGCTATCCAAAACATCTGAAACCTTCCTTGGGTCAGCACCGAGGGGTGATAACGACGCCGCGCCCCCTCCTTAGCACACCGACTCTTCATTCTGCTCCTCCCCTGCGCTGCTGCTGCCAGCTGTTAGCTGTTCACCGCCTCTTGTCTGTCTGTCAGTCGGTCCTGTCGAAACAACTCCCGTCCTGCCATCATGGTCTCCTTCTCCTGCGAGGTACATACTGCTTGCCTGCCCTTGCTTGTTTACCACCATGTCCCCTCAATTGGGACCCCTCCCCTAGACACGCATTGGAAGCTGACTCTACCGCTCTAGGGCTGTGGAGACGTCCTCACAAAGAAGAAGCTCGATGGCCATCGCAACCAATGCTATGGCGCTACTTTTACCTGCCTCGATTGCATGGTCCACTTTCCTGGCACTTCCTACAAGTCCCACACGGTATGCAATGCGCCAGCCTTTTGTTTCCTCATGCGCCTTGCAACTGACTGACATGGCCTAGTCCTGCATAACTGAAGACCAAAAGTACCAAGGAAAACTCTACAAAGAGAAGAAAAAAGGTCCGCCCCAGAAGAGGGACAGCGCATACCACGACAACTCGCAAGCCCTCACCCCGCACAACGCATACGCCGAAGATGCCCCCGCCGAAGACAACGCCCTGGCTGTCGTTGATGCCCCGCCGCGCGCGCCGACTCCTCCTCCAGCGGCGCATTCCCTGGGCTACCACGAGCAAGCGGCCATTGAGGCTCCCAACGTCTTTGACTTCCTCGACCCATCCTCGACGCCCATTGCTCCGCGAACGACAGCGCCCATTAACGAAGCGCGCATGCTCGAAGACAGACAGCCGCCTGCGTACGAGGACCAGTACATGCCTACAATTGCCGACGTCATGAAGTTTCAAGTGGCCGATGACGATGAAACCTTTGCGCAAAATGGTTTCTCGGCCAATCAGATTCGTCCCTCGCGAGAGCAACACGATTCGTATACTACGCCTGCTCCCAAGGCGAAACACTCGAGAACCAAGTCGCGCGACACCGATGTTGAGACGACAAGCAAGAAGACGGACCGCAAGCGCAAGCGCAACTCTCCCACCCAGCTTGACCTGTCGCTGGTTAGAGCTCAAGATGAAAAGGATACCATGATGGCCGATGCGCCTGCGACGCTCCACTCTGGCCTGACTGGAGGGCTGAGCAGATTGCTGGCTCGACCAGAATTCCCGCCGTCGCCAGACGACTCGGGTGACTATGCCAACTCGCCCTTGAGTCCCATGAAACGCGCCAAGCAGGGTAACTCATCGGCGCTCATGCGTGCACAGCGAGAGTACGAGGAAGAGGAGCAAAAGCAGCGCAAATCTGACACAAAGGCACGCGAGCAGGCAGAGAAGAAAGAAGCCGAAAAGAAGGAAAAGAAGGACAAAAAGGATAAGAAGGACAAGGATCGTGGGCGCGAACGTGACCGAAAGGAGCGCAAGTCCAATGGCACGTTGGTCAAGATTCGATCCAAGAAGAAGCGGGAAGACTCGACAAAGGAAGTGCGCCGCATCCGTCGCAGGCAGTACTCTTCCTCGGTTTCGCCAGCGCCTCAAGACCGCAAAGTCGTCAAAGCCATTGAGTACAACCGGTCGGCCTCTGACTCTCCAGAGCCCAATGGCGAAGGCCAGCTCATTGTGCGCCCCAGCGGAGATGTCACACCTTTCTCGCCAGACCTCAACACCCGCGCTGGACTATTCATGTCCTTCATCACCAAGGGACCGGATTCTGAGCGCGGCATGAGCATCAACAAAGCTCTGAAGCGATACCACCGTGAGCGCCACGAGCACTTTGACCGTGTGCCTTCCAAGGCTGAAGACGAGAAAGAGCTCTGGAAGGATCTACGCCTCAGGAAGAACGACCGGGGTGAGGTTGTTCTTTTCTTTGCCCCGGCCGAGGCTGCCTGACTAGACGGGGACGTCGACATCATCATGCGCATGCGGGCGTGGTCATGCTCTGATCCAACGCCCAGTCAAGGCTCCGACGATATGGTTGATGTTTGAAAGTCGACGGTGGAAGAAAAAAATGAATTTTTGGGGCCACGGAGGAGTGGCCATTCTCCCTCACACTTTTCCTCCTTCTATGATGATACCCGGCTTCCAGGTCATTGGCGATTTGGGTGGGCTTGGTGCATTATGTGTTATGTTTTACGTTCATATCCATGTATTGTTCTTGTTTTTTCTTTTACTCGTTTTGTTTCGAATATCATTCTGCTATCATGTACTTATTCTTACGGCAATACCTCGTTTGTCTTTTTTTTTTCTTGGTTTGGTATCTTTTGGCCAAAACACCTGCCCTAATACTCTACGGGCTAGGCCCGTTCCGCTTTGTCGACGTCGGGTTCCTGAAAATAAATTCCTTCCATGTTCATGCATCAACAAATGCCGCACTTGGCTGATGGAGACGTGTTGCAAGTGAAGCTTGCGGGATGTGTTCCCGCGTATACGAGAGCAGAGTGAGGCTCCCTAGCTGCTTTTCAAACGTCTGTCTCATCTAGCGCAGGGACAAGATGCCGTGTTTGTAGCATGTCATGTTGCGACGGCTAACCAGGCATTCTGTCAGGCTGTTTTCTGCTTGGCCGTGTGGGGAGGGTGACGGCGTGCTGGTAACGAAGGTCCACCTTTTACTTGATACAGCCTAGCGATTCGCTTTCCCTTGCTTTGCTTCTCCCTCTTACACCAAACGTTCTTGGGCGTGACAGCACATCCTGTTCCAGAAAGCGCGTCAGGGCCCCAGGTACAGTTTGGCCGAGTTTCCTGATTAGCCTTCACAGCCAACAAGCGGATGGACAGATGTCTTGTTCGGGCTGGGGCTCGGCAAACGTAGGCTTACGCTCCAGGCCAAGTACTTCCATCTCCAATCCTAGTGATTGTGATAGGGCAACCGCCCTTTGTTCCACGCCTACAATGCCCCCCTCGAGGGCACAGCAATACTTGGTGCATCGTGGGGGCACTCAAACAAGAGCAATCCCATGGTAGAGCTAATGGGGCCCTTTGCAAAGACACATACATGCACAACCCCACGGCTGTGCACTGGCTGCATCTGCACCCTTCACAGCCACGACAAGGCGAAGTCTCCCAGATGCTCGACTCATCCAATATAGTTCGCCCAAGTGCCGCAGGCGTTAGAACTAGCAGACTCGTCCCGCATGGCCTGCAGCTCACGTCTCTGGCTGTGATTTGACGTTGCAGTGTGTCGCGGAGAGCGGGGAAGGCTGCCCGGCAGCACGGTGGCGGGACTACCACAGATGTAGTTGACCGGCGCGCATACTGCAGACCCGTGCATGGTCAGATGGCACTGCCAGACAGCACCAAGACATCATAGTTTTGTCCCAGCAGTCTCCACCACGAACAGCCTACGGCCATTTACTCACCCCTTTCACTAATTGACTAATAAACAGCGAGAACGTGATAAGGCCGTAGACGACTACTCGTCAATTGCCCTGTCCGTCTATGATCCAAGGCAGCGAGCGTCGCGCGCCCTCAGCCGTGTCTTGAGTTTGCCCCAGGCCGCCCTTCAAAATATAACTGCAGCTGCCTTTCGGCCTGGCTCACATTGCACACGCTTTGGCTTTGTTTCTGTCCATCTTTGGTATCTAGTCCCTGCACGTTTCGATCGCCCATTCGCATGAGACGCTCAGCAGCCGGGTGAACCTGGAAGGTCTTCATCCGTACCCGTACCCGTACCCGTACTCGGCCACGCCTTCCCCAGTCAATCAGCCTATCCTACAACCACGCTTCAGCACCTTGACTTAGACATGTCCCATGCACAACAGTACGACAACTCGTCCAACGAGGGCTGGCAAGATCTCATTTCTTGGAACGGAGAATTGTACGACCCCTTCTTCCAGGGCGAGACCAACTACACCCAAGCACAAGGTGGAAGCTTCAGCGCAGACTCTCAATTATCAGGAAGCTACACATCTGAACCACCCTATTTGGTCTCAAAAGCCCCATCAGTCACCGATTTGCCACCTTCGCTCGACTACACCCCAGTCTCCGCCTCGCCGTCAGTTCTGGATGAGCAGTCTTCTCTCAACTATGCCTACATTGCCTCGCCTTCTTTGGACAAGGCGACTACTTCCCCGTTAGCTGTACCCCGGGAAACCCAATTCTATGGATCATTCGGCGCATCCGACAATGCACTCCTATCGCCATTGGCAGACATTGCAGAATCAATAATTCTGGATACACGCTATGACCGCATCCCAGAGACCTTCTCATTGTCAACAGGCTCTCAGGAAAGTACTGCCGAGACAGTCTTCAATCCTCATGTCACGGGCTCGTCTCATTCCTTCAGTGGCTTGGACATGAGGGCATCTAGAGCGTTCTCGACCTGGCATGCTTGGTCAGACCAACCACGCATTATCGAGCCCATTCCTGAGGATGATGGTGGGCGGACAGAGGCTATGCCGATTCCTATTCCACAATCGCTGTCGCAAAGTTATAATATAACATCCCCGTCGTATCCCTCGTATTCACCATATCCAAGATCCGATGGGGGATTTGAGCTTCATAGTCACAGTAGGGCCATAGCGATCCCGGACGCCGCTCGGAGACCTGCAAGCTACAATAGTCGCACTAACAATTCAGGGTCTGTACGAAGAGTAGCTACAACCCCATCGCTATCCCCTGCAGCTTCACGCCATCCTCGCGCAATTGCTCTGTCTAGAAGCGCTTCACTGTCTCGGCGTAAAAGCTCTACACCATCGCCTACATCCGACTCTTATGGATGGGTATCGTACCAACCCAATCCACTGACGAACAAGCTATCGCCCATAACCACCGATGGTTTGTCTGGAAGAGCACAAAAAGGGAGAAAGAAGGCTCTCACACCAGAACAACGACGTGATGCGGCGTTGATGCGCATCGTCCGCGCGTGTTCAAACTGCCAGAAGCGTAAAGAAAAATGTGATCCGGGCATGCCGTGCAAAGCCTGTCTAGAACACTACAAAGGAGATCTGGTCAACCACCCCTGCCGTGGTCATACGCTCAGCGATTTATCGGGAGCATTTCTTTCCGACCGCCTGGGATGGCATCCGACTGCTCGGAACCTAGAGTCATTTATCCCTACACGGCACTTCAAGATCCTTACGGATACTTCTTACACCGTTCCGATTAACTTTGGGTTTGGTCCGGCGTTTCCGGTCTCTGTGAACGCCATTGAGCTCGACGACCACCCATTGGTACACGATCATATTGTGTACTCGTGGCCACCCGAGCCGTTCTCGGGACCGCCCCACCGGCATGCTGTCCTTCCAGCTGTCCTGTGTGCAGATGCACAAGCAAATCTCCTTCAGACACTAGACTCCCACCTATCCTTGCTCGTAACGCAGCACTTCCACAATTTCCCGTTATACTGCTCGCCATTGAGGATCCTGCGCGAGGTATGCATGTTTTCGTGCTCTCTTCCGAAAAACACTTTGCACTATCGGGTGTTGCATGACGCACTTAAGCTTCTTGTTCTCGTTCATGTGGGTGGCGACATCACACTACCGTCGCTATCCGAGAGCTGGGTCCTGGCACAGCTCATCAGCAGTACGATGACCATAGCCGAGGATCTCACCCCAACGCCATGCTTCATCCGGTCACAGTTTGGTGCTGCGATGCCGAATCTTGCTCATGACCTGATGAAGAGAGTGCTTTCATCTCTGGAGCAATTCCTATTGAACAAGGATTGCGACGAATGGCCTATTGCTGTCGCCGTCCTCATTACTGTTCTCATGACGATCGAATCTGTCCACTACCACGCCGCGAAGCTCCCCTACCATAACTTCTATGACGAAACAAACGCAGCCATTGCAGAAGAAGATCTAACGGTTAACGAGCAAGGGGTTAGCGAGCTTCTGGATTTCTACAAGGCATGCTTTTCGGGTTGTCACGCTAGGCTCAGGTTGGACTGGGAGGGCGAATCTTCACAGCCCCATACCCCTGCGGACAAGTTTATTGCAGGCCTGCAGGCGGCGATCAGACAGGCCAATGATGAGGGGTATCTTACGCAGAAATCCAAGGCCACGAGAGGAGATGACGATATGGGCTACTTCTTCGACAGGCTGGTGGTTCGCCTGCTGAAACAATGAGACGAAGCTCTCTATTACCATTGTTGGGCACCGGGGGAGCGACTTTGTTCCAATCAGACTATTGTATCATTTCTCTTATTACCGTTTAGCGTTTCATGAGGCTATGATACTCTTCTTCTTATACCCCATTTATAGACAATTTTTTTTTAGTTTTGTTACGATGGCATGACCGGTTTACGACTGATGCTAGCATTTGGATATTTGGGAGGTGATTTTTTTTCTTCTTCTTTAATTTCCTTGACTAGATTGTTCAAAACTACCTACCTGTTGTAAGTTAGTGTAAGAAAGATATCTGCAAGTAGATGATAACTCTGTTTACCATTAGATACCAGTCCCCGCTTTTGATGTTGTGTCGTTGTCGTTGCGTGTCATAGCTCTCATCAAGTGTCATTCTGGACCCTGAGGCCACGAGATTCCCAAATTTAGTGTGTATACATGTAATGAGATGCGCACAGATTGAGACGTTATGTCGCTGCAATGGTATGATGTTCCTGTGACGCAGACATGGCATGCGACAAGGATGCAAAGCACCACCTCAAGCCCATCCAACAAGCCACCCCAGCCAAAACGACGAAAGCAGCCATAGCCGCAATCATGCGTCCCCGCATCTCCAGCGCATCCCCAATCTCCAACTTGGCCACCTTTCGAATCTTCTTATTCAAATGCCACGACTTCTTCTTCTTCCCACCCGGCCTCACGAAGCGACTCTGCGCGTCTGGCTTCGGCGAGATAGCATTGTGCGGCTCAACATGGGGCGCCGTGTCCCTGCGACCCCAGGTCGAATCATCCGGGTCCTGATAAGGTTCCGGGTCGAGCCATCGCGACGGGACCAGGTAAGCTAGAAGCGAGGAAGTCGAGGCATGTGCGTGCGTGCGGCGGGCGCGATTGCGATAGTTCACCAGGAAGAGCGATAGTAGGAAGGAAGTGAAGAAGACGGGGGTTAGGATAATCTTTTATGTGAATGTTGAAATCAGCGGGTTGCAATTTGGCCGGGGGGAGGAAGGTTAGATCCGTGTTAGCCTACCCGTGCTAGAAGAGGCTCGTTGCTGTCGTGCAGCGCGCCGGCCGGAGAAGATGGAGGAGATGGGATTGGGGTTGTTGCGAGTTGCTCGAATGGATCCGGTTTCTTCTTGTATCTGCGCCGTGTAGCCTGTGGGGATGGCGGGGGGGTTTGGAATTGATGGTGGTGCTGGTGCTGGTGCTGGTGCTGTGTCGCAGCAGCCATGGCGCCTATTCGGAAACCGAAGAGGGAAAATGAATGGTTAACAGATTCGGATGGATACCATTCTGAGCATGTGCATACGAGCGGGTAGGTAGATCCCCTGGCTAAGGTCTTGGTTCAGTGTGGGGGGAACGGACAGCGGCAGCAAGTAGGTATGTATGTACATATAGGAATGGATATACTTAGTAAAGATGGCGGGCGATGCGGATCACAGTGACGCAGCGTGTGCCCACTCGGGTCTCCGTAGGGCTGGTTAACCCGCGTCCGCCATGACGTTTGAGCCCATATCATTCCACATTCAGAGTTATGTACTTGAGAGCGCCATGGTTTTTTTTTCGTTCGATCTGATAGCACACCGATCTACATATGGTATCAATGGACTTGTCTGACGAGATAAGCACTCAATCAGAGAGAAGCAGCGCCATGGACGCACGCGGGGTAGAGCATGCTCAGTGCGCATCGCACGACGGAGCTAATGGGGTTACGGAGTCCGACAAGGGCCAGGTGTCCATGCTGTGCTTATCCTACTTTCTCCGCTTCCGCAGTGGTTGAAGAGATCGACTCCAGCATCAGCCTGGACGCAGGCTAATCACATGTCGCACCAAGGACGTCTCTGCTCGCCCGACCAAAAGAGCACGGCAGCTCGGTAAGTCCGTTAGATCCGAGTGCCCGAATGCCCGCAGAGAGGCCGCATGGCTGCCTAGAGCTCTACTTATACCACACTGGCAATCAATCCCCTCGCCGTCGAAACCCTGTATTAATCAGCTTTCGCTGCTGACATAATACGCGGAATACGGCGGACGAAAGTTACGTCCGTGTCTACTTCATCTCTCGCCTGCAAACAATAGCATCATTCACCAGCAGCTTACGTCCCCTTTCCCCCCCCCCCCCCCCACGTCTACTGGATTCTTCCATCCCCCGTAGGTAGTGTGAGCTTCTTTACCTTGCAAACCCCCAAATTCACGGGCAATACGATTATATATCGCCATATACTCGTCAGCCGGTTTTGCCTTTTGCCCCAACTTTTCCATTCGGACGAATTCGCGCAAGCGAGCTAGGCACCAACCAACCGACAGAGTGGGACACGAACGCTCTATATCAACATGCCAAAGGAGGAGACGTTGCCGACACGCAAAAAGATGCGTAAGGGTACGCATAGCTGCTTCGAATGTATGTCAACCCTGTTGTTTTTGGGTGGGATAGCTACCTACCTACTGTACCTCTACATGACACGGGTTTACACCACACTCATGTATCAATCTGACCTATGCACTGCTCTGCCCACCACCGTGTTCTCTCCCTATCTTTGGTAATTTGCGTGCTTTTCCGATTTTATTTTCGTTGAAAAACTCTGATCGAAAGTACAGGTCGTCGCCGCAAGATCAGGTGCATCTTTCAGCCCGACAATCCCGATGTGTGCTCCGAGTGCTTTGCACGCGGCAGCAGATGCATTGATCAAGAACATGCCAATCCAGATGTCATTGTCGACCACAGAAAGAACCTCCGTGAGAGGGTCTCGCGTCTAGAGGCTTTGGTTGACTCTCTGCTCGAAGAAAAGACGGTCAAGTCGGAAAGCCGGAGTCAAAGCATAGCCGACACATCATCACCAAAGGCGCCAAATGTCTACAACAAAGACACTTTACCCCCAACACCACTTTCTTCTGAATCGCCATCCAACCCACTCAAATTTGCAAACAACCAACGCGCTACATCTAAACAGGGCCACCACATACCGATTCTTTCTGTTTTCGAGGATGCGGTAGGCTATCTTCCTATTCGTACCTGCGCTTCTGATACTTACTTGCCGGACAGCTCAACAACGACGCTGAAGCACAGGCAAAAGCCCTAAGCGATCCCTTGCAGCAATCCTCAACGCCCAAGCCCGACCAGGCAGAGGATGAGCGATATACTTTAGAGAATCACCACGACGAAGATATTGTCGATAGCAACCCATTTATGAACTCTGCCAAGCGAGAAAGAACCAAACAAGCACTCATCGCCGTGCTACCTCCTTTTGACCAACTGTCTAAGATCCTCCACAACAACAGTGACTGGTGGGATGTTTGGCGCCGCAAGTGTATGAGGATGTATGGGACTGAGCAGTCGCTCTCTCAGTTCGCTGCGCAGGCTTTGGCCACCGGAAACGTCGGAGAAATTGCCACAGTCGTTTTGTCAGTTGGAATCTCTTTACAAGACACTGATCAAGTGTCACGGTATTTTGAGACTGTTGACAGGTGGTTCCTATGCGACGATGAATATGCTGCTAGTCTCGAGGGGTTGGAATGTTTTGTCATGAAGTCCAAGTGGTACGCCGATGTAGGTCAGCCACGGCGAGCTTGGATTGCGTACCGCAAGGGCTTGATGTATGCACAGCTTATGGTGAGTTTGATTGGTATCGGAATACGCACATGGTTACTGACAAATATCAGGGCCTCCACCGCAAGCGTACTGGCTCTGTGACCCACGAAAGCTTATGGTGGGCCCTGTACCATGGCGACCGCTTTTTGTCTCTTCTTCTTGGTCTCCCATATGGTATCAACGACGCGCACTGCGATTTGACAATGTCCGACATGGGGGAGTCCAAATATATGCAACCTATGATCTGCATGACGAGACTCTCACAGCTTACAGGCAAAGTGATTGATCGCAACCAAGGCGTAGGCGAGCAGTCTTTTGCATGGGCACTACAACTCGAGCAAGAGCTAGACGATTTGTGGAAGAAGCTTGATCCAGCTTGGCTCGACTTCAGTGGGCTTCTTGCCGACATAGGGTCGAATGCCGTAGAATTACGAGAGCGCATCATGGCCCAAGTAGTCTTCCATCAGATCCGCGTATACCTCCATCTGCCGTTTATGCTCAAGTCGGCATCGAATTCACGCTTCTCCTACTCGCGTACAGCCACCTTGAACGGCTCACGAGAGGTTTTACGCCTCTACCAGGTGTTGCGAACTGGCGGGGTAACGCCAATCTACGAGTGCAAGGCCATCGACTTTCTCGGATTCACAGCCGCGGTCCTTATGCTGATTGGCCTGCTCAACGGCACGCCCGCGCAGTCGGCAGCCTCGAGCTCCAGGGCCAAAACGATTGAAGAAGACGTCTGCATGATTGAATCCTGCATTGAAATCTTCCGCCGCGCTTCGAGCGAAAAGGGAGGCAATGTTGCCGCGCAATCTGCGGGGGTCCTGGAGAAGATGATGGCCAAGTTCAAGGGCACATACACCGATGCAGACGACCTGTGCAACGGACCCTCAAGTTTCGTCATCCCCTACTTTGGCACCATCTCCATCAAGCGAGGCGGCCAGCTAGTAAAAGGTCCAACATATTCAGGCCGCTCGCCCGTCACAGTGAGCTCCAGATCGCCCAGCACATCGCATCAGCTCTTCACTCCCCCCTCAGGCAGACACTCATCAGCCACCTCGGACATCTTCTCACAGCCCTCCAAATCACTCAACGTCACCCCCAAGACATCCACCGCCACGGGCGCCACAGGCTTCAACCTCAATCCCTCGCCATTCGTCTCCTACGACGGCTTCTACAACTGGAACACTCTCAACGCCGACGATGGATCCACAACGGGCACTTCGGTCCTCGACTCCCAGATCCACAACGAGGGCATAAATAACTTTTCGCTCCCCACCAATAACTTCTCCTGGCAGAATATGCCCATGGATATCGATCAGGATTGGTCGTGGTTTCTCAACGATGCGCAGACGACTCAGGGTGTGGCTGCTGCTACGCCCGCTCAGGCGGTACCGCTTGATGCGTTCAATGCCCAGGGTTTCACAGGCTTTGGTTGAGTATGGAAAATACTGCATATCTACAGTCTCCACAAAACCGTGGGTCTCGGGAGGCATTTCTCGTTTCTTTTTTCCTTTTGCTTTCTTGGCTTGAATGCTCGTCTCTAATCATGGCCTTGTTTAGTCTTTTCTTTTTTACTTTCTTTTCTTTTTTTGCTCACAATCGCTCACATTCCAAAGAGATGCACAAAGGCATTTGTGTAATACCAGAGTATCATATTCATGATTTTTGGCGTACTTGGATTGCAGCATTCTGGCATTTTAGATTTGGTTATATGCAGTACGATTAGATACTCCACTTTGGCTCCATTGTAAGACCAGATATATTAAAATCCTGTTTATTTATATCATTGCACCACTTTCCAATGACCTGCAGGCAATTTATACATCTAAAGGGTCCAAATGACGATCCTTCCATCCACACCAGTAGAACTGATCTTGCTGACTCCACTTCCGCTCTCCTCAAAGCTGCGAATCGTGTTGATGGTGTTCTGGTGCACAGTCTTGAGCTTGGTGTCATCCGTGCCCGACTTGCCCTTGAGATCCATCTGCCTAAACATGTTCAGTGCGCTCTCCTCGCGCTGATCCGCCAGGCCAGGGCGGCTCTTAGTCTCCAGACTTCCAGTCAGCTGCCAGCCAGACTCGTTGCCCTTGAGACGGAAGGCCTCGCAGTTGTACCCAGCAGCGATGATCTCATCCTCCGAACTCCAGATGAGCGACATGAAAGGCAGTACTTGCGTACTAACGCTGACAATGGCGCGAGGAGCTTGCTCAGGGCCACTGGGATAGACCACAGTAAGGGTGCTGTCATGAGCGGCAAAGGCAAGAGCGTTACCTGAGGGAGAAAAGGCGATGCTGTGAATCCATCCTGCGGTGCTGTTCAGATACTCTCCGCACACAGTGTTGAATGGCAGACGCTCTCCCCAAGCCGAGGGCTCCGGACGCTCGTCGACGCCCTTAACAAAGGAAGAAAGCACGCGAGCGTGTCCATCAGTGGAGCCTGCCGCGAGCAAGACCGAGTTGGGGTGCCACGAGACACATGTGACGGTGGAGCGGATAGGCTTCTTGAGGTGCTTGGAGACCCACCAGTTGTCTTCCTCCTCAAAGTAGCACACAGGGATCAGGCGAGCACCCGATCCAACGGCAAACTTGGTCTCGGAGGGGGCCCAGCGAACACAAGTAGCGGCTCGGTTGATTCGGAGGAGCACCAATGTTGGTTTCCATCCCTGTGGTGAAGGCTCCCATACGTAGGCATTGCGATCTGTACAGTTCTAATTAGCCTACAAGCTAACAATGGAGAGTAGCTTCAAGCTCTACTTACCCTGCGAGCAAGTCACGATCTTGCCCGAGTTTGGTGCAATGTCCACGCCTGTGACTGTCTTGTCGTGACCCGTTAGCTCATCCTTGAGTTTGTATCCGCTGCCGCTCCTCTGGAAGACGTCGACGTTGTTCTCGCGGGCAACAGCAAGTGTTTGGCGATCAGCGGAGAAGGAGTGATCCGCAATTGGAGAGTGAAGGAGATGGTGGACTTCGGGGCTAGCCATGATGTTTTTTTGTTTGAAAAGTGTAGGTGGGAGGTGTAGAAAAGAGGGATTTGCAATAGGAGACTCTCTACTACTGCGATTGGGGGGTGTTGTGTTGGTCGAGGTGGTGGAGCTTTGGGCTGAGGGAGCCTTGGTGACGTGGGGCTCTATGCTCTGGCTGCGATGCACCCGGCGCACGGGCGCCTTTCTTGGCTCCTCCGAAAAGTTCACGGCGCCCGCAGAGCCAACGTGCACCGCGAATTGGGAGGGAAGCAAGGACAGCGACATTTGCACAGTATGGCACTCCCCCCAATTGAACCCCTCTTGCTATAAATATCATTGCTAAGACAAACCAAAGCGTGCTTCGCTCAAAAATATACCGCCACCATGATTCTCAGGCGCCCACTTCTCAATGCGACATCCGCTGCCGTATCAATACCAAAGACATGCGTGCGCAACCTCCAACACTCAATTCCCATGCGCCCGGTCCCCAAACCGATACCCTTTATTCCCGACCACACAGCCTTCCTCAGCGCAATCGGCCGCGGCCTCTCGGCACACGCGACAAAGATCCCCTCATGGGAAGCCCTTTTCACACTCACCTCGCCGCAACTGAAAGAACTCGGTGTTGAGCCCGCCCGCGCAAGACGCTACCTGCTGCACTGGCGCGAGAAGTTTCGAAATGGCGAATATGGCATTGGCGGAGACTGCAAGCATGTCACGGATGGAGTTGCCGAGCTGAAAGTCGTCGAGGCACCTGTGCCGCCGAACCCGCAACTCGGAAATACGATAAGTCCTCGTTCGGCAGCTGCAACGGCGACACATGACCCAGGGACCAGGAAGTTGGTTGTCAATGTGCCTGTTGGTACGGATAGCCCTCCCGAGCCTGTGGAGACACTGCCAAAGGTCCAGGGTGTTGTTGTAAAGGGTGCCAGCACCATCAAGGGTAATTTTGTGGAGCCTGTAAAAGGAAGTGGTGGTCTTCGTGCTAGGATACGGCTGCAGGAGGGCATCTGGGAAGAGAGGAGGGGACACAAGGTTGATGGTGGTGAGAGGAGAAAGGCAGAGGTGCGGGCGAAGAGAAGGGCTGCAGAGAATAAGGAGAAGGCGCGGTAGATGTAGAGAGCAGATGGAGATACGCTTGCTTGTACGATGAATCAATTTATCATCTTGAGGTTTCTATGTGTGTAGCTTTTAAAGGCTGGTGATTGCAATGCAGACAGCCAGTATCACGGAACTGTCATGTTCTCTGTTTTAATTTCATATGAGAAGAATGTCAGAGCAGGTGATGAGAAATTCTTGTGTAACCCCCCGAAAGAACAAAGTATATAAACACGTTGGTTCTACGTAAACGAATCAGTGTCCATCAGTCCCATTACCCACAGTTTCAAGACTCCAGTCCATATTTCCTTTTCCCCCAAGAGCATCTTACCCAATTCTCCTTGGACCTCCACACACAATCACATCAAACCCTACTCCGAAAGAAAGTCAGCAAACCATCTCCACCACTACTCTTCAGAAAACAAATATACACAAAAAAATCCCATAAATCAACTCAGACCATAACCTTAAAATTTTCTCGCACACCAACAACCACAACCCACCGACCAAAATTGGCAAAGGTGGGGGGAAGGGTTATCTACTACGCAGTATCTGAACGAAGGAAAAGCAAAAAACCCAAAAAAAAGTATTTTTGCCCACCTATTGTCATCATTGCTGATTTCTTCTTTTTTTTTCTGTATCATTTTTCCAAACGAAACAGAAAAACATGTATATATATAACTATACGAGGGGGAATTAAAGGAAATGTGATAGACTTACACATAGTTGTACATCTTTGCTCTGTCCTGTTGGAACGGAGCAGAGCAAAGCGAAGTGAGAGTGTAACTATTAGTCGAGATATACTCCCCCGTCTGCGCAGAGATATCAAAGACAACGATTCCATCCGTTAGTAACAATAGGTTCGATTGGGGAAAAAAAAGGGGGTGCAAGGCGGGGTATTACAATACTCCGGCCCAAACCATTTCGGTTGCGTAAAAAGGGTACATGAGTCCCATGGAAACAAAGAACACATATCCAAAAGACAAGGCGGACATGCCTTGGTCAGAGTTCAAAGGGTTGAGAAGTGAGAGCAAAAGGGCGGTTTCGGGTCGTGGGTTTGTTCGCCATGACCATTGGGCGCGGTTGGACCTTGGGCACTAGTCTAGCCCACTAGCGTGATGTCATTTCTAATACTCGTACTTGGGACAGGGAGGCTTGAGAAAAGCAGCGCTGACCAGTGTCCCTGTTTGCAGATAGTTTCGACTATATGGCGATGGAGACCACCTTGTCAACACGACGAAGACTTACAGGCAATAAACAACGGAAAGAGTATTAGAACATCACTCTGCCGGCAATGTCACACACAGACGAACCACAATTCAAAAGCAAATATACTATATAAAGAGATCTATCAAGCTTTTTAAAAAGACACTTACCACTATCACTTCTCAACACTCATCCACTGTACAAAACTGCTTTACATCCTTCCCGATTACCCTTCCTCACCAACGTTTACATGCCCATGAGAGCAGCAGCGCCAGGCTCGCTACACACGTAAACGACTTCGTGGCTGTCACTGAAGCCGTTGAAGCGGGTAGCAGAGCACTTAGTGTACGCGCCCATCTCCTCAAAGTAGAGCCAGTCACCAACATCAAGCAGCTCCGGGAAGTTGCAAGTAGAGGAAATGACATCAATGCCATCGCAGGTTGGGCCCCAGATGGAGTACTCAACCTGAGAAGGACTGTCATAGCCTGAGCGGCGGACGTCGTACAAGACGTTGTTTCCGTTCTTCAAGACACGCGGCACGGGGTGCTGGTGGTCGAAGATGATGCTCGAGAAGTTTCCGTAGACACCATCGTTCAGGTATAACATGTACGAAGTAGTGCCCAGGGTGGCATCGGTGACGGTGCGACGAGCAATGACGTGGCATGCAATGGTAAAGGCAGTGGAGACGTAGTAGCGTCCCGGCTCTCCAATGATGCGGATGTGGGGCGGAAAGTACTGGTCCAAAGCTGTGGACAAGACTGCGGCCATAGGCTCGAAAGTGACATCGCCCGTGAAACCGCCGCCGACGTCCAGGGTATGCATGTTGAAGCCAAGCGCATCCGCCTGTTCAAAGACAAACCGGGCATCCTGGACAGCCTTGACAAAGGCCTTGGGGTCGGATGCACCGGATCCGACGTGGAAGGCCACTCCAACAACGTTGAGCTCCAACTTCTTGGCCAGCTCCAGAAGCTCACCAGTGGTGTCCAGAGCAGCACCAAACTTCTGACTGAGACGGCACAGGCTAGCTGAGTCATCAGTCAAGATGCGTAGATAAAGCTCGGCGTCTGGGAAGAGCTGCTTGGTCTTGTAGAGCTCATCGGCGTTGTCAAAGGTCATTTGCTTGACGCCAGACTGAGCAGCGTAACGTAAATAAGACTTAGTCTTGCAGGGCTGCGCATAGATGATGCGAGAAGGGTCAACGCCCAGCTTGAGAACGGTCTCAATCTCGTTCTTCGAAGCACAGTCGAAGCCAAGACCCAACTCCGTCATGAGACGAAGGACTTGGGGGTCAGGGTTGCACTTGACGGCTATTCACCTGTCAGCCACAGTTGTTTGTATAAAGGACAGTCTTTGTTTGAGCTTACCATAGTGCGGCTTCACACGGCTTAGATTCTTCTTCCAGCGCATATGCTGGCGGTAGACCTCGCCCAGATCGGCGACGAAGAAGGCATCTTCCTCGCCAACACTGCAGGTATCAGGATCAATAGCCTCAACACGGCTCTTGAGAGCCTCCCCAATCAACTGCTTGGATTTCCAGGCGCCATGACTGTCGACACTACCAGATGGATAGGTGCTGAATGACGCTAAGTCTTTCAACGGGAATTGGTACTCTTCAGTAGGTGTGACAGCAGAAGGTGCCATGCCCTTGATGGTAGCTTCTGGAAGTTGAGTAATGGCTTTGGTATAAGTTACTGGCTGGACGGAAATCCCGTGTTAGGGTGGCTTGAAGGGTGCGAAGCCGAGGCTTGGTGTTGGGCGAGGTCTGGCCGCTTCCTCAGCAAGAGGAAGAACCGCTGATGGCGTCCTATGCGGCAGCTGAAGTTGGGGCTGGTCGAGGGTCTGGGTAGGAGACAAAAAGAAAAGACGCTCAAGCTCCTTCTTAGATGGCGACAAGACGGGGAGGGGGGATGTTGTTGAAAACGTGTGGCGCTGGTCGGGCAGATACAACTTGAAGGTTGAGCAGGATCAGGGCCGAGGCCGTAGTGAGATGGGAGCCTTTGACGCGACCAAAGGCAGTCGAGGGGCGGCGATAGGCAGCTACGAAGGGGCAGACACGATCGCTTGGTGGGCAGCGAGGTCCAAAGAGGCGGTGAATGGGGAGCAGTGGAGGGTGGAGGAGGGAAGGGAGGCGATGGCGGGGAGCTGGTAAGATGAAATTTCGCGCATTCGGTTGTGGTGCTGGAGTCTCCGAACATGACTTAGCATCCCTGCGCCGCCCAAGACGCGCAGCCACTAGCACCCGGTTCTGACATCACTTGCGGCCTATGCACGCCTGTGCCTGACCGGCTGATGGCGACTGCGAGCCATGCTGAGGCTGAGCACCACCAGTTCGCAGCAAAAGGGCGCACAAAAGAGAAAAAAAAAGCCGCATCTTGGGCATCAAAACACCCACACCCCCGTCGCTTACGCAGCATTTTGATTAGTTACACGTCCAACTCAAGACGACGACTGCCTTCTTTCGACCTGCCGCGTGGCAGAGCATCCATTACATGTATATTTATTCCGTCCTGTCGCCGCTACCGCCGCAGCCATGCAGCCTGTTCATAACTACTCATATACTAAATAAATAATAATAAAAAAACAGGGAAAACGCCAGGAGCCCCTCCTAAATCCAAAATGCCGCTCTGCATGCATGTGCGTTATGTATGTGTGTGCCTGTTTGCGCTGAATCCAGACGCTGGCCAATCGTAAAATGCAACGCCGCCGACAGGCCAAACCGCCCCAACCAAAACCCAAAACCAAGATCAATCTTTTATTCCACGCCAAATGTCAACTTTTAGAGGCGCTGCACCATGATGGGCACATCCGAAAGGTCCACCCCATACTGGTGCTGGTAGTGCAGCGACTTGATCGATGCGCAGCTGTGCACCTGTCGTGTACCTGCGCTGCCTCCAACGCCTATGCCACGGCCCTCGTAGTCATATGCCAAACCACCACTGTATCGACCCCACGCAGCCAGATTCTCTGCTCCCTGCACTTTGATTCCTGGCCCTACAGAAGCACGCTTGCTGCTAGCCACAGCAATTGCATCCATAGAACGCATGCCTTCGCCAATCGTCTTGCGACGCTGTGCCCGCGGCCTCGAGGGTGCCTCCCATTGCATGCTCTGCTGCGAAGTCTTCTGCAGGCTTACACTGCTCTTGCTCGCTAGCTGATGAGCGGTCTGACTGCGCTGGTGACCATGAGGACGGAAGCCAGTATTTGGTCCGAATGTTCCTATACTGTGCCTCTTTGATTGCTGCGTAGTATTTGGACCTGAGAGCTTGGCCATGTCGATAGACGGAACAGGCGGAACATCGAAATTCTGTGGGCGATGCCTCATTGCCCTAGCCTCGCCAGCTTCCACCTTCAAGCTGTGAAAGCTTTTACGTCGCTGCTGCGGCAGCATCTCCCTTGAAGCAGCAAGATCCCTGCTGTGCGCACGAGCAAATTCAGCAGCAGCCTTGCTGTCCATGTTGACCATTGACTTTGAACGCGGAACTACAGCGCCAAGTCGATGTGGAGAGGCTGCAGAAGCCACAGTCTGCTTTGGGAGATCGGGCGTCACAGCAGCATATGGAGAAGTGCCAATCGAGGCGGCAATGTGTTCCAGATAACCAGCTTCAATCGCAATATCTGCAGCTGCCTTCTGAGTCTCTCTGCTGTCACCCATCGACTTTCTTCGGAAGAAAGAGAAGCTCCTTCGGTGGCTGCTTGCAGACGGCATCGGTGGTGGTGCAACCTGCAGCTCAACAAGCTGTTGAAACTCGGTGTGACCTGGCAGTGGGGCATTGGGCTTGGAATCTTCTGCAACGACATGGTCCTTTGAAAGATACGTCTGCGTCAAACAGTCCATGCCAGGGGTACTTGTCACACGTCTTTCGAACTGGGCTCGCACGTCCGCCGGAACATCGGGAATCTTTCCTTCTGGAATTGGCTGGCACGATTGGACAATGAGAGCTTCTCCCTGCGACGGTCGTCGACGATGAAGACGCTTCGGCGGCTTCCCGGGCGCACTGTCGAACGACGATTTCGATGAGACTGATCTAGGGGTACGGGGCGAGAGCAAACCCTCCGAAGTAGATGACCTCGCTGAAGAGCTTGCAGAATTCACAGACACTTGTAAAGACGACTTTGGTCGGAGTGCTCGCGATGACTGTACGGTTACCAGAGCTCCTGGGCCGCGAATACCGCGTACAGCACGTGCTGCGGATACAGACGATCCGGACATATGCATGTTCTCTTTGTTCTGATTGGGAAAACCTGGCTGCATGCCTTCCTTTCTCTGGCTTGCGCCGTGTGAAGGCTGCGAACTATGACATTGACACTGAGAACAAATCGTGTAAGTAGAACCTGCCTGTTGTTCGCGTTCATCTATGGGCAAACTACCACCAGATGAATAGCCGGAATCAGTTGTGCGTGGAGGAGGTCGTTGCTTGGTCCGGTTCTTTGGTTTCTTCTGTACTGGAGTGCTTTGTCCAGGAGGCGCCAAATTCCTTGCAGTAGTTTGTGATGCGACCTGTCCTGAAGCCAGATCTTGGGATCTACAAGTGTCTTCCGACTTGGGGTAGTGTGTGTCATCGGAAGTGAATCCCTCGTCCTTGCTGACTGTGCGGTCCTCTTCTGATACTGGAGATGGGCTGGGGGCAAGGTGCGCCTGCGAGCTCTGGACAGAATGGGCCACATCAACTGGATTGTTATCCACAGCCTCCAGACTGTCGTGTGACTGATTGGGTGATTCAATGTGAATGGATTCATCTGCGGACCGAACAAGCTTGACTGTAGTAGCACTCTGAGCAGTCTCGTACGGTAGTGGTACTTCCATAGTTTCTACGATCTGGAGAGAAGAAGTCGCAGGAAGTATAGCGGATTGACTTCTTACATGGCCGCGACGCCGTGTCGATTTCATCATTAACGGGCTGGAACCGGGCTCCGTTTCTGAAAAGTAATCCTCATCTTCGCCATGAGGGCGAATTGAAGCCCTGATGCTTGATGCTGGTGAAGCAGGCCCGTTTGTGATTACCAGTGTGCCAGGCTTTAGGCTCCCTAGCTGCGAATAGTCCAGGTCGCATGGAGTTGATACTCGAGGCCTTGGATCAGCTTGAGCAATGTCAGTTGATGACTTTGCCATTGTAAGATTCAGGTGTGAAGCAGCATGTGGGCTAGATTTCGACTTGATCTCGTCATCATACTCAAGCCTTGCGGACCTCCATGAGTTCCACGTCCTACGACGTGCCTCGACTGGAGAGCTCCGAGTGCCAACTCCGGGTGTTTGAAGTAGCGACTGACGGCGCGTGAGCGATGTAGAAGAGGATTTGTCCACGGCTGACATTCTTCGGCTACTGCTTGGTTCGCCTACTGGCTCATCATTCTCTTCGGGCATTTCCAAGACTTGCTGCAGAGCCGCGATGTCTTCCGGAGACCCATTTTTCTTGACTTGTTGCAGCAGCTTTATAGCATCGGCAATATCAACGTGTGAGCCTGAAACGAGTGATAGCTTGGAATCTGTTATGCCTGCAAGCCTGGCTGCTGAACCGTGTTTGCTACCGAAGCAGGATAGCGAATTGGAGCGTGAATTGGACCTTGAATTTGACCTTGAATTCGTCCTCGAGGCCATGGACAGAGGGCTGTCGCGTACCTTTGTCGTGTCGACTACGCTGTCCTTGGTCTGTGACAAGATGTTGTGGTCAAACTCGCCAGTTGTGGGCGAGAGGAGAGCGTCTCTGATCTGCTGTCGTCCTTCTGGACTGAGATCCGCCGGGCCCGAGAAGGAGCATTCTGGCGAGTCGCTCTTGTAAGCTGTGTTCACGGAATTTGTGTTGGTCTTTGGCTTGGAGAGCTTGTTTGCATTTGGCGTGCTGGACTGGTTGCCCATGGTGTCGGGCTGTAGCGAGCGTGTGGAGAGCGGAGAACGCTCAGGCAGACAGAATAAGATGCATTTGGGAGATTAAGATTAACAGCTGGTGAGCGAGTCAATCGCTGGTCAAGCTGATGCGGGGCGGAGGGGAGGAGGGCAGCGTACGCTTATAAGGCCTGACACACAGCGGCGTTATCAAAGTGGAGGCTGGTATGCGCGCACCAACAAGCGGTTTGACGGTACACTAAGGAGGACGAAGCGTATTATTGAAGAAGAAGAAAAGGTGAAGGTCCCCGCACGAACGGGCGACTAGCGATGGTCCATAGCGTCGGTGACAGGTATCAAGGATGCTGGCCTAGGCCGATGTACCCGCCGCGCGTGTTGCAGGCGCGGTGGGTGCGTGTTGCAACCGACAACAAACCTGGAAGAGACGTGAGCTGAAACCTGGACGTTGCGGCTGCAGCGAAGGTTGAATGAAACGACCAATTATCCCCATGTCTCCATCCATAGCGCCCGCGGCCAATGAGGGCGTGGGGGGCGTTATAGGCTACGGGCCAGCACTGCGCTCGAACTGTGCTTTGCCGCATCCGTCATGGCCAACGGCTGATCGGAGCGATCCCATTGTCGTCGTCCATGGCAAACTGCTCGAAAAACCGGCATTCCTGTCCTTGGCCCAATCCACCCGGAGAACAGCTTCCCAACCAGCCTACTGTGGCCGTGCCGATATACGCGGTGCCTGCTATATAGCCTGGCCATGCGGCCCTCTCCACAAGTGTGGCTTGCCCGCTCCGTCATTTCGTCAGTCATTTCATTCACCCTGTGGCGCAGACGAACACCTCGCTCCATGTCCTGTCTCTGCTTCACCTACACTGTATAGTTTGCATCAAATTTCGTAGCCAATGATCCGAAACCGCCAGCCCACTACTAATGTGTTTTCCGTCGTCCGCTCGCTTCTCCGCAACACAGTCTAAGCGTGGTTCGCTGCCCTTTGCAACACGCGCGTCGGCTTCGTTAGTCGCTTCTCAACGTCCTTTTCCAATACCTGACCTGCAGCAACAGGCAATTCCTCTGCGCCGCTTTTGGCTCTTGATCGACTAGTTTGCGCGCAATATGCGCCCTCTTCTCTTCGCTCATCTGGTGGTCGACCCTGTATTCACCTTGCAGAGTGGTCCATTTAGTAGTACCAAAGGCGCAAACAAGCAGTCGGGCTGACCAATGGATGCACACACACGCCTCTGCAATGCGAACAGTGCGGCAAGACAGACCCAGATCCTGCGAGCCCAGCCTCATATCGGAGAAGACCTCAGTCCGGATGCCGGGCTAGGGAAAATAATAATCATAAAAAAGCCTCGCCCATGCCCCCCCCCCCCTTGTCCTTCCGGCCCCAAGGTGGTTTGATTCAGGATTCCACAGGTCTCTCAGGGGACAAGGTGGCTTCTCCACGTCACACAGCCGCTGCCTCGAGCCAAGTAAGAAAATCCGGTAAAAGATGAAGTGAGTGTGAGTGTAGTATACTACATGCCATGTAGTACTACTAATACTCTATATCCGTGGGGCTGTAGACTTTTCGAGCTCTACGGACCGGACGATCACGGACAAAGTGCCGCACCTGGTTGCGACCCATATACTATGTAGTACAATCTGTCTGGGCAACACCGCGCGCATCGGGTTTCCAAATCCTACCTTGACGCCTATCACCGACGATCGACAAGACCTGTCGTAGCGCGCCGCAGCAAAGAGTCCGCGTCACGACTGCATGCACGCCCGCGCACCCTCTTTAATTCCCTAAGCAACCCTGTGTCTAGTACAGTACAGTATCTATGTACATACTACAAACACACATGCTTACAAACATACATGCTTACATACAGCACACGCGTTGCTCATATGCCCGAGGAGTGGCTTGGTCGTCCCTCTACGCAATCGGAAGGCCTCGGCCGCACTGGTGACGTGACGTTGTCGCGGACACTGGCGGCATCTTACCAAACCTGGCTAAGCAGCCGCGCGAATGGGCATGCCTGACATCATAGCCACCGCTGGGCAACATCACCACCAGCCCTGCGTCCGAATCTTCGTGCGGTCTGCTGTGGAGTCATCTTGTGCTTTTACGTGCTTGGCCTTGTACATTAATCCTTCGTTGGTTCCCTGTTGCTGATCCGTGTTTTCCGTCCTTTCCTACTGCTACCTCCACTTCCTTCCTTCTTACCTACCACCTAATCCTCTCAACCCCCAATAAAAACACTTCCTTGCCTCAGGGCCCGCCATTATAAGAAAATGCTCGGGCTTTCGTATTGGATCGTACCCATCTTCTCCTCGGTAGTATGGACTGGCATGCTCATCGCCATGATGGTGTATTGGGCCTCCACTGGCAAACCCATATACTCAACCATGAGCGAAGGACAGCACATCCCATACATCTCTGGTAAGCTACCCTCATTATATGCTAGAAAGTCTTTCATATTCTAACACAACCAAGATATTGGTGCCGACAAGCTCAAGCCCATGTTCATTGCAATGTCTGCCGTCACGGTAGTAACATTCGACTGCGCCTTCATTTTCGAGCGATGGCTGCGACACACCAACAAACTACGCCCAAACACGTCCAACTGGCAAAAGCTATACTCCGTATGCGCCACCGTTACCGCTGTCATCGGTGCCGCCGGTCTCATCCTCCTCACCATTTTCGATTGCAAGCGACACAATACCTTGCACAATATTTTCCTTGTTGTCTTCATTGCAAGTTACATCATCAGTGCCATCTTCATCTGTTGGGAATACCAACGCCTGGGTGTTCATTACCGTGAGGAATCCATTCTGCGCATCTCCTTCTGGATCAAGCTATTCTTCATCATCTTCGAACTTTGTCTCGTCATTGCATTCGGCGTCTGCTCCAAGCAAGACAAGTGGAACGTTGCTGCTGTCCTGGAATGGATCATTGCATATACCTATTGCTTCTACGTCGCTAGCTTCTTCATCGATTTCCTGCCCGCCAGGCGCACAAAGCACCACCAGTCCAAGGAAACCGAGGTGCAGATGTTGGAGGAAGGCGGCCAGGCGCATTCAACCACCGACAACGCTCGCATGGGTGCGCCCTACCCTACTCCTCTCCCCTCGAGGAACTTTTAGACCACCACGTCATCTTTTTCTTTTCTTTTGTCCAAGACTCTCTTGTTCTTGTGATTGCATGATTAGATGAGTAAATATACCACTAGCGTTGCTATCCATTTTTTTCTGTTTACTTAGGTTTGGTTTTCAGCTACATTGTATAATAGCATCATGACGAGAATGTGACGAAGCATATGGGTCGAGTTTTCTTTCTGATTCTCAGCATGGACATTCCTCCACACGCATTGGAACATGTAGAATTAATAGTAGAATACAAAACAAGAAGCATACACAAAATGAATACAAACTCCACACTAAGTATCACGAGCATCGAAATCAAGACACTCTATGCATCAGACAAACAAATGCTTTAAAACCTAACAATGACTACATGCGCATGCATGTAAAGGGGGTATCGTCCCATTACTTAGCTCTACAATATTCTATATGCAATCTATCAAACCTTATGCTTTTCCACTGCACCAACCAATCCATGTAATCAATTCCACGATTGGTTTTCCCTTTTAGCATTAACCCACACATTTTCTTTTTTTCACTTATAATACCCATCGTCCCTATACTTCTTCTTCCTCTCATACCTCTCATCATCCTCATAATCTCTCTCCCTTCTCCTTCTCCTACGATCATCAGAGTCGCGACTACGACTGCGATCCCGACGGTCGCTTTTTGATTTGGAATCCCGGCTTCGGCTGCGGTATCGATTTCGGTCCCGGCGCTTGTCTTTGCGGTCGTCGGGGCTGCGGCTGCGGTCTCTGCGCTTTTCTCTTCGCCGCTCGCTGTCGTGGTGGTGGTGGTGGTGGTCGTCGTCGCGGGTGCGCTCTTTCCGCTTGTCGCGGCGCCGATCGCTGTCATAATAATCATCTTTCTCGCGTCGACGGTCCTTGTCTCGTCTTTGCTCACTGTCATAGTTGTCTTCACGTCGGCGGTCGCGGTCCCGATCGTCTCGCTTGTCCCTCCGCTTCTCGCGCCTGCGCTCATCTTCACTATCATCGTCATATTTGCTCTTTGGTTTTGAGGCTTTCTCCTCCTCCACCAACTTCTGGTTCTCAAGTTTTGCCTTGAGTTCCTCCTCCGTGATGATCTCACCAGTATGCTTGTTCCGTAGCGTAACTGGATTGTAACTCTGGGCAACCTTTTTGCCTTTACCCTTGCCCTTGCCGCCGCCCCATTCCCCAAGCTCAATACCCACTGCTGCATCCTCTTTTGCGCCAATGCCCAGTAAAGCTGGCCGCCGCTTGATCTCCTTCGGCTTCACAAAGGTGCCATTTTTTCCAATTCCTTCGCCATCTTTCCAGCCCATACCGCGAAGTAGCGCAGCACCGAATCCTTCGATTGGGGTAGCTTCGTAGGCTTCGAGCGTAGGGGCCTCGGGCGCGTTCTGTAAGTCGTGTTGAAATGCCTCCTCTTCGGTCTGTACAGGTATGACGAGATCGTTGTCGGTCGATTTGCCCGTGATCAGCGCCTCAAGCGCCTTCTTCTCCAGCCGTTCTTGTTCTGTAAGATTGTCTTGCTCTACCTCCATCGGCTCCGGCGTGTCAGACTCTGCAGAGCCGTCTTCTTGTGCATCGTCTTTCTTCATGACTGTGAGCCCGTACTGGTACTTGGGCTCCTCAATCTGCTTCTCGTCGACCGTTTCGTTCTGCGCTTGTTGATGCGGCGCCTTCGCAAGGTGCTTCCGCCGTGCTGCTGCGCGCCAATCGCGATTTGGCGGCACAGGGATAACACGAAGTTGCTCCTTTTCTTTCTTGCCGTTGGCATCAACTGCGCCACCCTCTGCTGCATCCCATCCTGTAATTTCTTGTTGTTTGACCGCATCGTCGGGTTCATCATCGTCGAGGAGAGCCTTTGGTTTTTTGTTGTCTTTTTGCGCTGGAGATGCTTTTAGTCCTGGCTTCGCCTTCAAGGCCCCCAGCGACATTTTGAAGCCGCCCGGCTTAGGCGCGGCCATGACGAAATGTGAGGCTGCGGGAAAGCGTTGGCGATCTGATTTACACGTTCCGTTGGTATGCAAGCGAAAGAAACAATATGTACGACTGAGCTTGATGTAAGATGTAAAACAGGAGCGGTGGTAGTGACGGTGATGAGGTGGTGATTGTGTCAGAGTTGAGATTGTTTCTTCAGAAATGTTTAGGTCGCGCGCGATGATGTCGGTCTTGGCACCGGGCTTGCAGGATGACATCGGCTTTATATGTATCAACCTACCAGCACTTAACTAACAGACGAAACCAGATATCTACCCAAACAACTGAAGCTCTTAACGAACTAAGTTATAATCTCCTGGTCTTTCTTTATGATTACAATAACATATCATACACAAATGTACAAAGACTACTCGAGGGTTGTAAGCGGTGGGAACAGCACACCCTTGTACATCCCACCCAGCTCTACCAGTGGAGTTCCATAGTCCAAATCAGCGCCAGGCTTGCAGTACTCCAGCGTTCTGCGATCAGGCTGTACACCTAACTGGTCGAGCAAAGTATTTGTCTTATTCGGCATGTAGGGCTGAAGTAGGATACCAGTGATGCGAAGCGCTTCAGAGGCAAGATAAATGATCTTATCCACTTCTTCGCCAGGCTCACCAGGACCGAAGTACAATACTTTGTCCCAGGGCTTTGACATTTGGAAGAATGCATTCGACTTCTAAATGTCAGTTGTGATACAATGCAAGAGTGTTTGGTATCTTACTCCTCGTACGAAATTGCATATCTGGTAGGCGGCTTGGCGTGGATCGTAAGCATCGAAAGAAGCCTCTACTTCTGAAGCGATAGTAGCAAGTGAGTTTTTGTAGAACCTGGCACCTGGACCTTCTTCCCAAACCTCTTTCGGACTTTGACCCATACGTTCGATAGCACCCCGGACACTCCACTTTTTACCTCTTGTAACCCGAGAAGCAAGGTTACCGAGTTGCTGATTCAGAAACTTGGTATACATGCTGATGATGCGGTCGTTATCATAGCTGGAATCATCTCGTATGCCACCCTCAGAAGCCATGTAGAAGCGCATGACATCTGGCCCGTATCTGTTGAGAGCATGGAAGGGATCGACTACCCTGCCAGTCGACTTAGACATTTTTGATCCCCCAAGAGTCCAATGGGCGTGGGTTAGTATCTTCTTTGGAAGGGGAAGTCCGAGTGCCATGAGAAAAGCCGGCCAATAGATGCAGTGGAAGCGGACAATGTCTTTGCCAATGACGTGACAATCAGCGGGCCAGCCTCCTGCTTTTTCGTGCCCTGGAGTCCACGGGTAACCTGCCTTTGTAGCGTAGTTCATGAGCGCATCAAGCCATACGTAAATAGTCTGTGAATCGTCTCCAGGAACCCGAATTCCCCATGTAAGTCGATCGGATGGCCGGGAAATTGACAAGTCCTCCAGACCCGACTCGACCGCTTGGACAACCTCCTTCATACGATGTTCAGGCGTGATCCATTCGGGGTTTTCCTTAAAGAAATCTAGCAAATGATCACGAAAGGCTGAAAGACGGAAGTGATAGTTCTCTTCAGAAGACCACTCAACTTCACTACCTGTTTCGATTGATATCTGTGGTCTGATTAGTTCAAACGACGACGAGCGATTGGCCATGTTATACCATTATCTTCCGTCCTGACGGTGGGTCAAGGTATGGTTGCACAGCAGACTGTGGGTAGAAGCATTCATCCGTGACTGAATACCAGCCCTCATGTTTCTGCTCGTATATGAGGCCCTTCTCTTGCAACAAGTACTACGCGCTGTCAGCTAACTTTGTGTCCTGCCGTACATATTTGGTTTCATACCCATGCATATTCTACAGCACTCCTGTGTTCGCGGTCGGTCGTTCGTACGAAATGATCATTTGTGATTTCCGCTTTTTGTGCAAGTTCCTTGGAGGGGTGAGTATCGATGGTGGGGCTCGCTTTGCATGCATACGTACTTTGAAGATTTCGGCGCCCTGGTCGCAAAACAGCTTTGGATCGACACCTGCCTTTGCTGCTGCTCTTTGTACCTGCAGAAGAATTAGTGAATGGCATCTATGTCTGTGAGGCGGGACCACCTTTAGGCCGTGTTCATCTGTCCCGGTACACAAAATAGCGTCCTCTCCCTTGAGTACATGCCAACGCTTGATTACATCGGTAAGAACCATAGTATACAGGTGGCCAACATGAGGGGCAGCATTGACATAGAATATAGGCGTGGTGATGTAGTACGGTTTCTCAATAGACGTCTGGGTGGTGATAAACCGTCGATTGCGATTGCTATCAATCCGACATGGCGACTGGATCCATGGTGAGCGCCTTTGGAAGCCGGAAAATACCCTCCGGAATGCCGGAATTGTCGTATTGGCTATTCGGACGTGCATGCTTTCATGGTTGTCTCGTATCTATTATTCGCGGCAATTCTCGCGTGCACTTCCAGCGCGAAGCCACGTGCGGCGCTAGCTCAATCAGTTGGATCAACTCCAAGCTTTCACCAGTTAACCCACCACTTCATATACAACAGCCATTGCGACAAGACGAGTCGTGCATATACTTGCGGAGGCATCCAGAATCACGTGTTACATGTTTTGATTAACTTCTTTTGCGCTTGATACTAGTCGACCGATTCTCCTCCAAAGCGAGTTCCCGCTTTCAAGGCGTACACTACCTCAATGAAATACTGCGATGGCATAGACATATGTAACTGTCATCGCAAATAATTCAAGTCAGATCGGAATGGCCACCCACTGTCCTTTTTCAAATGTTGCAGGATTTGCATCCGATAGTTGGAACATGCACCTAGTAATCCCAAAGGCAACCTGCATGAACGCACACAGCAAGCATATTTATTACGATTTTGACCCTATACTACGAACCACGAAATGATAATCCTTGACCAAAGTTCGCTCGGTTGTATACATTTACCACCGGTGTTACTATCGAATCAAGCTTCTTATGATACATATCCGTGTTATGAGTACGAGAACTGTTCTACTTGAGCTGGAAACAACAGGTTGTACTTCATGATCTTCGGTGACTGGATTTTTTTGCAGAATTGGTCGTACATGTCGAGTGTTGCGCTAACATGTGCAGTAGTTACTCTCAGCACACAGCTACCCTGTAAGCGAACCACCTTAATATTCGCAAGTGTCTGGATCTTGCGCCAAAACTATAGCGTACCCTATCGATGGAGCCCCGTAGCCTGGTCATATCTCGACTAAAGGGGGCTCCCTGTCGTGAGGCTGACGTTTGGCACTCGTGATTCGCGCCAAGCCCACAGTTTCTATTGAAGTTATTCAGACCCAGAAAAGGTAATCTCAACAACATAGCTCCACCACAACGGCTTCTTTGATAATTACAGTAATCCCTTTCATGAATTGTGAAGGAACAGAAAGTGTTGTACCCACTCCATACATTGTTGGTTAGCAAAAGCACTCTGGAATCAAAATATCTGTCGCGATCGAGAGCCTCTGTGGTCTCGACGGTATCTTTTTGATGGATACTCTCTTTCCATTGGTCCGCATCCATTTCTATCAAGAGGCATCCCTTTTTTGCCTTTTCCTTCACCTGATCGGACGGTTTAGTATTGCCTGAATAGCCATTGACCTCACTGTTTGCTAATCTATTGGTCACCATGGAGTCTATTGATGTTATTGAGAGCAATGAACTTTGCGACTCATTACATGCCTTTATCATTTTCGAGCTTAAATAATACGGGTTCTCAGCAACTTTGCCCTCATCATCGAGTACAATCTCAACGATCACCGTCAACAATTCAGTCACGAATCGATCTGCGACTCCAACCTTCAACATCGGACGACTAAGCAATCCAATTCTGCATCATCATGAGATTTAACGCTGTTATCACCTCTGCTATCCTCGCGGCTACCATCTCCGGCGCACCACTTCCAGTGCCTGCTGAGGCCGCTGAGAAGCGCGAAGCTAAGCAACAACTCCCAACCTGGCCACCCCCTTATGGTCTCCCTCATGGCATGGCCGCTGAGAAGCGTGATACTGAGGCGGGAATAACCTGGAAACGCCCTTATGGCCTCCCACACGGCATGGTCGCTGAGAAACGCGAAGCTGAACCTGAGTCACAACTCCCAACTTGGCCACGACCATATGGTCTCCCTCATGGTATGGCCGCTGAGAAGCGCGAAGCTGAACCACAACTCCCAACTTGGCCACGTCCTATCGGCCTTCCCCATGGCATGGCCGCTGAGAAACACGAGGCTGAACCTGAACCGCAGTTGCCAACCTGGTCACGCCCTTACGGTCTCCCACACGGTATGGCCGCTGAGAAACGCGAGGCCGAACCTGAGCCGCAGTTGCCAACCTGGCCACGCCCTATCGGCCTTCCCCATGGCATGGCCGCTGAGAAACGTGAGCCAGAAGCCCAGGAGGAGTAAGCATTTCGTCAATGTCAACAACCTCCAAAGGTCACGATGAAAGGCCACGAACATGTTGTAATTTCATATTCTTATCACAACAACTCCTTTTCTTTTGGATACACTGGGCGGGTACCACAATCGTCCTCTTATTTCTACCTATCGTGTTTGGACACCTGTGTTAAAACATATAACAATCCGTCGCATAGTGTATATTACTCAAAAGCTCTTCATTTTGATGCCACATACAGTGGCGTGATCCAGCGTTTGGCTGGTATCTACTACAGAGCAGGACTGGTATCCTTGTTGTTGTCATCTACGGTACGAGACAATGCCCATGCATGTTGGGAAGAGGGCCGGTCTCTTGTCACGCAAATTATTGTTGTATATGCTCTTGGGTATGGTCGTCGCTTAGTCAGTTTAACTTGTGTTGAATCGTACCAAGTTTTCTCTTTTCCCATATACGAATACTATGGGCAATTCTTCATTATTTATTTCGACAAAATAATTGAATTTGATGTGACTATTTGATATTTCTGGTACTCTTGTTCCTCTGCCGCACCACCTAACACCAACTGTCGTGACACACGCTCATATCCCATCAATCAAACAAACATCAACACAATTACACCGTCACGACCCGTAACCATGGTCAATCACATCCTGATCCCATACCCGTATCTTCGCATGTTACACTACACACAGCGATTCTGACAGCTGTCAGTACTACCGTCTGCTGCAACCTCTGATGGTGCTTTGCACCAGCAACAGAGGACTCTTTGTTCATGCAGGCATCCGCTGTCATTTACATGTTCGCTATAGTTGAGCCGAGATACCTGCCAGGATAAACAGCGTGAGACTTTGATATTAAGGTGATATACCGGAAGGGCCCGGACTAAGGGAGGGACAGGCACGGAACACTGGTGACGAAGGTGATGTGTGCGATCAAACTTTCAGTGGGGCTAGGATACGGATAAATGAATCAGGCTGTGTGTAATGCATATTGAACCCACAAAGTTCATGCTGAACCTGCCATGACATCGTTTGAAACTCTTACTGGACAACATTAATGTTCCAACAAGTCGGAAGTTGACATTTCTATTCTCATTACCTAGAATCATATTTATTTACTCACATTTAGTTTTTGCAACCATCAAACCACGCCTTGTCCAGCATACAACACCCTCGAAATCCAAATACCCTCACCAACGCAAACCCACCTTTCCCATTGCACACATCCACGCATAAACCCCCAGTAAAAGCCATACCTACTCCTCGCATCCGCGTCCGCATCCGTATCACACACAACAAAAATCATACCCCAAAACTTCACACTCTGTCCAAATTGTTAGACACAAAAACCCACCCGCTTATCCTTTCCCCCGCCCCCCTCCTTCGCCTACACAAAAAATTCCGGTACACTAAATCCCCTAGCAAATAATAGCTTCCCCAATAGCCCTAGTCACGTAGCCCCAAACCTAAGAAAGCAAAAAAAAAACCCCCCCCTCTCCAAACCTCGTATCGACCAAAAAAGCGCCTTACTTACGAACCCGCCGTCTCCGAATCGAACTCAAAATCCAAATACTGCATATATACCCTGGCACTTTATTTGACATGCTATAACAAGCTAAGCGGGATCAACAAGTCGAAAGAGGACGAGAGAGAAAGAGGAGAAAAAAGTGGGCTAGAGATTTGGGGGGAGGCGGGGGGGGGGGGGCGGGTGAAAGTACGCCAAGACAAGTTGATTGAAATAGAGAGAGAGAGGTGTGGAGCCGTCCAGACGCGGGCTGAGGGGGGCGGGAGTTGTATTTTTTCGAGTTGTGCCAAGGCTGCGAAGTTCCCAATATTAACTTATACCGTACTTTGTCCGAGGGCGTTTGTGCCAGTTGCGATAGTATTAGTATAAAAGAAAAAGATTTATGCAATCACAGTATAACATATGAAGTCTTAATACGTGCGTGAATCTTTGACATGGTTTGCAGCTTTTCTCGGATTGTTCTTGTTTTGCCGTTTTTTCTTTTCGTTCTCGCATTCGTTGCATGGGGGAGGGGAGGGGAGGGGTTGCATGGCTAGGATGTGTTCGAGCGTCGTCAATGCGTTGACGGGATGAGGCCAAAGTTACCGCTGGCTTGGGATCGGGTAATGACAAATATCGCGCTCCCGCTTCTCTTTGGATCGGAGGAGAGCAGGGTGTTCGCTTAGGACGTGTGATGGGCACCGTATGTGTTGATGCCGCGTTTGTCAAGTTGCGTTTTATTTTGGGGGTTAGGTTGGATCAGAGGTTGCGGGGGTGGTGGGTGAGATACGGCAAAATTGAGGTAATTAATGGTCTTTTTTGTTGGGGGCTTAGGTGGTACGACAGAGATTGATAGAGGGGGCCGAATGCAAGGTACCATGCATGGATGGTTATCGGACACCGAGATATGAATATCGATGTATTTTGGTGTCTTTTTATCCAGTTTCCATTCTGTGCCCAGGATTTGGGGGCTGGTTATGTGAGTATGTGGCACAAGTTCAAGCCAACAAACAACTGTGGAGACAAAATTATTGTTGCCGTTCCAAATAGTAACAAGGATGGCTCTCTAGTGACGGGACAGAAAATTCCAATCGCAGGCAATCTAGGAAGAGTTCACCACACAAGACAAAGATAAGTCGTAAAGTCATTTCATTCTTTATAATACCCATATTCGATTTCTACTGTCTCTCCTCTTCTCCTTCCATGATATCAACCTAACATTGTTCACCTCCAATACCTCGATATAAATAGTAGCTTTTCAACAACAACAACAACAACAACAACAACAACAAACATCTGCCATGCCCCAAATATATCTAATAAATGAGTGCGCGAATGTCTGTGCTAAGCATGACCCCATACATGCAATCTTTCCAACACATTAACCATGTCCAAAACCAAAACTAATTGTCGTCTCTAACCTTGCGGCCCCGCTGAGCGTTCAAAGTCTTCAGATGTATGCATTGAAAATAAGCATGTAGAGAGAAGAAACGCAAGAAAAACAAAACAACACATGTGTGCTAAGAAAAGAAACAGGACATAAAAGGGTATAATAGCGGGTCATGATCAGCTCACCAAAATGTGCTGGTAAAAAAAGACTTCAAGAGTGGAGAACGTTGGAAGTTTGAAAGAGGAAGGGAAAAAAAAACCAAAACTCGCCTGCTCGCTTACTGCAAAGAAAGGGACAAAAAATCAGAGTAAACTCCAAGGAAAATTGAGAAACATTCTCGTGGTTACCCTACATGTTAGCACCATTGACATTGACCTGATAGCCGTCGCTTTTGGCCTTCAAAGCTTTGGCCAACATGAGCTCACGCATCCAGTCGATCCTCTGATCTTTGGTAGTGACGGCAAAGTGTTGAACCTTGCCGTTAGGCATTAGCTTCTTGACATCGCCTTTGCCAGGAGCGGTGGGCACAAGCTGGAATTCAAAGGCAGGTGCGTTGGCAGCCGACTTGTCCTTGTGATGGCCCGAAGAGAGTTTGAGGGCCCTGAGCTTGCTTGAGAGCTTGTTTGAAGCGAGCGACGAGCATGCCACAGCATAGTCATCTACATCGATGGTTTGCAGTGCAGACGAGGAAGGAAGCTCATTGGGGTGCATGGCCAGCAGCGTGCCCTGGAGCCGGAAGTGGTGGTCTTGCCATTCATGGCGCAAGAGTTTGGTCCGGCGCTTCTTCATCCAACCATGGTGGTTGACGCCCTTGTACACGAAGCCACCCTTATGAAGAGGTGCAACGGTGTCTTGGGCCTCCACGTCAAATGGCTTGGTGGCTTTGAGCGGTGATGAGCTGGCACTGTCAACGGGGCTAACTGAGTCATCGAAGATGGTTTCGCGCAAAGTGTCGTCATCTGAGTGGGCGGTTGGGCTGAACACGCGCTCTTCAGCTAGCGCTGGCATGGGCAGTGATGGGCGTCGCCGGTCGTGACGCGAGCCAGACCTGTGGAGTTGGGGCTGGTACTGCATGTTTGGGGGCACGGACTGGCTTGTGTCGCGGCTGAGAGGCTCTGGTTGCACAGCGGTCACAGGTACATCCATCTCGGAGAAAGGCGTGCCGAATCGGTAAACCCCGCCCGGTGAAGCTGTCCTACAAGGCGAAAAGGCGCTGTCCGGTGCGAGGTATTGGTGTACCGGAGCACCGCTACGTGGGTTACCGACAGGCTGGACAGACATTGCACGTGCCGGGGGAATGGTCAATTTAGGAAGGCTCTTGAGGTTCGAGTGAGGCGCTGGCATGAACTCTGGAGGGTGGAGAGCTGGGGTCGACGGGGTGTGTGCGAATGGCTCGAACGACCTAGTGGTATGTGCCGATGTAGATGCGGAGAAGGCCGAAACCTGTGGGCAATACTGTTGCTGTGGTATCACCAAGAATGGACGGGGTGGGTATATTTCGGCTGGCGGGGTGGGAGGCGCTTCGATTGGAGTAGCGGTCTGGTAAGGTTGTTGCTGGCCCTGTAAAGTGAGGAATTGTCGCACATTGTCTTGTGGATCGCGTTGCTCAAACTTTTGCAGATCTTGGAGGGAGAAGTCTGGTAGCTGACCTGGACCTAGCACGTCGGACGACGCAACCACAGACGGGACCACAACGGAGGGTGCGGATTCTGAGTTAGGGCGGTGGACGTTCTCGACAGCATGGCTTGCAGTTTGGGCGTTGCCGGGATCGCCAGCAATGAAGATGTGACCGCCCCTTTCGGGAGATATGGGAAAGCCGTGTTCCTGCTGGAGTCTGGCGAGCTGTCTTTGTTGCTTCTTCCACTTGGAGCACCGCTCACCCTTTGCGCAGACGTGAGGCTTGGGCAGTAGCTGTTCAATCGCGACAATCGAGACGGAATGCGCAGGCGTGATGAGATCGTCTCCTAGATTGCGGCCGCGTGACTTGTCACGGCGACTGGCTTTCCGACCCTT